GAGAGGGATTTTGCGATGATCCCCGCGCCCAATTTTTGAACCGCTGCTTGAACCCGGTCAGCGACAGCTGTCTCAGGAACACCTCTCTCAACAAGCAGCGCCTTTAAGGAACTCTGCTGAGCATCTGAAAGTCCACCTTGGCCCCACAGCTTTGCACTATGCGGTGGCATGCAATTACAGAAGCTGACAGCATCCTGGTATAGCACCTGAAAGGGATCGTTGAATCCTTGCATGGCCTGAGCAGCAAAGGCAAGGAGCATGGGACCACATGAGGTCGGCTCAGTTTGCAGAGGTAGCTGAGGTAGCTCAACATCCGGGCAGGACAAATTACACACCTTGCACACAAAGCGCAGGAGGCTCCGGGCAGCATCCAGGCTGTGGCCGGCAAGGCCATCGAAGAGCGAAGCGGAGGGCACAGAGCCGCCGGCAAAGCTCAAAACCAGCAAAGACCAATGGGCATCCCAAAGGAAGGGGAGGAAAACAGCTTCACAGGCAGCTGGCCATTGGAAATCAATGCCGTTGTCAGTCTCATCGTAAAGCCAGGCAAGTCGAAGCCAGTTCGTGGCAGTCGCCGGTGGAACGATAAAGACCGGCTGAGCACAGGCAGCCTGCAGCCGAAGCAAGCCGGCCCAGATCGTGACATCTGTGGTGCCTGTGGGTGGGGCAGAGGCAGGAGAGGAAGGCACAGAACGGCACGCCGACTTTATGTGCACCTCAAGGCGGTAAGTACCTGAAGGGAGGTCTGGATGCAAGAAGGCGTTGGGCTGGAGTTTGCGATTGCCCTCGAAGATCCGAATCAAGAAGCCTGGCCCATGTAGGTCCTTTTCAGCCTGTGCCAAAGCCTGGACTCGTGTCGGCCCTGAAACCTTGAGGTCAAATGTAGAATCACCACTTATCAGCTGCAAGAGAGAGGCTGGCTGAAGGGACGGCACAAGCCAAAGGTCCCGGCGAGTCTCAAGCAGGTAGCGCTTGTAATCCAGGATCAGCCTGCTCGGGTCAGTCGTGCCGCCTGTGGTAAAAGTTGATTCGGCCCAGGCTGCAACATGTGCGGTTATCCACAAGGACTGCAGAGGGGCGGTGATTTGGCCAACCAAGCATAATGCTGCACGAGAGGCCGGGAGATGCAGGAAGGAGGCGGGGAGGGAATTAAGGAAACCTACCTCACCGGCGTGAGGAAGCCTAACCCCAAAAGGGCCAAGAACCCTAAAACCCCTATGGCCCATGGCACGCAGCATGGCCTCGGAGAAGCCTGCTTCACGGCAGCCGCACGGACAGGCCTGCAACTCAGAGCCCCAGCTGTGCAGAGCCTGAGGGGCTTGTCTTTGGGTATCCAAGCAGTGACTCTCGGGGCCACCCACGGTTTCGCTGTCCCATTGGACCTCTTCCGGGGTCCTGGCAAGGTCCTTTTCCTGCTCCACGGGCCAGAGTGGCCATTCCGCAATCACGTCCGACACTAATGTGGGAGTCGGAGTGGGCTGCCAACAGGGCAAGTGCAGATCTGGCAATTCTTGTGGGAGCATGACGAACCACCAGCGATTGCGGCGGGATGCCCACTGATCGCCCAGTTCGAGTGCAACCTGTTGTACCTTAAAGTGCATACGAGCCGCGAAGTGCAGGGCCTGTGGCCGGTCTTGCACCTCGGGCGGACATTCCAGAAGCAGTCCCGCAACTTGGTTTCGCCATGCAACCCGGAGAATCTGACCAAGGATATGTGTTTCCCAGTTCGGGTGTCCTCCTTCCATGCCAGGCAAAGAGAGGCTGTAGCTTGGGAGGCTGGCTGCCAAGAGGTGGCCTTGGCCCTGACACGCCTTAGCAATGCTGTATTGAACCTCTCGGGCGCCGATGTCACCGGCGAGCACAGGTCCACCGTTCAAGCGTAGTGTCTCACAAGCAATGTCTGTCCTTTCGACCTGCAGTAGTATATGCATGCCCGAAAACCGAGCTCCAAGGCCGAGGCCACCGATTCCTGCACAAACCTCCACAACTGTTCCAAAGGCAGCTGCCGAGTGGTCAGGTTTTGGGAATGCCCTGGACTCTTCATTGCATGTAAGATATCCCACGTTACGCTCAACGGAGCTAAGGGTGTAGCCGAAAAGTGTCCAAAAGCCTGGTCCCAAGTTTGGGCAAGAATACAAATCCCCATGCATCGCGCCCTTGTAGATGCCTCCATTGACCTGAAAAACCACAATGTCCAGAGTGGACCCGACTGGAACATCCTTCAGAGCAAAGTCGCCGAAGACAGCCATGGGTTACGGGTCCCTCGAGGGTTTGTGGTTAACGGCTCCACCACTGGAAGGTCTCGAGCCAGAGCTCATTCTTTCCTTATAACTGTTGTTTAATGTACCCCAAGACCCTTCTCTAATGCCAAGGCCGCTATTTTACATGAACAGGCCCTCACAGACTGCACGCCCCAGAAACCTTACGACTTCTGCAAGTCCCTGAAGTCTTTAAATCCGAGAGCCATAAGCCTAAGGGTCCATGTGCCCAAATGGTATATACTTTGGCCCCAAAGTATCTATATAGGGACTACTGTAAGGCCAAAGTATGTACTATTTGGGCACTTGGACCCTTAGGGTAAGCCTGCACCTGAAAAGCCTACGCCCGACAAGAACAAGCAACCACAAGCAACCTAGAGGCACCCCCAAGGTGAGGGTATTCCGCTTTGGAAGCCTTTTTTTAGGGTTCAGGGTTTAGGGTGTTACAATACAGCCCAAACCCTACTCCAATTGTGAAGAACTCGAGGTCAGCCCACATGACACCCTCAACCCGAAACCCAGAAACCAATCCCTGCAGTCTCTGCTGTCTCGCATGTTCCTGCAGGAGAGGAGACTCGACTGTAGGGAAGGATTAGCATGTGCTAGAGAACGCTAACCCTATATCTAGGTGCCCCAGTTGTATCCTTGTTCTTCTCTACGTGTGGGTTCTCTTTATTACAACTGAGCGTTAGGAGAAAAGGTGTGCTTGTTATTTGAGGGACGCTGGGGAACCTAGAGATTAACCCTTAACCCTAAACCCCAAACCCCTAAACCCTAAACCCCTAAATCCTAAACCCGTAAACACTAAACCCGTAAACCCTAAACCCGAACCCCTAAACCCTTAAACCCCTAAACCCTAAACCCTAAACCCTAACCCTTAAACCTGTAAACCCTAAACCCTAAACCCTTAAACCCTAACCCCTAAACCTTAAACCCTAGCCCTTAAATCCCTAAACCCCTAACCCTTAAACCCCTAAACCCTTAAACCCCTAAGCCCAAAACCCTTAAACCCTAACCCTTAAAACCCCAAATCCCTAAACCTTAAATCCCTAAAGTCCTACAGCCCAAATCACAACAAAGGTCAGCAGAGATACTTGGCCGAGCACCAGTCGGTGCCCGAGCATCTATGTACAGTAAACCCCAAAAAGTAATCAGTATGGTTTGGGGTTTGGGGTTTAGGGTTTAGGGTTTAGGGTTTAGGGTTTGGGGTAGTATGGGGTTTAGGGTTTAGGGTGAACCCCAGAAGGTTGGAAACGGGATTAAGGCCAAATAGTGCTGGGATCTACTATACATGACACTTTAAGGATTGAGGCTATTGGGCTTCCAACTTTTGGGCTTCTGCTGTAGAGTTGTAGGGATCTTGAAGGGCGAGGGTTTACTCAAAGGTTCATTGGACTTAGTCACTGGGGTTACGGGTTATACTTAAGGTAGCTATACTTATTGCCATGACAACACCAGTTGAGAGAATGAAAAGCGTACTTGCAAGTGGCGGTTCAGGGTTTAGGGGTTTCGGGGACAGCATTTTTGTGGGGCCACCAAAACATACACCCCAAACCCTGGAACCCCTTAAATATGATTACTTAGAGGTTCATGGGACTTAGTAACTAGGGATATAATTAAGGCTATTACACTTATATGTACTTATAATCCCATTTAGGGTACTTAGAACTGTACTTACTAAGTCCCATGAACCTCCAAGTATCAGGTACTTGAACCCAAAGGCAAGCAAGGGGACGGCCATCATTCATTCAGGGGCTGCAGTTGGGGCTGATGGCTTTTTGCTCAGGATGTTGGGTGTTTCGGGTTCAATGCTTAGTGTTTAGGTTGCAGAGTTTAGGGTATAGGGCTTAGTCTTGCGACCTCAGGGTTTAGAGCGTAGGGTTCAGAGTTTGGGTTTTAGGGTGTAGAGTTTGGGATGAGGGTACCATAAACCTACTTACCATAAACCTACTTTTACAACTACCGGCCGATACCCGTTCAAGTCAAAAGCCTGGGGTGTCAAGCCGTTGCAGGAAAGCCCATGAAAGCCACAGTTTGGGGGCTTGATTAAGTCATAGGGATTATTAGGGGTGTAGGGGGGAGGGGTGTAGGGGACTATATTTCCTTAAATAGGCCTTATTAGTCCTTATTATGGGCCTTAAGGCCCCCTACCCCCCCTCCCCCTACACCCCTAAGGATCCCTATGATATTAAGAATCTCCTCCCTGAGGCCTCTTGACTTCATGCATGCCCCCATATTACAAAAGTAGCAAAGCCCTCCCCTGGTGCAATCCTTAAAATCTTTTAAGTGGAACCATGAACGTCAACTGTCTGCCCTCTCCGAAGCCTCAAACTTCAACCCCCCGAGGCCTAAACACTATCCTGAACTCTTGGGCCAACAGCAAATTTCACACAAAGGTAAACCCTAGACCCTTGCTTGGCCGAGGGTGATGATTCTACATTGGAGTCGCGTTGTTCCGAGAAGTTGCGCGATTTAGTTGACAAACCAGTGCTTGAGTGGATTTATTCCGTCCTGGGAGAACCCGGTCTATTCGCAGACCCGGGCTTTGGAGTTTTGGGTTTGAAGCCCCTTGCAGCTGGAGGCCTCATCCGACGTGTTGCCTCGACGCCGACTTGAAATGCAGTTTTAGGGGACGATCCGCCTGCAGAAGGGAGGCTGATTTAACAATAAAATGTCACACTTTGTGTCACATCGCGGTACCTCCTGCCTCAATTGGTGGGTTAATTTTGTTTTTGGATTTGTTCGATGGGTACTTCTCAACAGCGAATGCAACTGGGTCGAAGGAATCGACGGGCAGCGGAGGTGGTGGAGAGGTGTTTTTGAAGGTGACGACTCCCTTGCAGAACCACACAGCTTTTGGGAGATCCCACTGACGACAGAATAATTTCTCGTGTTCTAGCAGCGTATGGGCTTCGACATCAAGATACGCCGGCGTGGCGTAGCTCCAGACACAAAGCCCCTCGCTGAGTTCATCGGCACACACTTCGGGTTGGAGGAGCACTGCGATCTTGACGGCTCATTTTGGCCTGAAGTTCCACACCTCCAAACCATAAACCTTAAGCCCTAAACCTCAAACCCTAAGGCCCTAAACCCTTTTTACCCTAAACCCTAAACCTAAACCGATTGGTTGGGTTGGCAGGGGTCCTGTAATATTATAGCATTATTAAGATTATAGTATTATTAGTGTCATTAGTCCCTAAACCCTAAGCCCCTAAACCCCTAAGCCCCTAAACCCCTATCTCCCTAAACCCCTAAACCCCTAAACCCCTAAACCCTCAAGTAGTATTATTAATGTTACCCTAAGCTTCCAGGGACCTGATTATTGGGTCCTTAAGGGGTCTAGGGCCCTAACTATAAGGTCCTTGGAAGCATAGGGTTATAGTAGTATTAGTTAGTGTTATTAGTATTCTAAGTTAGTGCTACACCCAAGGCCTCATTTGCTGCGTGAGCCCGACTCCGAACCATCTAGCGGCCCTGGGCTCGGATCTTGCTTTCCAGAGACTCCAGGGTTTAGAGTTTAAGGGTTTAGGGGTTTAGGGGTTTAGGGTTTAGGGTTTAGGGTTTAGAGGTTTAGGGTTTAGGGTTTAGGGGTTTAGGGGTTTAAGGGTTTAGGGGTTTGGGGGTTTTAGGGTTTTTAGGGTTAGGGGTCCAATACCCCTTAATTGAGGAATATAGGACTTCCTAAGGGTTCCTTTAAAAGGATCCTTAAGGCTCGAGGGTTCCTTTTGGGGTTTAGGGTTTAGGGTTTAGGGTTTAGGGTTATAGCTTAGGTTTTTCAGGGTTTAATAAGGGTGCAGGGTCTAGGGTTTAGGGTCCAGCTTTTACTTGATCTTGCTGTGTTCAGTGTTTAGTGGCTTTAACTTTTAAGGTTTAGGGATGTGTAAGGCTTTTGGGGTTTAGGGACAGGGCCCAGGGTGTCAATTTTCGCGTTTACTGGATGTTGCTGTTTTCCATAGTGTTTGATGAATTTAGTTTTTAGGGCATGTAGGGTTGAAGGTTTTAGTGTTTAGGGTTTCCAAGTTTGCTCCATTGTTTTTTCCTGTAGGTTTGTTTGTCGATTTCCCTTGTCCGGTTTTGGAGGTATAGGCGCTGCAGGGATCCTCTTAATCTTGAATTTTTAAGAACGCCGTCTAAGTATTATTGGATCCTTGGTCAGTGGGTCTTGAAATAATGAACATGCTGCGTAGGGTTACTAAGTTCCTGAGTAAAACCCTTCTGCCGTGTTGAGTCTCCTTACAAAAACTGAATAGTAGGAAGAAGGGTACCCATATTATCAGGAGGTTACGTTTTTTAGGTTCGTGGAACCCAGTAACTCGGGCTAATACAGAAGGCAACTATGCTTCTAATCAGTTGTATCTTCAGCTAAGGTACCTGTAACTGTGCTTACTAAGTCCCATGAACCTTCCAGTAGGTCTGAGGGCTTGGTAATCTAGGGTTTACGAGTTTAGGGTTTGGGGTTTTTAGGGTTTGGGTCTGGGGCTTGGGGTTTCGCCCTAGGCCCTAGGCCCTAAAGCCCTAGTGCCGCCCTTGAAGGAATCCTTGAACGGGTGACGCCTTCGGGTTGCACTATGAACTGGTATTCCTTTCCAGTCGAGTCCTGCTATCCCAAGTCGTCGACACCCTGTAGCCTTATAGAACCAATATAGAACCCTGTTTAAGCCGACTATGAAACCTCATAAGGTGCCTGTGAAGCCCATGTTGAAAAACCCTTGAAGCTCTTGTAGAACGTTTATAAAACTGAAAGACCCTGATTATAAGCCCGGTCAGATGCTATGCAATCTCAGATCTTGCAGAATCCGTTAATAAAGCAATCTACCTCCCCTAGGGTCCAGGAATGTATCTAATCGGAACCCTTTAGATCCCTTACGGATCACTTTAAGGAATCCTTTAGGAACTATCTCGAGTAACCCTTCTAGATCCCTTACAGGAGTCCTTCAGGAAGCCTCTTAAAGGAACCCTTAAGGAACCCTGCTACAATCCTTAGGAGCCCTCTGAAGGAACCCTGTCGAAATTTTCGCTTAGGGTCTGATGGGATATCAACATGAAGGCACGCTACGCTATGACATGAATGTTCTAGATTCACTATAGATCCCTGAAAGGAACCCTTTATAGCCGAGGTGAGGCACCCTCAGCACTATGATCCCTAGGAGCCCTTTGAAAGAGCCCTTTAGATCTCTTACAGATCCCTTAAAGGAATCCTTTAGGAGCCCCTTGAAGGAGCCCTTTCGAGCCGAGGTGAGGCACACTCTAAAGGAACATCCCTTTCGGACCCCTTTAAGGAATGTTTCAGGAGCCCTTTAAAGGAACCCTACTGCAACCCCTTGGAGCCCTTTAAAGGAACCCTACTATAATCCCGAGGAGCCCTTTAAAGGAACCCTTTCAAGCCGAGGTGAGGCGCCCTCCGCCCCCTCGGCCCCCTCCGCGCCCTCGGCCGCAGCGGCGCCCGTGGCGCCTTGCGAGGCCGCCGATGCCGAGGCGGAAGAGATCACCAGGCCTGGATCTCTAGGGTTCCTTTAAAGGGATTTAAAGGGTTCCTGTAAAGGGATTGAAAGGGTTCCTTCAAGGGATTGTTTGGGTTTAGGGTTTAGGGTTCAGGGTAGGAGGCTAAAAAAGGGGTTTTAGCCCATGGGGGTTTAGTAGGGATTAGGGTTCCCATTATAGGGCTCATATTAACGAATCACTACCCCAAGAATCTTGAACCCCCCTTTTGGCCTGCCATCACCTGGGGGGGCTTGGCTTAAGGGTGCTTTCAGGGAATCCATAAGGGATCTGCAGAACTTCCTTTAAAGGGGCTTCAGCCGTGGTTTAGGGATTTAAGGTTTTAACAGTTTATGTAGGGTGCGGGGGTTTAAGGTTTCATTAGGGTTTAGGGGTTTTGAGGGTTTTGGACTGAGGGTGCAGTGCTGATGGCTTAGGGTCCAGGGCTCAGCATTTTAGGGGAGTCCAAAGTGTCCAAAGCTCCTAAAAGAAAGGTTGCATAGGATACCTAGGATCTAAAGTAGGCCCTTATTCCCTTTTCTAGGGTTTAGGTTCCCTTATAAACCCACTTTAAACCAAAAAGGGCGCCCTTTTTATTCCAAGGTTACTCTAAGGTCTAGAAACGGTTTATACGCTTGATCGGGTTTTGCTAACTCTGGGCATCAACATAGCACAAGAGCCTTATATAGTACGGTCTTTGGGCGCAAATGCCTTGATATATGAGTCCTTGGAGCCCTAAACCCTATAGGTCCCTTTCAAGGACCCCTTATGGATCCCTTTAAAGGAACCCTACATGAGTTTGGGGGTCCCAATCCCAACCCCAACCCAATATCGCACTACTATACTATAACATTTATAAACCCAATCCCAACAAAACCCCCTAGGGCAGGGTAATTACTCAAGTTGCTCAAGGGTTTGGGAGTCTCACCTCTGGGAGCTTCAGTCGTCACTGCTTTCACAGAGTTTTCTTAGGGTTTAGGGTTTAGGGGTTTAGGGTTTAGGGTTTAGGTTTTCAATTACTTAGATCCCCGATACCTAGCCTGTAAACTCTCTGGGTTCTGTGGACCACCCTATTGTCCTGAAGAGGACTTGGGTGCGTGAAAACCAATTCAAAACTTTAAAAGAGGGGTCATCTTATGATACCTCGACTCGTATGGGGGGAACGCTATGGGGAACTGTCATCAACAAACATGAATAGAGGGGCAATATGCAAATACGCCAAGCAGTAAACAGCAGATAAGAAGGCTTTGTTGCCGTTGCTACAGTCCAGACCGTCAGTGGAGGCGGCTCAACACGGACCTGCGAAGGAGGGTATAGCCTGGCCGGTGGTTTTGGTCTTCCGCAACTCCGAGGCTGGACAAGCCACCAGGGAGCACTGGCTTCTTGACCAGTTCCGGCCGTACCTCGGCAAGGAGCACGAACTTGGGGTACGGCCCGCGCGGTACATGGGTTCATCGGAAGGTCGCGGAGTTCCTACCTCAGAAGGGCGGGGGGCGTGGGAAGGGTCGACGGTTTCCGAAGCGAGAGTCCGAAGCCCCAGAACGAATTGGGCGCTCCAAAGAGCCTAAACGCTGATCTTCAGGACCGTCTTTCGTTGGAGTTAACTTTTTCTTGTGAGTGGCGTGCGGTACCGTCCGCATTAAATTGCCTTGTCTCATGCCCGGTGCCGTCCGGTGCATGCCATCTCCGTCGGGTGCCGTCCCGCGGAGGGTTCCGTTCGTCGTTCTGTAACGCGCCGTCGTCAGTCGTTCCGTGTGTTTGGTCTTTCTCCCCTTGCTCGTCCGTCTCGGCCGTCAGTACTGTTTCGCCCTTATCCCGATTGATCTTATCTCTGGGTTCTTACAGTTTAGTAGGAATCGGAAAGTTTGACCTTCCATTCTGTGGCTCATTGGGGCAGTAAGATCAAGGTTTAGGGTTAGGGCTTCAGGTTTAAGGTTCAGGGTTGAGGGTTTAGCGCTTAGGGCAGTTTAGGGGGCTAGGGTTTCTGGGTTTGTAGTGGCTTAGGCTTCGGATTTAGGCTTAAAGGGGTTTTCCCTGTGCTTCCGACATCCCTTGGTGAAGGGTCCCTTCTTCGTCGTCCGTTTCATGAGATGTTCCTTGTGTATTTTTCGTTTTGACCGTACACAAACCCACTATTAGACATGAGGTGCTAGGATTCTGAGACGTGTTGGATTGTTGCAGGGTTCAGGGTTCAGGACATAACGACCCCTCCAAACGTTGTGGACCCTTCGTGATTGAATCAGTACATGGGGGCTGATCAAAATTATGGGGCCCTTTCGATCTCTTGAACTATAAGGAATATAATTACTATAATACAGACCCCAAAAAGGGACCCCTATTTTGACAACCACCCACATGTTGTCTTCAGCGCCGCCTGCCTCAAGTTGAGACTTGTTCCATGTGGCGACGCTCCCGCAGCGATCCGCTGCACCCTGAATATGCTATGACCCTCAGCCATAATAAGGGGGAGCTGAATCCTGGAGTGTAATGGCTAGGACGTCCGAAAGGATTTAAGTGGTATTCTATGGCAGGCAGCAAGTTAGTGTTACATGCAAGACGGGTCAATGTGCAGGTATCTTGTATACTGCGGCGCTAAATTTCCTATTTAAGAACCTCTTGAAGGCCATAGTATATTGACCCCTGTATGAGACTGCTTGGGGCCACTACAGAACCCCGAAAAAGTTATATGCACCACCGGGATAGAAAGTGTTAATGCTGTAGCTGGTATTTTAGGCGTCGTATAGGGGAATGTTTGCTCAGGAGCTTCTTATGTTCACTTAGGGTTCGGGGTTCTCGAGTTACGATATTCGCGACAACAAACTCTGAACCGGCAACATCTAAACTTAAACCCGACGCCTGGCCCCAAAGCCTTCGTCGAAAGCCGAATTCCCGCCAGACAGGAAGATGAAGCAGCTCGGCTTGTGACCACGGGGTCTTTTAGTGTTGAGACTTTCGTGGCCGCACCAGGTTTAGGGCTTAGGTGGGCTGTGGAGCACCATACTTTAATACTTTTTTGGGACCTGTTGCTTGAAGGGCACCAAAAAACAAATCTATACTTTTTTCTCCCTGATTACTTCAAAGCCCAGTTAAACTCCACAAGTCTACTTGCTGCAGGGTCCTTGCAGACACTACTGTAGGATGTGTTATAAAGTAAGGAGATCCTACAACAAATGTAAGTTATGGTCCAGTAGTTTCGGGTATGGCAGGGTTTAGTAAGACGACGAGGAAAGACGGTACAGTAGAAGTGCAAAGCTAGAAGCTAGGCTCTGTTTACGGTTGGGTTTACGGTTTAAGAGGGATTTGGTACGGTAGAGGTTTTGGTTTATTTTATCCGAGGGCTCCAAGTATGTAAATAGTTTCGGGTTTGGGGTCAAACGCCTATAAAATGTAAATAGTACCTACTTTGGTCTGTTTGGAGGCCCACACCCCTGAACTTCCTAAACCCGTAAGCCCCAAACCGAAACCCTAAACCCTAAACACTAAACCCTAAACCCTAAACTTCCTAAACCCTTAAGCCCTAAACCGAAACCCTAACACGGAAGCCTCCAAAACCTCCGACTCCGAAAGCCCTCAACGCCAAGCTTGAAAAGATCTGGACACTCCTTCCCCCAAGGCGATATGTACTCATATAGTAGATACTTAGGCCTTAAAGTACCTATGTAGGGAGCCCTTTAAGGCTCAAGTATCTACTAGAAAGGTACATGATCCTTTGGGTTCCATCTTATCCCAAAGGTTGGTTCAGGGTTCGGGGTTTCAGGTTCAGCCCTCTTGTCCCCTAGGCCTTAGCCACTGGCAGGCTTTCGCATATCCCTTGCGCCAAGATACAAGCGTGTATAGTTACCGACATCACTTCTTAGGGTGCCTTAATACAACGTTACTATACTATCATGTCATGCAGCCCCAAACGCTTATCCAACTATTGAGGCCGCCATGTTGGGATGCTATATAAATTAGTGCGTTGTTCGGGATGGCCGTTTGCCGGCAGAAGGTAGGGACTGTGGGCTTATCGGGGCCATACAGGGGTGAGGGATTCAAGGCTTTCGGGGTTGTCAGGTTTTAACTGTGGCGCATTGATAGTCAGAATAGGGATTCGGGGTCTTGTTCTAATATAGGCATAGCACGAAACCCAATGGAATTATCTCACTATAGTTAGTCAGACATGCATATTAGGCTTGGGGCAACTGTGTTCCAAAGGCTTGACGCTATAAGACAGCTATTATACATACTTGAGGGGAGCTCAAAAGTGGCGGCAGAGGGCCTTGCCCTTGTTCCAATCCCCTAAGTCTCCATGTACCCATGTAGTGGATAGTTATAGGGATCCCTTTTGAGGCTGAAGTATCTACTATAAAGGTACATGGAGCCTGTGGGGAAGTCCCCAGCATATGGTTGCGTGGCCATGGCACGCAGGTCGTTTCTTGATGGTTTCGTCTGAGCTTTCATGGTTGACAGAGTAGTTGCCTGATGGAGACCGGCGCCCTGCAATAGTCTACTTGGAGGATCCTGGGACTTAAAATTGAACTTGCATATAACCCCACCTTAACCTACCAGAACCCATTTTTTGCAGGGTCCCTGCAAATCCCATATTGAGGGTTTATAATAAGAACCTACAGAAAAGTAGGGTTTAGTAGGTCTAGGTATAGTTACGAAGCCCGATGATCCTTCAATTAACTGCACACGCCCTACATCCCAATTGCCCCGCTCCATTCCCAAAGGCTCCATGTACCTTTATAGTAGATACTTAAGCCTCAAGGGGGTCCCTATATAGGTACTTTAAGGCCTAAGTATGTATCTACTATGTGGGTGCATGGAGCCTTAGGGATTGTAACCCCAGGCACATCAGTACCTGGAACGGAGCCTGGTGCTGAGCCATGAGGGTTGAGGGGTTCAGGGGTTGAGGGTTTAGGGTTTAGGGGTTTAGTGTTCAGGGTTTGGGGGTTTAGGGTTTAGGGCCCTGCTACGCCTTTGAACCTCAATCGAAGGCTCGGTTCCGAGGGTTATTGAACCCCATGCCACAAAAGTGACGACATATTGCTTAATACTCCTCCATTTTCTCCATACGGGTTTAGGGTTTCAGGGTTTAGGGTGTTAGGGTGTTAGAGTGTTCGGTTTTAGGATATATAGGGTTGGCACAGGGGGTCGGAACAAGGACCAATACTCTGCCGTAGGGCTCCTTGTTATCATTCTCCAAAAGGGTGGTTGTCAAAATTAGGTCCCTTTTTGGGTACCCTCAAAAATAGATGCCGTACTATACTAAGGAATCAAAAAAAGGGGCCATAATTTCGACAACCACCCAAAAGAGTACAGTGCCGCAAGACCAAAACCCTGAAATCGCGGCCTTGACCCGAACAGGCTTTGCTTGGAGGTTCATGGGACTTAGTAAGTACAGTTATAAGTACCCAAATTTGGGATTATAAGTACATACAAGTGCAGTTACCTTAATTATAACCCTGTAGGTTCTAAGTCCCATGAACCTCTACGTGTCGTGTCCAACCACACCCCAAAAGCTGTTCTACCCTATTACGGGTTTAGGGTTTATGGCTTTATAAGGCCCGAATATTAGCAATGGCAAAGGTAGCAAGAAAGGTGAAGCCCCCAACACCAAATCTCGAGAGGGTTGAGGCTTTGATGTTTTTGACCCTAAACTCCCATATTATGGGAGTTTCCGAAAATTAGGGGCACCTTAATTTGGGGGGTCCTTATAAACAAAGATCCTACTGTCTAGGGTGCCATATTAGCTCAATGAGCTTAAACAAGGTTTACCATAAACCTTGAACCCTACTCCGCAGACCCTTAAAGTAAGTTCTCAAAACCATTTCGCGAACCCATCGCCAGGCCACGGATTGCGTCAGAGTGCCCACCCAAAGCCCTAAACTATGGCTTATGGAGGGACGTTACGTCCGAACGCAATGAGGCTGTCTTGCTCCAAACCTCAGAGCCAAAAGCATCGTATTGGTTATAGGCGTTTCGCATCTAGGGTTTTTACCTGAACCATGCACCTGAAACCTTAAACCATGAAGCACGAGTTCAACACTAGTCGAGCTTTATTGAGCTCGGAGTTGCGTCGTCCTGGGCTTCGGGAACCTCAAGGACCGCCCACTTTGGCAATTTGGATTTAAGGAGAATCGCGGCTGAGGGCAGCACTAACCCTAAACCTTAGCCCTAACCGCCCTAACCCTATGCCCTGAAACCTCTTTTGGCAAGGCCATAACCGACAAGTACTACTGGTCGCAGTCGCTGCAAGAGGCCGGCTGAAGGGGTTTGGCAACCGTTGGAGCTTGGTGTGGGGTTTAGGGCTTATGGTTTAGGGTGGGGGATGGTAAGTTTTCTTTGATCATGAGTACTCGCAGACGCGATGAAAAAATGACAACAACAGCATGTCGTGTTGCAGCACACGCGAGTTTGGAGTCACAACCAAGAGTGGGTTAATTCATCGGCAACCATGACTACGGTTGATGGTATAAATCCTGCATGACCCATAATAAGGAATATACCATAATTCCCATAGTTTAGGGTCCTTAAGGTAATGCAGGACTTATATCATCAACCTAAACCCTAAACCCTAAAACCCTACAGATCCCATAAAGGAACCCCTTGAAGGTGCCCCTGTAGATCCCTTTTTACAGATCCCCAGGATTTATATCTCGGCTCCGTGACTGGAGAGACTGCAGCGATAGCCAAGGCTGCCAGCAAACTTAAAACCCGATCATCTCTCCATGGGTAAAAGGAGGGACGCTTTAAAGGGATCTATAGGGATTCTATAAGGGTATAGGGTTTAGGGGTTTGGGGGTTTAGGGGGTTTAGGGTAAAAGGAGGGACCCTTAATAAGGACCCCTAGGTATATACCGTTAATATAGCCATTATATACCCATTAAAGAGCCCATTGTAGGGGTCCCCATTAAGGGTCCCTCCTTTTCCCCTTTGAACCTACTGCAACTTCTAGACCCTAAAAGCACCACGTTCCGCAGCCCGGACATGCCTCCATTACATTAATTAAACCCTATAAACTCTGTTGACCAGAAAACCTGTGCAAAAAGCAGCATCCGTATTCTGAGCGTTTTAGAATATGTGGGGGCTTTGTGAATCCCGCTCCACATTCCAAACCCTAAACCGGAACTTCAATCCCCAAACCCGACACCCTCATCGCTGTGCCCTAACCCATATGAAACCCTAAGCTCGACACCCTAACCCCGTACTAGTGCATGGCCCCAAAACCCTACAAAATCCTAGGCTATCACCCCTTAACCACTGGGTCTAAACCTCGATAGTAATTAGATGTATCTAGGTTTTCGGATGCACAGGTAAGCCCTGAACCTACACGGGCTTAAACCCGAAACCCTAAGCGGCCGTATGCCTCAAATCTCAAAACCCTAAACCCTGAACCCCTACTTGGAGGAAACTGGGACTTTGTAAGTCAGGTTATAAGTACCTTCATTGGGGTTATACGTAATTCTACGTATGGCTACCTTATTTATAACCCTAGTTACAAGGTCCCATGATCGTTTAAGTAAACCCGGTTCGAAACCATAGAGCAAGCCCTCACCCTAAACCCTAAACCCTAAAACCCTAAAACCCTAAACCCTAATACCCTTTGCTGCGTCCCCCGTATGTGCCAACCGGCAGGTGACCATCGAGGTGGAAGTTGGCACCTGCAAGGCAAGCTGCGGCTTGGGAGCTACAAGATGGTTTCGAATGTATATATATATATATGTATATATACATACATACATATAAGTATACACACACATACAGATATATGTATATATGTATAGGAGTGCATTTCTGATTACTATTGTTGACTATTGTTACGATCTATTTTATTGTTATGAGTGTGTGTGAACAACATGTTCTTAATTATCATCGGTATCCTTATTTTCATCATCGTTATAGTGTCCTTGTCATTAATTAAGATTATCTTTCCTATTAGCAGTATTGTTTACGTTATTGTTAATATTTAAGAATATCCTGCCGACACTTTCCAACCATGCGGGTGGTTGACGGTTTAGGGACTCACATGTTATGGATAGGTTTATGACCCAGCCAACTGCAGCATTTTTTCTATTTGGTTGTCAACAACACCCAATGATCCTGGAGTGTCAGTAGTTCGAGGTGCGGGTCAACGATTTCTGCCCTTCCTGAGCTCCTAAACCCCTAAACCTTAAACAAGACCTTACTTACATTCTTAAGGAGTTATATCAGGTATTCACCAGAAGGAATCCTTAGAAGGTACAAGTAGGTGGGCTTCAAGGGTTAGCTACTATTCTAAAGTTGCTGCTCAGTCACCAGTATCGCGGTAGTCGTTTTGGCTATGGCCATCATCATGTCTAGTATGCATTCGAATGCCTGTGATAGTTTTGTGATGGCTGCCATGATGACTATCCTTGGCGAGTATTGGTGTAACACGAAGGCCCCAACAACCTGGCTCATCCTGGTAAGGAATTCTAGCTGTTCGGCAGTCGGAAAAGAGCCCTCAAAGAAAAGATAACTTTTTTTGTGTTTGAAGGCTGCGGACTTGAAAGTGGAAATGACTGCGACGAGGCCGGTGTCGCAAGAAAAGACTGCTCGGTTCGGGGATTGGCAGTTGAGTTTCAAACCGGAAACCCAACGGTTTAGGGTTTGGAGTATAAGGGGGCGTGGAGAGAGCAAAGAATGGGACTGGATTTCTAGCTGCGGGACTGAAGCTTTGCCAATGTACTATAGGGGCTTAAATAATAATTACCAATACAATTTTAGGGGTTCCTTACTATACTTATAGTAGAATATACCCCCAAACCCTATTCTAATTAATTTTTCGGGCCCCTATTATATCACAAGTTGTGACACCGTGTTGGACCCTGGACGGCCAGCTCAGCTGCAGTAAGGGATCTCTGAAAATGGAACACACCTGGCTTTTGGATTCTACTGTCGGCCGGGGTGACCCCTTCAGCCTTTACCATCACATCCTGATTCTGAATGCTAGTGGAATGCTCCAGCTGAAGAGTATAAACACCCTAAGTGTCCATTCAGCCAGATAGTTTATACCCTGCCCCCGGAAGTGACAGTGTAGGAGCACCCTGCAGGCCGAAGCATACATTTTATAGGTGCATGGACCCTTAGGGATCAGGTTTTGGGGTTTGCGGTTTCCAAAGGTAATATGGGGATTTCCAAAAATCGGGATACCTTTATCTTGGGTCCTTACAATAAGGATTCTACCATTTAGTGTACTATAATCAGGGTCCCCTCCTTTCGGAAACTCCCATGCAGGGGCCTACCTGCTTCTGGTCCCGATGTAATTAAGCCATGCTTTATGCTTTACCCCCCACCCCCCCCCACGTAAGCCTCAATCACCTGCGGCTGCTAACGTGTCTGGTCCTTAGTAGGCAATGGGGGAATGGATTATGGAGACTAGTGTGGGGGATTATGCAGGAACCAGTATGACAGTATGACTATAGGGATCCATTCCCCCATCCCCTGCTCAGAACTAGACAGTAGTGTGTTCGGCTGTCGCGGTTTCAGGTTCAGGATTTCAGTGCTACCACTGGCATCACCCTAAACCCTGAGCCCATGCTACGGTTCATGGTTCAGCGCTTAGGCTTTGAGGTTTAGGATTTAGGGCTTAGGGTTCAGCGTTTAAGGTTTAGGGCTTCTGAAGGCACGAAGCCCGCCATCAAGGCTCTCTGTCAAGAGGGTTTATGATAGAACCCTTATAGCACCCATATAGAACCCATATAGGGCTTAAGGCTTATAAAAGCCATGGAAGCCCTCCATGAAACCATTTAGGGGTTTAGGGTTTAGGGTTTGGTTTAGGGTTTAGGCTTTAGGGAGGCACCCTAAACCCTAAACCCCTCCATCGAGGCTCACTGTGAAGAGGGGAGAGGAGACGATCCTCTCCGGCAAGCTGCATGAAAAGATTCTTCCCGAGGAGCTCCCAAAGCTTCAGGGGTCTAATAGTAGGGTCTCTTTAAAGGGCTCGGTTTGGGTTTAGGGTTTAGGGGTTTAGGTCCTAAGGTTTAGGGTCTAGGGTTTAAGGACTAGGTTCCTGAGAAGCTTCAGAAGTCTAATAATAGGGTCTCTTTAAGGGCTCCTTTGAGGGCTTTGAAGGCCAGTATAGGGTTTAGGGCTTATAAGTCTTATAGGGTTTAGGGCTTGTAAGGCTTATAGGGTTTAGGGCTTACAAGGCTTACAGAATGTAGGGCTTCTAGGGTGTAGCGTTTACGGACTAGGTTCCTGAGTGGTACCCTTTTGCCCGTTTTAGTTTAGGGTCCCCTTAGTAAAACCGAATAGTGGGAAAAAGGGTGCCCTTATGCTAAAGGGGCTACTCAACAACCTAGAGGAGTCTTGCAGGGCAGCCCAACACCTAAAGGGTTGCATCCATAAGGGTTCTGAAGTGTTTGTGTTTGACTATGTAAGGGTTCTATAGGGTTTAACGGTTTACTTGCGGATCTCAAAACTGAGGGGTTACACTTTATAACAGAGGAAGTATAACCTCGCTACGACAGGGCTTATAGCCTATACATTAGAAGCTGCCCCCACCCTGTAATAGTGGCATAATAGGAATATAGTAGGGCCCTAATATAATCCGTATAGTCACTATTACAGGGTGGGGGCAGCTGTTGGGGGGGTGCAGGTCGGGCCCAAGGACCAACAAAGCGTTTTAATGGCCGGCATTACGATGGAAAGTGTATGTTTAGGTGCTTGCGGTTGATGATATAAATCCTGCATTACCATAATAAGGAATATACCATAATTCCCATAGTTTAGGGTCCTTAAGGTCATGCAGGACTTATATCATGAACCGTTGTCAGGGCTCATGAAGCTCTACAAGACGCGAGCCCACGATGATGGTTGTCGAGCCTTGCTCCTAAACCCGATGCTATTTGGCGGGTTCCGGAAAGACGGGACCCTGATAAAGTACCCCAAACCCTAAACCCTAAACCCTTAATAAGGACCCCCAAAATAAATTACTTCCTATTTTCGGAAACTACCATTTTGAACCTTAAGCAGCTTCGAGTCGATCACAAGTAAAACGGCCACGACACCTTCAGCGACTGTTCTGCTTACCTTTGCTGACTAGGGAATGGAAGAATGGTAGTAATAATATTAATAGATAGTAGTAATAACTGTACCCCATTCCTCCATTCCCTGTTACTAACCCAAGGTAAGTTTGTGCAAGCTTCTTTTGGGGGGAATAGGAAAAGATGCAGGTAAAACCTCAACCCTAAACCCTCTTTCTTATTTTTTTGTGATGTGCGTGAAGATTTGGCAAAACCCTGCCGACCTCAATGGTAAGTTCTCTAAATTAGGGTCCCTTTTATATGGGTGCCGTACTTCTCTGGGGACTTGCAAAGCCTCATTCGAGAACTACCCTAAAGCCTAAAAGGACCCTCATTTAGAGAACTACCCGATCGAATCTCCGCAGACTCTGAATACCGGGCTCCCTGTTCCTTGAAAGCCGAACGCCATGTAGCGCAGGGTTTAGGGTTTAGGGATACTACACCACAATCCAACATTAATAATGGTGAAGAACATAATGGTGAAGAACAGAATATAACAGAATAGAGTTGAACACAGGCTGACATACTACAGCATGGTAGAGTCGTCCTTAAACCGAAGTTAGATCCCGACCTGTTTTCCAAGCAGATGTCGATTGCTGTGGAAGTTGGTCTCCTAAGTGGCAAGACAGCCACTGTGGAAGGCGACTTGGATGAAGAAGTTGCAGTATTCAAAGGTCGGGCAGAGACCGCACTTGGAGTCGGAAGGGGACGGCTACTGGACTCATCTGGGAGAGTTCTGGACGTATCTGCACCGGTTAGAGAAGCCGGGGTGCAGAATGGTGACTCGTTGACCTTGCATACACGCCAGGTTCAAATCCAAGCCACGAATGCCGCTTTTGCTGCGATTCTTGGAGACGCATCTGTCGTGACCTGGGGATTTGAGGAGTGGGGCGGCGACAGTAGTGCTGTTCAGGACCAGCTTAAAGATGTGCAGCAAATCCAGGCCTCCTGGGCAGCCTTCGCTGCCATTCTTGGTGATGGATCGGTCGTGACGTGGGGGAAGGATGTGTATGGTGGTGACTGTACAGCCGTGCAGGATCAGCTGAAGACCGTGCAGCAAATCCAAGCCTCTCACTCAGCCTTTGCTGCCATTCTGGGTGATGGAACTGTGGTGAGCTGGGGCAATGCTGAGTTTGGTGGTGACAGCAGTGCCGTTCAGGATCAGCTGATCAATGTGCAGCAGATCCAAGCTTCTCGCAGCGCTTTTGCTGCCATTCTTGGCGATGGATCCGTCGTGACCTGGGGTAGTGCCTACGGTGGTGGTGACAGTAGTGCTGTGCAGGATCAGCTAAAGAATGTGCAGCAGATCCAAGCCTGTGAGCGCGCCTTTGCAGCCATTCTTGGCGATGCTAGGATGCCCAGTAGTACCCTTATTCCCTTTTTGTAGTCCTAGGTTCCTTATAGAGTTACCCAATACCAAAAAGAGAGGCCTTTTTATTCTTAGGTTACTGGGTATTCTAGGATGAATCGGTCGTGGTCTGGGCTGGCCCTGATGATGACTGCCGTCTTGACGGTCGTGCTGTGCAGCATCAGCTCAAGAATGTGCAGCAAATCCAAGCCTCTGAGCATGCTTTTGCTGCCATCCTTGGTGACGGATCGGTCGTGACTTGGGGTCTTGAATTCTATGGTGGTGACAGCAGTGATGTTCAGGATCAGCTGAAGAATGTGCAGCAGATCCAAACCAATGGTTTCATTTTTGCTGCAATTCTTGGCGATAAGTCTGTCGTGGCTTGGGGTGGAGGCTCTGAACACGACTTCAGCGATGATGTGAAGGAGCAGCTCATAGATGTGCAGCAGATCCAGGCCACAGGACGAGGAGCTTTTGCCGCGCTTCTTTGCGATGGCTCCGTTGCTAAGTCTCACATTCAGTCCTTCTTCCCCCTTTTCTAGTCTTAAACCCGAAAGCCTAAACCCAAAACCCCAGCCTTACGCCCTGAACCCTCAGGTTCCTTGTAAAAACCATCAAATACCAACAAGGGGGCCCTTTTCTTTCCTCGGTTGCTGGGGATCCCAGGTTGTGACCTGGGGACCTGCGAATGTTGGAGGTGACTGCAGTGCTGTTGAGGATCGTCTGAAAAATGTGAAGCAGATCCAAGCTTCTGATGGTGCCTTTTCTGCCGTTCTTGGTGATGGCTCCGTCGTGACCTGGGGTGCCGAACGTGATGATTTCTATCCGTATGGTGCTGACAGCACGGCTGTGCAGGATCAGCTGAAGAATGTTCAGCAGATTCAGACCTCTGACCGCGCTTTTGCCGCTATTCTTGACAATGGTGCTGTCGTGACCTGGGGTGCAGCCACGAATGGAGGCGACAGTAGTGCCGTGCATGACCAGCTGAAGGACATGTAACAGGCCTGCTGCTGGTTTTCCGTCTTTCAGCATCCGTTAGGTGGTGTTGGGAATTCTCTGCCTACCTTAACCTACCCGAACCTAATTTTTTGTAGGGTCCCTATAAATCGCAAACCAGGGTTTTAGTAGGTCTAGGTAGACTAGAAGCAATCCCTAAGCCTCCCTAAACCCTATAAAAGCTTAAACTAATACCATAATTACCCATACTATTTTTCATTTTTTCTGCTTTTTACCCCGAAGGGTCGGCGTTGGTTTGCTTGGACGGTTTAGGGTTTAGGGTTCCTTTAAAGGGGGACTATAAGGGTACTATAAGGGCTCCTTTAAAGGGGCTCGATGAGGGTCTAGGGTTTAGGGTTTGAGGGTTTAGGGTTTGAGGGTTTAGGGTTTGAGGGTTTAGGGTTTGAGGGTATAGGGGTTTGAGGGTTTTAGGGTTTAGGGGTTCAGGGTTTAGGGGTTTAGAGTTTGGGGTTTGAGGGTTTAGGGTTTAGGGTTTGAGGGTTTAGGGTTTAGGGGGTTTTAGGGTTTGAGGGTTTAGGGTTTGGGGTTTTAGGGTTTGAGGGTTTTAGGGTTTAGGGGTTGAGGGTTTAGGGGTTTAGGGTTTGGGGTTTGAGGGTTTAGGGTTTGGGGGTTTAGGGTTTAGGGGTTTAGGGTTTAGGGGGTTTTAGGGTTCCAGGTTTAGGAGGTCTAGGGTTTAGGGTTTGGGGTCCTGCGTCCGGCATGGACACTTTGTGTTGCAGGATTTGAACCTTTCATTTCGATTTTAGGGTTAAGGGTTCACCGCTTTCCAATGAAGCTTCGCCTGCGACCCTCAAAACTTTGGGCGATTTTCCGGTGTAGGTTTCGGAGGTTTGGGCTCAAAATTCCCAGCATACCACCCTAGATAAGGAATAACGGAATAAATTTAAATAATTGAATTATTCAAGGATCCCTGAAGATTTAAGGTATACTCCTCAGTTAAGAGATTTTGGAACGTTTGGCTTCACTCTCTAGGACCTAGAATAGGCCCTGATTCATTTTTTTAGGGTTTAGGTTCCCTTAAAAACTTTATTTAAACCAAAAAGGGGAACCCTTTTTAGTCCTAGGTTACTCTGAGGTCTACTTACCTTTCGTTAGTAGGTCTACTTACCTTTGGCTAGTAGGGAATGGAAGAATGGGGTACAATTACAACTACTATTACTACCATTCTTCCATCCCCTACTAACCAAAGGTAAGTTATAGGATTACTAAGGCCCCTATATTATAGTACCCTTATAGATCCCCTTATAGTAACCCTTATAGACCCCTTTATAAGGCCCATTCCATTCCCTACTAACCAAAGGTAAGTCTACCTTAAACTACCAAACCCTACTTTTTTGTAGGTTCTTACTATGAGCCCTAATATGGAGTTTATAGGGACCCCACAAAAAAGTAGGTTTTGGGAGGTTAAGGTAGGGCCCATAATAAGGACTAATAAGGCCTACATAAGGAAATACAGTCCCCTACACCCCTCCCCCCTACACCCCTAAGGATCCCTATGAACTAACCAAAGGTAAGTCTAGGGGTAGTTCGGCTTCCCTCTCTGAAGTTTCTGAGTTCCCGGAGCTGGATGCTGAACCCAGAAGCCTTTCTGGAGTTTAAGCCCCTTGGAGCCCGTTAGGGTGTTAGGGTTTAGGGTTTAGAGTTTCGGGTTTAGGGTTTAGAGTCGGGGGTTTAGGGTTCAGAGTTTAGGGTTTAGGGAAAAAAGCGTTTAGAGTTAATTAACCTGAACTCGGCAGGTCTTTGTGACATTTTTTACATGTTTCCCTCCTTGGATTGAGGAGGATCTCATGTACGAATCTCTTTCAGAGGTGTTAAAGGGCCAGCGTAGTAAACTCTCGCGAAGCCTATATTCGAACCAAACCCCATTTTGAGCCCTAAACCCCCTTTCGAACCCAACACCGTCTCCAAACTGCTTCTGTTCGGGTTCTGAGACTCTGAGAGGGGTTATTGTGTTTGTGTAGGCCTTTGAAGATTCATAGCCTTACAAAGTCTAAACTCTAAGCCCTAGCCCTATCCGGGGATCCAAAAACCAACCGTGTTCAGGGTTCGACTCTCTAATTAAGGGGTCATTGCCCTACTGTTTTGTACTGTAGGGTTTGGGGATACTGCTAGACCCCAAAGCCCTAAACCCTGAACTAAACTCTACATGAGCCCCTGGCCTCCCTCCGCAGTACCATGGACGCCTAAGAGGCGTCAGGGTTCAGGGTTCCCATGCACCCCAATATCCCTTAATTAAGGAGTAGGATGCCTAATATGACGTAAGGAATAATCGTTAATCAAAAAGGGATGTTGGAGTCTCTGCATGGGTTTGTCATTTAGGATTCAGGCTTTAAGGTGTCGAGTTTGGGAGTGAGGGTTCTGCACTGGAGATGTAAGACTGATGGTTTGATAAAAGGTCTTTGGGGGATTTTACCCCAACTCCTGAACCTGGGCAGTTCTTCAAACTGTGGTCCCATTTTAAGTCCCCCCCAAATGGCACGCCAGCCTCACAACAAGGATCCGAAAAGGGACCTAAATTTGGAGAACTACCCACATTGCTTCGTCCTTCGTCACCCCACCGTCGGTGCCACACGAAGCCTTTGTTATTTGTGTAAAGCGCGTGCTGGAGGAGTCTGTGTGGCACCTTGAGGACGAGCATCAGGCAGGACCATGGTCTAGCAGTTCCATTGCAGCGCTAAAGTTGCAGACCGCAACCGAAGAACCCCTGAACCCTAAACCGAAAGTCCTAAATCCCGCCTAGAAAGGACACTCCTCGCCAAATCTTAGTTTAGGACTTTCCCAGAAACTCAGTTCAGGCTTACAGCAGTTCGTTGTCCCAGGTTTTGGCTCAGGGTTGAATTAGCCCTACGGGACCAAGTACCTAGTAGTCATATTCTCTCCCAAGCTACCTACATGACCACTATCCGAAACCTAAGTACCTAGTTATGGGGTCCTTCGGACCCTTAGGGTATCGTCTCTCATGCAAAGACTAGCATCGAGCTTAATGGCGCAGGTCCTGGCAGCTTGCAGTCCGGTCCTAGTTTCAACCAAACCCTATACCCTAAACCCTAAACCCCTAAACCCCTAAACCCTAAACTTTAAACCCTAAACGCCAAACCCGAAACTGAACCCTAAACCCTAAACCCTAGACCCTCATAGAGCCCCTTTAAAGGAGCCCTTATAGTACCCTTATAGTCTCCCTTTAAAGGAACCCTAAACCCTAAACAGGCCCTAAATTGCCCCTGAAGCCAAACAGCATTGAAGCCATAAATCCTGACGCCCATACGCAGTAAGCCCCACTGGGGTTCCTTAAAGGGCTCCTTAAAGGCATCTATAGTATTGTAGGGTTCCTTAAAGGGATCTATGGGTTTTAGGGTTTAGGGTCTACTTGGAAGGGCAGGGGACTGAGTATGTAGGTTATTAAGTAGGGTTATAATTGGGGTAACTCCATTTAGGGTACTTATAACTCTACTTATAACCTACTTACTAAGTCCCCTGCCCTTCCAAGTAAGCCCGACAGACTCCATTTAACCTTTTGCTTAAAGTCACAGAAGGCTCTCTGCATAGTATAAGGTGTACACAGTAAGTAGGCAAGGTTCCGGATTATGCTTACTCCTACTTTTGATTCTTGTTCTGATTAGTATTATCTTTGCTTTGTTTATAACCCTATGTACTGAGTCCCCTGATCCTGTTAGTACTTTGTTTGAGCAAAGGGTGCTCCAGTCTCTGGGAGTACTCTGAACCGCAGGTCTTTCTGCCCCTGTATTCAGAGACTCCAATGTACGGAATAGGCCTTAAATCATAATATAAGGATCCCACTCTAATTTAAGGTATACTCCTGAATTAAGGGATATTGGAGTCTCTGGGAAACTTCAGCCCCAAAGCGCAGGGCTCAGGGTTTAGAGGCTCGTCTCGAGGCCCGAACTCCAAACCTTAAACCCTACTTGGAGGGTCGGGGGACTTAGTAACTGGTTATTTTAGGGACTTATAAGTACCATAACCCCAATTAGGGTCCCTTTTAGGGTACTTGTAAGTCTACCTACTACCTGCTTACTAAGTCCCCCGACCCTCCAAGTAGACTGTACATCCTAACTAAACCCTATACGCCCTCATGAAATCGCAGAACCGGCACCAGGACTGCTGCAAAAGCCGTCAACAAAAAACAAACCCTTTAGGACAAGCATGACACCGTGAAATAGAGGCCCTTCTACAAAGCGCCCTAGACCCTAAACCCTAAGACGTAAAAGCAGAAATCTAGCAGAGCTCGCAAAGGGAATAGCCTAACACAGCAGAATGAACAAACAACGAGAAAGCCGTGCCCGAAACCCCAACCCGGGACCCTGAGGGCCAACCCAAGACCCCAAAGCCAACAACCTCAAGACTCCAATGTCCCTTAATTAAGGTATATACCCTATCAAATTAAATTATAGTAGGATCCCTAATATGTTTTAAGGAATACTCCGTAAACCGTAAACCCTAATGGGATATCGGAGCCTCTGGGAACCCTCGGCCTTAAGCTTTACCTGAGCCCTAAACCTGGACCCGAACCCTGCATGCGGAGCAACAAGCATCTTCCCAGACCCCCGGAAGGGTCTAGAAAGTAGATCCCCCAATTTGGGGCCCTATACTATTCAGAGTCCTTTATAGGAACCCCCACACATGGATCTACTTTTTGGATCCTCCGGGGGGTCTGGCTTTTCCTAAACCCTGAGCCGCAAACCGAAGCCTGAAAACGTAAGCCCCTCCAACAAAAGCTCAGGCAGGTGATGCTGTAAAGATGCCGTGAAGGAATCCTTGCAGATCCTTGAAGCCCCTAAACCCCTAACCCGAATTCCAAACACCCTAAACCCCTAAACCCCAAACACTTAAACTCTTGAACCCGCAAACCCTAAACCCCAAACCCCAAACCCCTAACCCCCTAACCCCTAAGCCCCCTAGAAACCCCAAACCCCTAAGCCCTACACCCCTAAACCAGGTCATGCTGTCCTTGCAGAAGTCCAGGGAGACCTGGTGGAAGTGCGTCCTCGAGGGCGACCCCGTGCTGTGGCGGAAGAGTTGGTTCTGGGGCTACTTGAAAAGAGGGTTTAGGGTTTAGGGTTTAGGGAGTTTAAAGTTCAAGGATTTCTGGTAAGGGTTCCTTGGAGGGTTTCAGGGTTTTGGGGTTTGGTTCTAGGGTTACTTGAAGTTTTAAAGTTTAAAAGGGTTTCTCGTAAGGCTTCCTTGGAGCGTTGTTTTGAGCGGTTCTATTTAGGGTTTAGAGCTTTTCGGGTTTAGGGATACATGGGGCTTTAAGCTTGAAGGTTCAGTGTTTCGGGTTGTTTGGGGGTTCCACGATGGGGTTTCAGCTGCTAGACTTGAGGGTTCTCGCGTTTCTGTCCTCCAGATGAAGAGTTTCTGCACTCATGCATGCATGCATGCATCCCTAAGGCTCCATGTACCCATATAGTGTATACTCAGGCCTTAAAGTACCCATATTGGGACTACTTTGGGGCTTAAGTATCTACTATAAAGGTACATGGAGCCTTTGGGCATGTATGTATGTGCATATGTATACAAACGTACATGTAACTGCACATGTATGTATGTAACAGTATATGTGTCAGTATGTCTACATGAACAAAACTATGTGTAGCTGTAAATACAAGGATAACGAAATCTCAATATCTGTATATAGGTATATGTGTATGAAGGTATATGTGCAGGTATAAGTGCATATGTGTATGCGTTTGTGCTACATGTCTGTACATGTGTATGCATGTGTGTGTATATATATATATGTATATGTGTTTCTTATGTATGCGTGTGCGACGTGTTGTGTCTCCGTACCTGCTTATGCTTATGTATATGTGTGCATATGTGCATGTGTATGTAAAACACACGTGGCGTATATGTATGTGTGTGCATGTACGTAAGTAAGCATGTAATTATCTAGGCGACGTCCTGTTTCGAATAGACTGGAGACATCTCGAAATCGATCAACAACTGTTGACTCCCAAAGCCTCAAGGAAATCGACACGACGAAGGCTGGGTCCCATTCATGTTGTGTAGGGGGGTAAGCTGTGTGTTGTTGTGTTCTACGGGTTTTATGTGGCTTTCGCAGCTATATAGGGTTTAGTGACTTTTGTGATTGTAGGCTGTACGGTAGTGGGCCGAGCATGTAGGATTCAGGGTTTCGGTTCTTTGGATTTCGGCACGATAGGGTTTGGAGGTTATGAGGTTTCAACTATTTTGCGGCCTGCGGCTTTGGTTTTGGGTGCAGAGGAGGGTTTGCGTTTAGGGGTTATAGTGGCAGGTGTTCATACCCCAATCGCAAACCCTGGGCATCAAAATCGCCCAAAAGCCTTAATATATGAGCCCTTAGAGCCCGAGGGCCTAAACCCTAAACCGAGGGAAACCGTAAACCCGAAGGGTTCAGGCCTGACTCGTACGGAGCACGAATTAGCTCCCGCAGGCGAAGTCAGGAAAATCCATGCACATCCATGAAACCTACCCCAAGGCTCCATGTACCCATATAGTGTATACTCAGGCCTTAAAGTACCCATATAGGGACTACTTTGGGGCTTAAGTATCTACTATAAAGGTACATGGAGCCTTTGGGCTAGAGCTTGGTTTATGCTGTAGCTCTAACATTCGCCATCTCTCATCACTGTCATTGTTAGTATCATGATTATGATTATTTGGTACAAATGCTATTGCTTTTCTTATCCAGGGTGTGATTATATAATGGTATCGTTCGCACTTTCTTTGAAGGCTTCTTAATAAAGCCCTACAGCCCTAAGCACCAAAACCCTAAAGCTCTAGACCCGATAAACCCCGTCAGCCCTACACCCCTCAAAACCCTCGGGAACACAACCCGTAAAGAACAAACAAAGAACTTCCTGGGAACACACCTCGTAAGGAACAAACAAGCGTCCACGGCGTCCCCTTCTGGAGGAGGACGCTGTGGACGCTTGTTTGTTCCACACCGGATCACAACATCAAGCAGTCGAAAACATAAAAATGAGCAACACCCATCCAGAAGCAGCCATGGTCACCCCCTTCGAAGACCCACCTTCATGTAGTTTCCTATCCGTATAAAACCTTGGTCCAAGGCTCTTTATAGATAGACGCCATAAGAAACAGCGCGAATTACGATGTATTCTCGGTAGATTCTATCTTATGGCCTGCTTGCTCCTCATGAAGCTTCTCATGAACCAATGTTAAGCTTACCCGAAAACCTCTGACCAGGATCCGGCCGGGCTTTAATATAACTTATGAGGCACCAGGCGTGGCATTGTGGTACTTTTCGCATGTGCATACAAAAGTAGGGTATAGTATAGTAGAGCGTAAGATATAGTAAGGCATGGTGCCGTATACTGGAGTGTAAGATATAATATGGCATGGTGCCCCGTAATATGGGACAGAACAGTATAGTGCAGTATTGCGACGTACAGTCTAGTTCATCATGTATGTGTAGTATAGCATGATACAGAACAGCTGTATACTGTGCTATAGATACAGATTATGGTAGTCTGATATCATACGAACCTGTTGAATATGAATACTGTAGGTCGAAGGTAGAAGACAGAGATCAGCCTTATGTTCTAGCCTAGTGTATTACAGTATGTTGTGATATGACGTTGGCAGTAAAGTGCACGATAGCATATTGTAGCGTTGACGCTATATTGCAGTGTGGTATAGCCTACACTATATGGGATACGATAGTCTAGTATAGCACTACCGCAGCATGGTGTAGGAAAATACACTGTTGCATGGCCCTGTTTACTATGTTTACTATTTTAGGAGGGTATAGTAGAGCATAGCATGACAATGTTTCAATTTAGGTCATTAGAGCGTAGCATAGTACAATGTATTAAAGATAAGCATTGACGCCATAATCTAGTATGGTGTAATGCAGTCTAGTATAGCAAAGTGCAATGCAGTACCTTTCAACACGGGCAAACCCAGTACAGTAAACTCGAGCATAGATGACGATTAACTATCAAATATTGAGTGGTACTGTGTCGACTGCTATGCAATGCAATGCGGTATCGTGTAATCCAGCATAGCACAAAGGGGCTTGGTATATGGTAGTGCAACTTACTACATTCAAACATAGCCTAGTCTAGCATCAACGCAATATAGGATAACCTTGGACGTTACAGTGTTGCATAGTTTCGCAATGGTGTAAAAACAAATGGCTACTATAGTATATCAGCGGCACACCTGTAGTCTGGTTTGGTGGAACAGACTATAGTACATAATTATTGAGAGCCCTATGATCCTGAGCTCTGCAGAATTAAGGTCAACAGGTTTGGAAATATGGAAAGCCCAATGGAATTCCACATCTCCACATGTACAAAGCTCTGTGGCTTTGGACGCAGCACATGTGGAAAGGTGGAATTCCATTGAGGTTACCGTTATGTGCCAGACAGACACAATGCTGGGCCCCTGGGTCCGAGAACCAACATTGCAGGAAAAAAAATCTTGGACCCGCTCCGAGAGCTACGCGCCCCGATTTAAAGATTTGTAAAACTTAAGTGTTTAAATCGGGGCCCCGGCCCCAAGATGGATCCAAGAAACATCTTTCTGCAATCTTGGATCTTGGATCCAGCCGGGGCCCCGACTTAAACACTTAAAAAACTTAAGTCGTTAAGTCGGGGCCCCGGCTGGATCCAAGATCCAAAATTGCAGAAAAAAGTTTCTTGGATCCATCTTGGCCCCGACTTAATGACTTAACAAAATTAAACCATTAAGTCAGGGGCCGCGGCTGGATCCAAGATCCAAGATTGCAGACAAAAGTTTCTTGGATCCATCTTGGATCCGGGCGGGGCCCGACTTAATGACTTAAAAAAATTAAGTCATTAAGTCAGGGCCCCGGCTGGATCCAAGATGGATCCAAGAAACTTTTTCCTGCAATCTTGGATCTTGGATCCGGGAGGGCCCCGACTTAATGACTTAAAAAATTTAAGTCATTAAGTCAGGGCCCCGGCTGGATCCAAGATCCAAGATCGCAGACAAAAGTTTCTTGGATCCATCTTGGATCCGAGCGGGGCCCGACTTAATGACTTAAAAAATTAAGTCATTAAGTCAGGGCCCCGGCTGGATCCAAGATGGATCCAAGAAACTTTTTCCTGCAATCTTGGATCTTGGATCCAGCCGGTGCCCTGACTTAATGACTTAAACAAATTAAGTCATTAAGTCAGGGCACCGGCTGGGAACACAACCGACAAGGAAGAAACAAGCGTCCACGGCGTCCCCTTCTGAAACCCTAAAGCCCTAAGACGATCGAGCTTTGCCAGCGACGACAGTGCCATCTTGGAACGTGTGGCTCAGCTGGAGAACGGCCTTTCATCGGGGGAGAGCCTTCCACGCCAGGGCAGCCCGCCCTATGGAAGACAGAGCATTTGCCAAGGTATGGACCACCGGTACCGCGTCCCGGCCTACCTTGAGAGAGGACTCGAGGAAAACGAGGTCTGATCGGATGAGCCTTGAAGTGGCCAATACCGGCATCATGCCAGCGCATGGCCTTGGATTTCTGCTCACGACCCTTTCAGGACAGCGACAGCACTTCTGCATTCCAATCGGTTCAGCTGTTTTTAGATGGGCGCGCCACGATGCCTTCTATATTTTCGAGTGATTGTTCAAAAACAAGGGCACAGAGTCCTCGCGGTCCCAAACCTTCCAGGTGTAGTGTACGTCTAGAGGTGTACTGTCGGTTTAGCTGTGTTGTTTAGATATGTCGTCTTGTTTCCTTGTGCGGATGAAGCCTCAGGGTTATCCCATCGAGGGCGGCAGCTGGTTGAGGGTAGATGGAGTTGATTGGGTCAGCTTCAAATCTGAGTGATATTGCATTGATGGGAGCCCTTGCCAGCATAGTAGGTGAGTACTTGACGTCGTGCATACTGGAGCTTGCGCTGAGCCTGAAAGCTTGTGAGGTTGGTAAGTTTAGGAGCTATTGTTGTGATGGTTCAAGCTGTTGCAAACTGACTCTCCCTACTGTCGGGATTTCGACAGCACAGCAGTTGGAAAAGGGCCCGGACAAACAAAACTAAGCCCTAAAGCCCGAAAGTCGGGACACTAAAAAAAAGACATATTCGCCGCGAGGTAGAGTCGACTCGAAAGATGGAGGAATACGATGGCGAAACGCAGGGTGCCATAAGGCCACATACGGCTGTGAGGGTTTTGGGTGTTAAATTGGGCTTTATCTTATTTTGAAAGGGTTGAAGGGGCTGTACTTGGGCGTTATTGTAACAATTTTGGAGAGCTTGCAAGGATGCTGCTGGGTTGCAGGCTTTGCGGTTTAGGGAGGAGCCTTTGGGCAGGGCAGAGGGTTTTAAAGTCAAATTTTGAGGGCTTTGCCATGGAGGTAGCTTTGCAGCTTCCGTTTTGTTGCGGCTTAGGTCAAGGGACTGGTGTTTAGGGCTTCGTGTCCGTGATCGGTCACCACGAAGAAGTCCAAGCAGAGGAGGCTCCTTCAGGAACCTCGATCTGAAAATGAGAATCCGCTGCACCCGTGCCGAAAATGCCGAGCTCAAGCCTAGTAGTTCGTGCGAACATCGAGGGGCCTGACTTCCGAATCTAAGTACCCAAAGACAGGACCCCGCATCCAAGATCCCGCAAAAGCACATACACAAAAACTTGGCGTTCTTCTGGTTGGCTCTTTAGACTTTAACTTTTTGGATTTCTATATGAACTGTAATAAAGAGGCAAAAAGTTTAACTTGTAGGAGGGGTTCAGAAGTCAGCCAAGAAAAGACATTTGCAAGCCCAGCCCTGACCTCCAGGACTGAGATTAAAGGCTTAGCTTGGATTTAGGGGTCAAGTCCTCTTACTCGCAACATCGAGGCAGTACCCTAGCCCCTAGACCCCGAAACCCTAAACGCAACCCTACAAGGACGATGTAGATCGTTCCTAGGCTTCAGTCCAATCAAAGCCCAGGGGCAAACCCTAGCAAACAAATGACAAAGGGTTTAGGGTTTAGGGTTGCTTCAGCCAAGAAACCCTGCATCCCCTCTCGAAGCCCATAATCCCGTATTCTACAAGTAAGTTTCAGGCAGGTACACGTACTACGCGATCCAGCTTTTCTCTAGCGCCTCCAAGCGTTTAGGGCTCTAAGGGTACTGTTCGTTTGGGTTTCGGCCCTCGACCGTCGTCGCTGACACCCCAACTCCCTTAATACAGAATCCTATGCAGGAAGATCATGTTCGACCAGAACCAGAAGGTCCAGGCACAGGGGCGCTGAAACCACTACTTCACCTCAGATATTTTGGAGTTCAAGATTTGCTACAGGCGGCCCGAAACCTATGGTTTATTACAATCCCTAAGAAGCAGCTGAAATTTATGATTTTTGCTAGGGGTCTAAGTTTGGTAAAGGTCTAATAGGTTCTTTTTCGGTTTTGGAGTTGAGGTGCTGAAGTAACCCTAAACCCTAAACCCTAAACCCCTGAAGTTTTCGCGAGCTTCAGTTTTGGATCTTCATGCTTCAGGGTCCAGGGGTGCATGGGACTTAGTAACTTAAAGGGTTCCTGAAGCGGTTCCTTCAAGGGTTCTATACGGGATCTATCGTGATTTAGGGTTTAGGGTATACTTTGAGGTTCATGGGACTTAGTAAGTACAGTTATGAGTACCCTAACTGGGGTTACAATAAGTTTTTATAAGGTATAGTTACGGTATTTGTATCCCTAGTTACTAAGTCCCATGAACCTCAAAGTATACCCTAAACCCTAAATCACGATAGATCCCGTATAGAACCCTTTAAGGAACCGCTTAAGGAACCCTTTAAGTTACTAAGTCCCATGAACCTCCAGGTACAGGTGATTCAGGATGTGGGGCTTTCGAGGTGCTGGGCGTTAGGATCTCAGGCCACGACTGGTTGGCCTTGGTCCTGCAGCCCTTCTATTATAGGATCCTTAAGGGAAGGTGGTTCAAGGGGGAGGGTATAAGGAATCGTTAGGGGACTCCCTCAAGAATACTACAATTCTACCCCAAGCCCCAAAAACCGAGATCCGCATCCATCCCTGTCCCTGCTGGCCTTCTTCTCGAAATCTGGACCCGTTTTATATTCGGTAGAGCTTTCATCAAGAAGCCCAGAGCACCAAGACCCAAAGCCTCGTGACTCAACTCCGACTGCCGAGCCCTCCCGTCGACTACGTCGGGAATTCGGGCTCGAGCCCAAAACCCTGCTGTCTCAACTCATAGCAAGACCTACAACTACTGAGGCCTGTATGCCCAGACCTCCGAGCGGATCTAGAAAGTAGATCCCCTAATTTGGGGCCAAATTCTACTAAGGCTGATTTATAGGAACCCCATTAAGGGATCTACTTTTCGGAACCTTTCGGGGGTCTGGGTAGCAATCTCAGCCCCATCGCCTCGCGCAACTGAGCCCTCCATCCTGCACCTTTCACCGTGCACAGCCTCGATCAGGAACCCTAAGCCCATGTAGAGAGCCTTTACAGGCCAGTATATTTTTCAGAAACCATATATCAGTATCCGTGACTCCTTCTACCCTAAACCCTAAGACCTTAATTATATATATATATATATATATATATATAAGCCCTAAAGCCTAAAAGCTTAACGCTAAACCCTCATCACTTCGACCCTGTAAAACCTCACGCTCTCCACGTGACCTTCGAGCCTTGCGCAGTTGCCAGGGCAGGCCCAGCTCAGATCAAATCCGCACAGCAGAGATGATGAAGGACTTGCGGACCCAATTAATATCGGTGTGTGTGTATATACATATATGATATGTATATACACAGAAGATAGACATACATACATACATATATATATATAATATATATATATATATATATATATGTATATGTATTTGTGTATGTAAAGGTATAGATGTATGTGTGTAGATGTCACGCACATAGCTATCTTGGTGTTTGTTCTTGTAGTTTCTGAGGCCTGAATTGGTCGCAAGGTTTCGAGGTCGGAAAAGTTCAGGGCTTACCTGCAGCCGAAGCAGGCCCAAAGGCTCCATTTACCTTTATAGTAGATACTTAAGCCTTAAAGGGGTCCCTATACTGGTACTTTAAGGCCTAAGTATGGTATACCTTTATAGTAGATACTTAAGCCTTCGACGGGTCCCTATATGGGTACTTTAAGGCCTAAGTATGTACCGTATGGGTGCATGGAGCCTTGGGGAGGTTCGGTTAGCTGCATTTGCTTAGTCCCGCGAAGCTGCAAGTAGGATGGTGGCTGCATGATCATGGGAGTTTCCGAAAATAGTGGATCCTAATATGGTACCCTAAATAACAGGATCCTTATTGGGACCTATACATGCCCTTGACCCTCTTCGGATCATGTGTTTGGCTCCAATGGCTCTAATGCTCGGCTGGAGTCATTCCGGAGAGCAAGATCATGCTGCGTTTTTTTTGGTTGCCTATACCCTAGAGATTTACGGACTCACATTAAGGCTTTTGGGCCCAAAGACCATACTATATAAGGCTTTTGGGCTATGTTGAGCCTTAGGGTTTAGGGCCTTGCTGTGAAAGGTTACGTCTGGGCTGGGGTCGGTGTAGGTTTTACGACAAGCTTCTTCATCCAACTGCTTGCAAGACCTCAGCCATTTTCCTACTTGCAGAGCCCTGGGGTCATTATTTTTATTTCAGAGCCTATAGGATCGTTGTTCGAACCTCTTGTGCTGGTCTAGGTCACCTTCACAAGTTAGCGTGATTGTTGGGGTCCTGCTTATGTTTGAGACCCCAGCGATAGAGGAAGTAAGACCATGTTGTAGAAATCCTCCTGTATAGGTTTTACGAGTCAAGTCCTAAACACGGTTCTGTAGGCAGAGCGGGTAAGAAGCTTTCAACTCTTTCAGGGATTTGGCGGTTTATGGCACCGCATCCAAAGTGGGCAGAAGCTCCACATTGCCCCCGTCCTTAAACCTCATGTCGCATCCTTTTTGCAAAGTTCCGTAATGCAGGTGTCTGGCTAGTTAGGCCTGAATAACCATGTGTAATTTACTCTGACACCGTGGTCTCGTTATTCAGGCCCCTAGCTTTCTCAAATCTGAACCTTATAAAGCCAGCCTTCGGCGGGAACCTTCTCAGCTTTCATGTTAGATTCCAGGAGGGTGAGGTTTTCTTACTGCTGCTGAAGCGAGGGCTTCAGAAATTAGTAGTGACATCTCCGTATGGTCCTCAAGAAGTTTTCAAAACACTTGCAGAATTCCACAAGCCGCCTTCGTCATCAATATTGCTGCAGCTCCTTTGGTTTCCGCATGCAGTTCGTTCGAGGATGCCTGGAACGCACCAGGTTCTCCCTTCCGAGGTACGGATTTCGTGCTGATCTCAGGACTTACTACGGCTACGGGTTTAGGGTGCTTTAGGGTTTAGAGTGGCGGCTTTGGGTAAATAGGTTGATGATCTAGGGTTTTAGAGTTGAGGGTGTGGGGCTTGGGCTTTGGGGTGCAGGGAAACTTGGCTATATTCGATCCTGACCTTCGCCGTTTAAACAGACCAAGCAGTGCGATTTAAAGAAGTTTTGATGGGTGCTGCGCGTTTGGTTTAGGGGTTGGAGGTTTTAGACATGTGAGTGTAGAACCTTTGGTTACGGTTTGTTGTTCAGGGTTCGGGTTGAGGATACTTGGAGTCCATGTATCGTTACAGCATACCGTAAACTACCATAGCCTATCTTGACTTAGGTTCTGATTATAAACCCTAAACCCCAAACCCCTAAACCCCTAAACCCCTAACCCCTAAGCCCTAAACCCCTAAGCCCTAAACCCCTAAGCCCTAATCCCCTAAACCCTAAACCCCTAAGCCCTAAACCCCTAAAACCTAAACCACAATCTAGACTTTCCAGGGACCCGACGAAAAGTAGGTTCCGGTAGCTCAAGGTACTGCTATACGTGGGCTCTAAGACTGTTTGACAAGAACCCGGGTCCACTTGCGCCGACCAGGGCAGATTTCCACTGCAGTTTTGAAGGGTGGGTTTCGGGTTTAGGGTTGAGGGTTGAAGGGTTGGTGGGTTTTGCAGGGTCTCGATTTCGACTTTTTGCCGCAACCTCGCTTTCGAATTGATTTGTGCTTTTGTCGTGTGAGCTCTCTCGGGAGGTCATAGTCCTGTTGTCTCTTCAAAGCATCAATGGGTTTAGGGTTTAGGGTTCAGGGTTTAAGGTTTTTCAAGGCATCAATCATTGGAAGCATGCTGAAGTTCCTTCTGCCCGCGGACTAGCCGCGAATGAACTAGTGTGCAGCACTAAAGGCTCCAGCAGCATGCGAAAGCAAGCTCGTAGATTTACAGGTGCAGTGGCAGCATCACATAATGACGCAGCATAGGCTAGGGCATTGGGGGCAGTCTTCTGTGTCGCTCGTCAAAAAGTAGACCTGTCATTGTTGCCATCGGCGCGGCCCTCAAGTGCAACGACTTTATCCTGGCCGGGTGCTGCATATGGCGCCAGAGGCACCCAAAGCCAAAGGACGACCACGTAAGCGTCACATCCTCACACCACAAGAACATCAACAACGGAAGCCCTTCTTTTGGTTCATTGGCCGAGCATTCGCTCGTGCCTCGCGATTTCCCCAGTAGGGTTCATTGCCCTTGCGCGGTGTCCGACCCTGCGGACAGTACCCTGGGCTGCTGGGTCTCTGGTTCAAAAACCAGACCGGCATTATCGTGGACAGATGCCGATATCTGGCAGAGTCTCTTAGGTTGACCTGCCCTTGCCATGCCGGTGCCCCACTGGACGCGGCTGGATGCGGGGATTAACGTTCGGTCGGCGGCCTGGGATTGGGATCCATGGGCCCCCTTTCTCGACTCACGACGGCCAGGATGGAGACGCCGTGTGAATGAGAACTGGTCTGAGGACGGTTACGGGTTTAGGGTTTAGGGTTTAGGGTTTAGGGGTTACGGTAGACCCTAAACCTTGAATCTTAAAGGCCTTACAAGCCCAAAAAAACCTAGCCCGTGAACCGTAAACCCCTCACCTGTGGGCCTTGGGGCTTCGTGGTTGTTATAGGGTCTAAACCCCTAAACCCCAAGCCCGTAAACCCCTAAACCCCTAAACCCCAAACCCTAAACCCCTAAACCCTAAACCCTAAACTCCAACCCCTAAACTCTAAATCCTGAATGCCTTTGCTCGGCCAAGGATCCGACGATGTTAAACTTGTCGGGACCTGTTGGCGAAGAGTTCTTCAAGGCAATTGCTCTTTTAGGGGTTAGGGCGGGGCTCTTTCACATTATTAAGGCAAGTGGTCAGCGCTCTAACTAGTTGGGTTTAAAGCTTAGGGGTAATAGAGGGTTTTAGGGTTCTGGGTTTGAGGGTTGTTTTGGGGTGGCTTCCGGCTTCGTGCCGTTTCAGCGCGGTTCACTTTCGCGTTTCATGGCTTAGCTTCGGCTCCAAAAACCTACCCAGAGGGTCTAAGTACCCAAATAGTAGGGTTTAGGTCCCAAAGTCCAGACTCTGAACGGTTTTTGGACCTTGAAACCCTGCTATTTGGGTACTTGGACCCTTAGGGCTACCGCGTATGAGAAGGATACCATAAACTTAACCCTAAGTGGGAGTTTCCGAAAATAGGGGACCGTAATAGAGTACCCTAAATATTATGAGGACCCCAAAATATGGCACCCCTTATTTTCGGAAACTCCCAAGTTCTCTTCCCTGAACCTTCAACCTTGTGGTCCTTAGGTGCTAGATACAACCCGGGTCAGGCCTGAAGTCGCTTTGAAACCCAAGGGGAGTTTCAGAGCCACTCATAGGGAGCTTATACAACAAGATCCTTCAATGCAAGGATCCCAAAAAAGAGCCCATCATAGTCTCACAATTTCAGACAGATCTGCAAGACCGCCAAACAAGACCCGGTATAAAACTTGTCGAAACACAATTAAAGCACGAGTTAAGAATCCCTACAGAATCTGATGAACAACAGCACATATACCTTCGACAGGAAATGGGCATGCGCCTGGGCACGTCCTTGATAGACTAGGGTTTGGGGTTACGGTTGAGGGTTAGGACTCAGGCACTCGTGGATATGATCTAGAAGAACGTCCAGTGAGATTTGCGCAGTCATGCTTCCCAAAACGGATCGAATCACCACGTTTGTATTGAGTCGGACCGAGCATCAACCAGTTCTTCCAGTTTGAATTACTAGGCGCTGATTTAAGAGTTCCCGGGTTTCCGAGTTTCCGTTTAGCGCCGGTGAGTTGACAATACCTGGCTCGTTTTCCAATCTCTCAAGCCTACAGAGTGAACCCCTAGACGAAACCCCAAACCCTGCCCGGAATTCCTTCAAAACTCACTGCTAGATATGTGTATCAGCTCTTGAAGGCTTCTAGACCGAATGTAGTTTTGTGTTCTATATGCCAAGATGTTCTTCTTGGCCGTCACCTGCTGTAATATGATGCTGCAGCGGATGCAGTTGATGATATAAATCCTGCACTACCCAGAATAAGAAATATGCCATAATTCCCATAGTTTAGGGTCCTTGGGTAATGCATGATTCATATCATCAACCGAGGTTTAGAAGTCTGAAAGTGCTTTTGTGTTGTCGTGCGCGCGGAAACTGCCAATGAAGTAGCCGCTGCCCACCCTAAATTGTATTCGCCTTTGTCTTGCAAGATCTAGTTCCCCGATGAGAGCCATGGATCATGGAGATGTGTCGCAGTGCCTTCTCGAGACTCGATCTTGCATCGAGTCTGCTATGCTCGTACACAGTTTTGCTGACAGAGATTGTTAAAACGGGCTTATGCAAATGCCAACCTTCCCAAACCCTACCTGGGGATCCGAAAGCCCACTGTTTTATGGTTTAGACCCTCTATTTTAGGGGTCATAGCCTACTCTTTTGTAAGCTTTGGGGAGGCAGGTAAAGCCTAAACATCAGTCCTCGATCTAGGCTCTACCTACTAGGTATTCTAACATTTTGCAGGGAGGCAAGGAGGAAAAGGGCCCGCAACCAAAACGACAAGAACCTGTAGATAGGGCTGGTTTGTTTTGTGTTGCTTATTTTGTTGCGGTCTGTTTAAGTGTACTTGTTGTTTTGGTTTTTATTGTTTCGTTTATCAGGGTCTCCGTCCAACAGTGACGGAGTAGAGTCGTGACCCTGCCCTAGCACCCTAAAGCCTTAAAGCAAGCATCCTCACCTTGAGGTTTGTCATGGCTTAAGATGGTGCTTTATATAGGAGTCGGAATATTTAGTACTAGAAGTATTGTAGAACAAGCCTCAGAACACTGTTCTCATTATGAAGGCCCCTACATCAACTGAATTTCACTGTACATGTATACTGTAACAGAAGGGAGCCCTTTTTTATCCTATGGTGCTGGAGGTCTTAGCACTACGTGGACCCTAAGGAACCTACCTTTTCAGGGTTCCCTGATATGATTTCGTTATATAATAAAAAAAAGGTAGGTTACTTGGGGTTAAGGTATAGTATGGCTTTTTTCAGGTCTTGTTCACAATTTTTCACAGTCATCTGCGTGCTGGGGCTTCAAACTTTCGGGCTCCAGGTTCGAGTTGGGGTTGGTTTCCAAGAGAGCCCCAATACCCCCAAATTACCGTATATTATAATAAGGGGCTTCACATTGTAGTTTAAGTTATATTCCTCAATAAACCGCAAGGGTCCAGGTACCTAATAATCATACACTCTTCAAAATCCTAGCCTACATAACTACTATCCTAAAACCGAGTACCTAATTATTGGGTCCTTTGGACCCTTGGGGGAAGGGATATTGGGCTCCCTGGGCTCGGGTTCACGGTAGAAGCTGGGGAGTACAACGGTTGATGATATAAATCCTGCATTACCCATAACGAGGAACATACCACAATTCCCATACTTTAAGGTCCTTAAGGTAATGCAGGATTTATATCCCTAAACCCTAAAACCCTATAGGCCCTATAGATCCCTTAAAGGAACCTCTCAAAGGTACCCATGTAGATCCCTTTAAAGGATCCCCGGGATTTATATTAACCGTAGTGGAAGGCCCTGGGTCTTGACCCATACCCCGCCAGCTAGACCTAGACACAGGAATGCTACAAGTTAAGGTAGGGGCCTTAATACTTAGACTAGGGTTTTGGGGCCCGATATACTATAATTATAATAAGGAGCCACGAAAATAGTATTGGGTCACTGTAGTAGCATGCTTCATTTCAGTTCAAGAAACTCTGGTTAAGATGCTATAGTTTTAAGAACTCCCCCTCAACCCCTAAATCCTCAACCCTGAATCCCAAACCCTAAACCCTAAGTCCCCCGAACCCCCTCAAATAGTAAAGCCCCCAATCTCAACCCCTAAGGAGGAATACGGAGCTTTTGATTTCGCTGTTCTTCCAAGTTTAAAAGTCACCGCAACTAAGAGCAAGCGTTCTTTCCCTGGAGGGTTGGGGGCTACAGGTGCAGATAAACCATTCATCCCTACTCTAAAGCCCCCTACACTCTAAACCCCAAACCCGAATCCCCAATCCCGAAACCCCAAACCTTGAACCGTTAGCCTAAATCCCAAACCTTAAACCCCAAAGCCTAAACCCTAAAGCCCAGGAGCAGTACCAGCGCAAGAAGGATCATGCGACCATCCTTGAGGCCTGCGGACATTTCTTAGGTGTATTCAGAAATAATTTTTAATTTTTGGTTATTATAATCCCTGAGAAACAGCTAAAATTATACTTTTTTGCTAGGGTTCTAAGTTCAGTATAGATTTGTCAAGGCTTCTTCGGGGTGTTAGTGCTCAGGGTTTACAAGGGCTCTATAAGGGCTGAAACCTAAACCCAAAAAGCCGTTATGAGAGGTCTTTAAGAGTTCGTCAGCTGCTCGACAATGTGTTCGGGTTAGGTCTCTGCCCAGTTCTATAGTGAGAGCTTCGGGTGGGTTTAGGGTTTGGGGTTTAGGGTTTACCCTGAATAGTTACAGGCTCCACAATGCACCAAGAGTATGTGCTCGGCAGGCGCAGTACAGTGGGTGGAAGAAGCTTCAAAACCAAGCAACACAAAAGGCTGTGCCGCAATCCCTGCACCCCAAGACCCTTACGGCCTAACGTAGGAACCTGATTGACAAACCTTGGGCCTTTATTCGGATTCCTTACATGAATCCTACTATATTGGGGTTTATAGGGCCAGGGTTTCTTAATCAGGTTCCTACATTAATTAAACCCTAAGCCCACGCCCTGAAACCATAAACCTCTTACCTTCCTAAACGACCTTATGCCTAGGCTCTTGAGAGCATCTCCTTCCCGGCCAGCTCACGGAAAAATGTCCGGCGAGAAGGGGCCAAGGGAGAAATCCTGGGCATGTGCCTTGGTCTGGGAGCGGGGGGTAGCAGGCCTCTACAGTTTTGTTTTTTCTTTGACTTCAAGGTTTTTGGGTTCCTTTACTTCTGTTGTTTGGTCGCCATAAAAAGTTTGGAGATAGTGTGTGACGGCTTCTAAACCGCGTATCCACTACCTGTAGCGCCAAACCCTACGAAATAGTAGGTGATGACGCCTTAACTATAGGGTTTGTCCCTCAAAATATAGCGTTTCGGATCCACAAACAAACCCTAAACCCGCATAAACGCCCTTTCGAACCAGAAGCCTTATACATATGGATTGCCTGAAAGGAACCCTAAACCCTAAACCGATCCCTTATAGAACCATAGGTGTTTGGGCATGACGGAGTGCTACGTGAAGGGTCCGGTCCCGTCGCGGCACACGCGCCAAAGGCAGACATTCGGTGATATTCCCCGCAAAAAGATGCTTTAGGGTTTGGGGTTCGGATTTTTGAGTGGTGGATGACTTGTCTACAGGGTATCGTGACGGAAGTAGGAAGTCTTTTGTAAGTTGTTCCCAAGGTTTTTTCATGGGGGTCTTTGCAGGGGTCAGCAGAGTTGGTACAAGACAATACTATAAGGTCTTCACTACATGGATATCCTTTCAGTAGTTGTTTTAGGGGCTTCTTATACATAAACCCGGAGATATAAACTTTTGTATATGTATGTGGTGCTCATAATTGTATATACACACACATGCAGGTGCAAAGGTCAGTTTTCCAACGGTGGCACTACGAAGCATTTGCAGGAATTTGATGTGAGGCTGAAGCACGGGTTGTTTTGAGTGACCTAGAGATGTAGTGCTGTCTTTGTTGCATCATTTTTCGATGTTTACTGTTCTTCATTGGATGGTTCTGACTACCACATTACTATCACTGTTATTGTTTTTGCTTCTAGCAACTTGAGCAACATGTTCATTCTTCTTATTGTTGTCATAAATATTGTCACTATTACAACTATGACTGTGAGTATGATATTACAATATGAAGTTTGTAAGTACCGCTGCGGCCATTTCTTATGATCATGAATATTCACATTTTTGTTGTTATTGCTCGTCTTTGTTACAGTTCTGTGGCTCTTAATATTTCAACAGGAAGCCGCTCCAAACGAGACTAGCATACCGGCCCAAATAATAGAACACTGTAGAGCCCTGTATAACGCAAAGAACCTCAATGAATCCAAAGTGCCAACCCGAGACCTGCGAACTGTAGCCCCGAAGCCCCAAACCCTAAGCGCCAAACCCCAAAACCCTAAACCCTGCACCCTCAACCCCAAACCCTAAACCTTAAAGCCTCATAACCCTAAGCCCCACGCCCTTTGAATTCATCAATCTGCAAGCCCGGAAGGCCGAATCTATGCCGCCTTCTCTGTGATCTTGCTCAACGGGCTGGGTTTAGGGTTTAGGGTAGCGCAATAGTTCCTGTGATTTCGAGTCGAGGGTTTACTGCAATAGTTCCTCTTTTTTTACAGGAATTAGGGCTTGGGGGCTGCGATAGAGAAGCCTGAGTACTTGTTCTTAGGGCTCCTATTCGAAAGATACCTGCCAGACTAGGTGGGCCTACAAACCCTAAGCCCCTAAACCCCAAACCGAGCTTTCTCATTCCAGACTACACTGGGTTTTGGAGATATTTGCTGCTTTGATCATGCGTGGACTATAGGGGAATAGTACTCGTTGTTGTAACCCCTACATTAAACCCTAGCCCTAAGCCCTAAGCTTGAAATTCTGACTACACTCCAAATCCTGAACCCCAAGCCCGTCGAAGCCACGGTACCTCTGATAGTTGCCGAGACCCAGAGAGCTGTAAGGGGCTGTGGTTTAGGGTTTGGGCTTTAGTGTTTAGGGTTTATGGTCTAGGATTTAGGGTTTCAGGGCTTGTTTATGTAGTGTTGAGGGTTTCAGAGTTTATGGTTTACGGTTCAGGGTCCGCTGGGTTCTCTTAGGGTATTTCTCATGTTCATTTGAGCGTAGACCCCAAGGGCCTGTTCAGGGGGTCGAGGGTGCTTGTAGTTTGAGGGTTTAGGGTTACCTGGATCCTAAGGAACCTACCTTTTTAGGGTTTCCTAATATGATTTCTTTATATAAGTCCTTAAAAAGGTAGGTTACGTGGGCTTAAGGTAGTTCCTACAACACCTGCCTTTTTGGAGTTCCTGAATCGCCCGTATCATGATATCGTTTGCTGATTTACTCAAAACGGTATGCTATTTGGGGTTAAGGTACCTGCTAAAATCCAAATCCTAAACACCCGAAGCACCCAAGTTCAAAACCAGAGCCCAGGTATGCTATCCTGTCTTTTCCATTGTTGGGCCACGGTGGATCCTTGTTTGCTAATTTCCTTCCAGGACCAACGAAACAGTGCCTAGCCTAAGCTCTAAACCTTAAACCCTTAACTCTCTTTCCTACTATTCGGCTTAAAGCCCAAAACTCTAAACCCCAAGCCTACACCCTAAGCCCCCTACTCTTGGGCTTGAATATAAACCCTAGACCACCATAGATCCCTTATACACTTTAAGCAACCCCTTAAGGAACCCTTAGCCCTAAGCCCTAAGTAAGCCCTAAACCCTAGTTCCTACGTCCCATGAACCTTTAACCCTACAGTAGCCGCCGGAAAGTTGGAAGGCGGCAATTGGAACGGTTGATGCGGCAACGGCATCTTCCAACTTTGGGTTTGACTTGGTCCCATCTTCCAACTTTAGGTCCCGGCGTTTGGACCGGTTGATGCGGTAACGGTATCTTCCAACTTTCGGTTTTTGGGAAGCAGCTCCAGTAATGCAGAGAGAGAAACCGCAACTGCTTCGACCGCTCCAGTAGTGCTGAGAGAGGGAAACGGCAATTACTACGACCACTCCAATATTGCAGAAAGAAAGAAAAACTGCAAGTACTACGACTGCTCCAGTATTGCAGAAAGAAGGACCTGCAATTACTACGACCGCTCCAGTATTGCAGAGAGAGAGAGAGAGAGAACTGCAAGTATTACGACCACTGCAGTATTGCAGAGAGAGAAAAGCTGCAAATACTACGAGCGCTCCAGTATTGCACAGAGAGAAAAATTGCAAATACCACGACCACTCCAATATTGCCGAGAGAGAGAGAACTGCAATTCCTAGGACCGCTCCAGTGTTGCACAATTACTACGACCGCTCCAATATTGCAGAAAGAGAGAAGCTGCAAACACCATGGCCGCTCCAGTATTGCAGAGGGAGAAAAATTTCAATTACTGCAGTATTGTAGAGAGAGAGAGAGACGGAGAAACTGCAATTCAATGTTGGGTCTGCTTGGTCCCATCTTCCAACTTTAGGTCCCGGCATTTGGAGCGGTTGCAAACTTGGAAGAATCCAAAGTTGGAAGATGTGTTTTATTCCAATTGTGGGGTGCTGAAATTTTGGCTGCGCATCTTCCAACTTTGCGGCTGCCACCATAAGACTTCAAGTACCCATATAGTAGATACTTTACCTTAAAGTACCTACATAGGGATCCCTTTAAGGCTAACGTATCTACTACGTAAAGGATCATGGGACTTAGTACTTGGGGTTCTAACTATAAGATAACTACAGTTAAAACTACTTATAACCCCACTTAAGGTGCTAATAACCTTACTAAGTCCCATGATCCCCCAAGCATAAAGGTGCATGGAGCCTTTGGGAAAGTAAGGACCTCCCCTCCAAAAGAAAAGCAGGAGCTGCCAGGCTTTCACTTCACGTCCATCCAGGTGGGGTTTAGGGTTTGGGGTTTAGGCTTTAGGGTCTCGGGTTTAGGGTTTAGGGTTCCCTGGGGATCGAAATAGTCCAAGAGCCTTATACAGTATGGTCTTTGGGCCCAAAAGCCTTAATATATGAGTATAGGGTTTTGTGGGCTTTGGTTAGTGGCATGGTGGTTCGGGTATGGGCTTTTGGAGCTCAGTATTATGCGATGGATGCCTGGGGTTTTCGGTTTGCCGTCCGTTGAACGATCTTCAACGGCTTTGCCCACTGTACAACGATTTTTTGGGGGGTTTAGGGTTTAGGGTCTAGGGGTCTACTTGGAGGTTCATGGGACTTAGTAAGTCAGTAATTGGGGCTTTAAGTAATTATAAGTATGGTTATGTTAGTTCTAACCCCAGTTACTAAGTCCCACGATTCTTTAAATAGGGGTCCAGGGGTTCAGGGGGTATTGGGGTTTAGAGTTTAGGGTTTTGGGTTTTGGGTTTAGGGTTTAGAGTTTAGTTTGTTGAGGAACAGGTTGGGGTCAACTATTAGGCTCTTGGCAAGGGACTTGTTCGGTTTGTTCCTTTGACGTCTAAAGCGGGATATCGATCCATCGTCAAACAGGCAAACAGATGGGTAGAAATGGATATCTTGATTTATGCGTGTGTATATATATATATATATATATATACACATACATTTTTTGTGTTTCGCTCCTTACCTCCCAAAGGGGATGTAGTTGAGGGTTGCCTATTTGGGTTTACAGGATTTAGGGCTTCGGGTTCTGCAGGATTGCATTGCAGGTTTGGGATGTAGGGGTGGGATGAGGTAGAGCTTGGGTTTGGGAAAGTATCCCCTCATGACAGTACCTAGGACCTTTTGGGTAACGGGCCCCGGCTGTTTCAGGTGAACAAAGACTACGCCGCAGAGCTGCATGTTGACAAGAAGGAAACTGCAGCTCCGGAATCAATATGTAAACAGTCTCATATACTCGCCCCCCCCCTCCCCACCCCCCAAACCCTATTCTAAGTATTCAGGCAGGTTGCATTACGCGGTTTACGTTTTAGGTCAAGGGCTGACAGGGTTATGTTACTTGGAGGGTCATGGGACTTAGTAAGTACATGTATAATTGATGCTCTAAGTATTTATACTTATGGTTACCTTATTTATAAGCCTGGTAACTAAGTCCCATGAATCTTTAAGTAAGGGTTTAGGATCCAGGGTTGAGGAGAGTATTCGAGATTTTGAGGATCATATAACCTGGCCCAAAGCCCTACAGAACCGACCTGTGACCCCAAGCCCTACAAAATAGGAGATTGTGAGCGGGCAGGCCCCTTAAGACCGTAGCGTTTCGGATCCCCAGGTACAACCTACAGCCCTAAGGCTCCATGTACCCATGTAGTAGATACTTAGGACTTAGGCCTTAAAGTACCTATATAGGGATCCCTTTAAGGCTTAAGTATCTACTGGGAGCCTTTGGGCAGTTTGCCGAAGGGGTTCAGGATTGCGGCTACGAAATCAGCAGATATACGGTCCCTGCTGTATTTCTTAGTAGCTGGCTGGATACACTTTACACTTTCTGGGGTAATAGTACCCACTATAAAACTGAAAGTGTACACTTTTTGGTGCTTATGAACTTAGCAACTAAGGTTTCAAAGTCCAATTCCTCTGTGCACCTGGATAATTACCCCAGGCATCTAAGGACTCATATGTTAAGGCTTTCGGGCCCAACGACCATATTATGTTTGGCTTTTGGGCTATTTTGATGCCCAGGGTTAGTTCTCCAAATGAATTTTTTTTACTACAACATGAGGTTTGCCGTACTAATTGGGGACCTAAACGGGGACCCTAGTTTAGCAATCTACCCACTTGGAGCCTGAGGGTATGTCAAGGGACTTCGGCTCATCTGGGATGTAAGCTAGACACATTACCCTCAGGCTCCATGTGCCCATATAGTATATACTTAGGCCTTAAAGTACCTATATAGGGGGTCCATGGTTTTTTTTTTTCCTAGGTCTGGCCTGGTCTGGGGGGCCTTGCTAGGTCTGGTCCCTGGTCCCCTGGTCCTTTGGTCGTCCCCTGGTCCCTGGTTCCCTGGTCCCCTGGTCTCTCCTGGTCCTGTACCCCTGAACCCTCAAACCTGCAAACAACTAACAACGAACAACTAAATAACTAACACAACAAACAACAAACAACTAACAATAAACAAGAAAGAACAAACAACAAATCAAGAAAGGGATAGGGGTTTAAAAAATTAAGTAAGGATCAAAAAAAATTAAATAAGGATCAAAAAAATAAATAAGGATCAAAAAAATTAAACGGGTATCCGCGAAAGGAAGGGGAAAAAGGAAGGAAAGAAAGACAGAGAGAGAGAGAAGGAAAGAAAGAACGAAAGAAAGAAAGAAAGGAAGGCAGAAAGAAAGCAAGGAAGAAAGAAAGAAAGAAAGAACGAAAGAAATAACGAAAAAAAATAGAAAACAACGAAAGAAAGAAATAAAGAAATAAAGAACAAAAGAAAGAAAGAAAGAAATATAGAAATAAAGAAAGAAAGCCATGCAAAAAACAGTGAACTAAGTAAATAAAGCAAGCTATAAGGACAGAAAAAAGAAAACACAAGGAAAGAACCAAAGAGAGTTAGAAACAAAAACAAAACAAACAATGAAGAAATAACCAAAGAACAAAAACAGAGAAATAACGAAAGACGGAAGGCCATAAATTAAGAAAGAAAAACAGAAATAGTTAAAGGAACAAGAAAGACGCGGAAAATAAAGAAGAACGATACGTAAGACTATCGCTTCATTGTGCTTTAAAAATTCAAGAATTGCTGTATCTAAAAAGCAAGAAAGAAAGACAGAAATAAAGAAAGAACGAGAGAGAGAACGAAAGAACGAAAGCAAAAACAAGAGGAAGAACGAAAGCAAGAACTAAAGAAATAAACTTAAGGAAATACCACGGAATCCGTAGGAAAATCGTGTTTTCCCGAGCAAAAACCAAGCAAATCCTCAGGAAATGAAAACGAATCCGTATGAAAACAGTGTTTCCCCCTGGGAAAAATTCAAAAATTGCTGTATCTAAAGAGGACGAAAGAAAGGAAAACAGAAAGAAAGAAAGATAGAACGAGAGAGCGAACGAAAGAACGAAAGCAAAAACGAAAGAAAGAACGAAAGCAAGAACGAAAGAAAGAACGAGCCAAAGAAAGAACGAAATAAATCAAACCAGAAAGAAAGCAAGAAAGAAAGGAAGGGAGTATGAGATGAACAAAGAAAGAACAACAGAAAGAAAGAAAAGAAATGAACGAGCGAAAGAAAGAAAGAAGTCCAGAATAAAAAGCAAAGTTGGAAAAGACGAAAGAGAAAGAATATGAAAGAATCACAGAAACAAAGATACAAGCAACAGGATACTACATAGTCCAATCGAATTTACCATAATATCGTAATGTACCGTAACATAATATAACATAATGTAACCTAATGTTATAAAATATACTACATATTATGTTGTAAATATACACACTGTATTGTACTATGTTACAATGTACTACACTATAAACTAAGATGTTGTTTTGTTCTATGTCATCTTCCGTTATATTGCATTGTTGTATTTTTAGTATGCTGTTATATGCTATAAGAAGCAAGGTTCTGTTATGTCAGAAAATGTCACACCATTTTTGTGTTGTCGAACCATCTTATGTCGTTCTTCTGGTTTACTATGTTATATATATATAGGTTAGAATGCTAACGGAAGAAGAGACACGAACAGGCACGGAAGAACAAAACACCCGCCGCCGCGCTTTTCGAGACGTGCAAGCTTGATTCAAAGAGTGTTTTCGAAGCCCATCATGTGAACGTTGTCTCTGCAAATGGGGGGGGCTGCGCCCCCCCCAACCCCCCCGCTGTTTTAAGCCGTGCAGGGTTGCTTTGAAGCATATGCTTTTTTTTGAAACCCAGCAAATGAGGGCGTCTCCGCCCTTGTAGATACATGCTGAACCAGAATCGCCAAATGAGAGGCGTGTTTAAGATAGATGATGAAGCGGAATACCAGCAACAGCTACAACAGGAAATCCGTCCTAAATGTGAAATTGTAAGAAAAATTTGATTTTCCCGAGGAACAACCATATGTTGTCCTTCTGAAAACCTGAAGAAATGACACGAACGCCATAGGTAAGAGGAAAATAGGCTTTTTCCTACGAAAAATCAAGGACAACTTAGGGAAATACCACGGAATCCGCAGGAATATCGTGTTTTCCAGAGGAAAAACCAAACAGATCCTAAGGAAACAAAAGAAAATCCCTAGGAAAACAGTGTTTTCCCTTGGAAAAATTCAGGAATTGCTGTATTTTAAGTGATTTAATTTTTTTTGATCCTTATTTTATTTTTTTTTGATGCCTCTGCCCCAGGAATTGCTGTATTTTGAGCGATTTATTTTTTTTGATCCTTATTTTAATTTTTTTGATCTTTCCATTTAATTTTTTTTGATCCTTATTTAACTTTTTTTGATCCGTCACCCCTTTCAAGAAACAACAAACAAGAAACAAGGAACAATCAGCAGGAAACAACTAACAATTAACAAGAAACAACTAACAACTCACAACTCACAAATAACAACCAACGACTGACAACTAACAGCTAACACCAACAACTAACAACTAGCAACGAACCACTAACACTTAACAACTAGCAACTAGCAACTAGCAACTAACTACTAACAACTAAACAACTAACACAACTAGCAACTAACACAACTAGCAACAAGCAACAAGCAACACACAACAAACAACAACAACACCACCACCAACAACAACAGCAACAACAACAACAACAACAACAGCAACAGCCACAACCACAACCACCACGACAACCACAACAACAACAGCAACAACAACAAGAACACCAGCAACAGCAACAACAACAACAATAACAACTACCACGACTGCAACGACGAGGACGATGACGACGACGATGACGAGGATGTCGACAACGACACCAAAAAACAACGACACAAGACAGAAGATTTGAAATTGTAATCCCGCAAAACACGACCCTGCAAATTGTAGTGCTCCAATAGCTTCATGCAAGACACAAGCAAAACCGGACCCTGCGAATGCTAGTTCCTCATTAGCTTGATGGAAACCACAAACAATAAAAGACTCTGCAAATTGTAGTTCCCCAATAGCTTGATGCAAAACACAAACAAAGCCGACCCCGCAAATTGTAGTTCCCCCATTAGCTTGATGCAAAACACAAGCAGAAGAACACACCGCAAATTGTAGTTCCCTAATAGCTTCATGCAAAACACAAGCAGAAGAACACACCGCAAAATGTAGTTCCCAAATAGCTTGAAGCAGAACACAAGCAGAAGAAGACCCTGCGAATTGTAGTTCCCCAATAGCTTGATGCAAAACACAAGCAACACCGATCCCTGCAAATGCGAACTCCCCAATAGCTTCATGCAAAACACAAAGAAAACCGAACCCTGCAACTTGTGGTTCCCCAACAGCTTCATGCTAAACACAAGCAAAATCAGACTCCGCAAGTTGTAGTTCCCCAATAGCTTCATGCAAAACAGAAGCAAAACCAGAGCCGTCAAATTCTAGTTCCCCAATAGCTTGATGCAGCAAAGACCGCAGTTGCCGCTGTTGGCAACCACAACCAGTGGGCCAGACTTAGGAAAGCAAGCCGGGGAGGGCCAGACCTAGGAAAAAAAAAAACCGCTCCGCCCCTATATAGGGACCCCTTCAAGAACCTAAGTAAATACTAAGCCCTAAACCCTAAACCTCAGCCCACGCTGGGATACATAAGCACGTATAAGTACCCAGCCATAACATGGAGACTCGTAGAACCCTACCCAGAGCCTCTTCAAAAGGGATCTATAGGGGTTAGGGTTTAGGGGATTCTGATATCCCTTAATTGAAGAATATACCTCATGATTTCAGGGGCTCCGGGTAAACATGTTTCCGGTTCGAGGCTCCCTCACTCACATACCCAGAGACTCCAGTATCCCCTTAGATTAAGGAATATTCAAACTAAATCATATCAGCGCTCCTACTATGATCTAAGGTATATTCCTTAATTTGAAACGCTGCGCGTCGTCCGCCTCGGCCCGGCTGTACGCGCATGCGGCGAATGGCTACTATCTGCAGCAAGCTCTTGTAGGAAAAAAGTAACAGTTGGAATCGCACTTATAGTAAAAGTAATGTTCATAGCAACACGAAGCAGGATGATTGTGAGTAGTATTAGTAGTGGTAGTATCAGTACGAATTTTGGTGTCGTCATTCCGAAACACTGGATACCAAGACTCTCGCAAGCGGCGGGATGCCTTAAGTATGGGCCGTTGAGGCTGTGGATTTCGTGGGCGTCTTGGATCAGGGAAGCATCACAGCCTTTTCGACCACGTTATTCCGCCTATCCCAACGAAAGGGCGTCTAAAACAAGCCTGAGACGCACATAAAGATGCTACATTGCAGTCCCGTGTCGTCGAAACTCCGAAAGCTCGCACCTGTAGGGGAGTGGGGGGGGCGGGAGGGGGGGAGGGGAGGGGCCAGGATTTTGGGGTCACTGGGGAGGGATTAAGAGGTGGGGATTAGGAGAATCCGAATAGGAACCTCTGACCGCTTCGGCCGGGGCCGAGGCGAATTAAGGGACATTGGAGTCTCTGGGTAGTCTCTGCGGCCCCTGTAAGACCTAGAGCAGCGCTTGGGCCCAGAGTTGCGTTGTTGGGCGGACCTGGAAAGGCTCCATGTACCTCTATAGTAGGTACTTAAGCCGCCTTAAAGGGGCTCCCTAGATGGGAGTTTCCGAAAATTTGGGGGTTCCTGATTTGGGATCTGTATAATAAGGATCCTACATGTGTAGGGTACCATATTAGGGTCCCCCATTTTCGGAAATTCCCTTGTAGGTACTTTAAGGCCTAAGTAGGTTTAGGGTTTAGGGCTTAGGGTTTATAAGTAGCTACTTAGGTTCTTATAAGGGGTCCTTATATCCTTATGCCTATATTCCTATATATATATATATATATATATAAATGTGCTTGAAGACCTAAGTATATACTGTATGGGCACATGGAGCTTTAAGGCTACACCGGGAAACCGTAAGTTAGCAACTTCTGCCTTCAGCGCCGTCCTAGCCGAAGCTCGGAGATTTGCGTTTAGGGTTTAGGGTTCAGGATCTGAGATTCAACTTATTGAAGCCCCCATGTCAACCCTGAACCCTTCAAGCCTATCAAGTCATCCTAAACTCTAAACGCTCACCCGAAGCCCTACACCCTGACTTTCGAAGCCTTAAATAAGGAACCCTTCAAAGGCCCTTACAGTACAGTAATTAACCCCCTCCGAACCTTGACTTTCGACCCCTTAAATCCCTTAAAGGAACCCCTGTAGATCCGCTGAAAGGCACCCTTCAAACGCCCCAAACCCCCTCCTGCGACTCAGTGGGAAGGATGCTGGGGACTCGCGCATCCTGGGACTGGGCAGCTACATCGGTGGGCAGCTCTGGGTGGATGATGCCTCTAGATCAGAATTTATGTTTAAAAGACACGGTTTAGGATTTAGGCTGGATGATGCCTCCAGATCAGAACCTATGTTTGAAAGGCACGGTTCAGGATTTAGGAACTTTAGGGTCTAGCACTTTAGGGTTTTCGGTTTAGGGTTCAGGTTTCTATAAGGATACAATACCAGAGGTTCTTAATGGAGTACTGTAATAAAGCTCTATAAAAGGATTCTACAGCAGGGCTCTGCAATACCAGAGGCTCATACCCTACCCCTTTCTCAGGAAACATACTTTTCTGGTTACGATCTGGTTTACAGAAAAATAGGTACCCTAGAAAAGGGGTAGCGCAGGAACAAATTTGAAGGCTACGACCTCAAACATGGGGTCTGAGCCTTTGTAAGTGTCGGCTTCGGATCCAGAATAAACCCTCAACCCCTATATAAATCCCATACCCAAAGGCTCCATGTACCTTTATAGTCGGTACTTAGGCCTTAAAGGGGTCCCTACATAGGTACTTTAAGGCCTAAGTATATACTATACGGGTACATGGAGCCTTAGGGTTATGGAACCATTATGGTTTCTCTCAAAGGCGAGTCATGGTCAGCGTGGCCGCATCGCAGATATCCGGGGCTGCCTGGATTGCAATCTTGGTGTACGATTCATGGACAAGGGTCTGAAGTTTACGGTGTAGGAAGGAGGTTTTGGGTTTCGGGTGATGGGGTCACGGGTTGGATATGGTTTCTTTGGGTGTTACATTCCGACAAAGGCCCAGAAGTCTACGTCTCCAGAGTGTCGTATTTCAGAACCCCCAACCCTGCACACGAGGCCGCATCAATAATGGGCTGTCACCTGTGCATACTCATCTTCACTTGGGGGGTTAGTTACATAGGGCTACGCCGGTCAGACCGAGACATGGCAAAAGATATTGCAGGCAATCCTCAAGCCTTATCTTCCGTCGATGATGGCTCATCAAGCCTTCTGTGCTGCACGTTCTCAACTATCGTGCCGCTTGCACGATTATATCTTCTATCATCAAGCAGCATTTTGATTGCTGGAAGTAGTGTTGTTTCGATCATCGCCAATACTCCTTACTACTGTGTTGGTTGCAACTGCTGATATTCCTTGTTATAGAACTTACAAACTACAGCCATTGTGGTCGCGGTTGCATTATGAACGTTAGTAACATCTACCTGATGATCCAAAAACCTATCGTTTTAAGGGTTATGCCCTCTTAATAACGAAGGGGTCATAACCTACTGTTTTGCAGGGCTTGGGGGTCACAGGCAGAAGCCATGCACGCGAACCTCAACTTCTCGACCTTGTAGGCATGAACGGGTCATGATAGACACGCCAAGTAGTAGGAGCCTGTAATATGAGGACCCTTAGAGAAGGAATGCCCTTCAATTATTTCTAAGACACCCCAGCTCACAGACAAAGTTCAACAGAAATTCGTACAAGCCCAAACAATGCCCCTTTTACAACCGTGTATGATTCCTGAAAAGGGATACCAACCCTAAACCCTAAAACCCAAAAATAAAAACCCCCCCGCCCCCACTCCCTCCAGTTTCGGAGCTACGGACTACAGTAGAAGCCAGAAAGTTGGAATATCATCATCGTAACCCCTTTAAGGTAAATTATAGGGGATCCTACCATTAATCCATATTCCAACTTTCTGGAGTTCCCTGTAGGTCGCTGGCTTGGCTTTGACGGCAACCTCCCACACAAGGCGCCGGTCTGCAGAGCCTTCTGAAAGGTTCATAGGACTGTCTAGTCTAGGTTGGACCCTTTTAAGGGTCCCTTTAAAGGGATGTATAGGGATTCTATAAGGGTATAGGGTTTGGGGTTTAGGGGTTTGGGGGTTTAGGGGGCTTATGGGGTTTATGCTGCTTTTGAGGACCCAGGGCGCTTGGCCCAGTTGAGTGCTTGTAGTTTCTTTTGCTCTCATCTAGTTATAGTGTGTTTACGTAGCTTCTCGTGCGAACATCCGTTTGTGCCCTTTAGGTGGCGCAAAGTGCCCATCTATTGTATCTTCCGTGTCTAGGAAATGTGCCTTAGTCTGAAAGACCTTCTACAAACCTGATGCAATCTCTGCATAAACCCAAGCCTCAATCCAAAACCTAAACTATAGACCCTAAACCCCAAGCCCTCAAATCTCTCTAAACATCCCCGAAACCCGAACCCTCGCAGGAGCCATATCACCCCTTTAAAGCAGTCCCTATCACAACCCCCAAAACTTAACCCTAAACCGAAACTAAACCCTAAATTCTACCTAGACCCCAACCTACCCTAAATAACCACCATAGCGGCTCTATTAAAGAGCACTTGGGGCGTCCTGTTAAAAAATCCCAAGCCCTCAACCCAGACTTCAAATCCCAAACCCCCAAATACCCCTTATAGATTCCCCCAACCCTAAGCCCTAAACCCCTAAACCCCTGAACCTCAGGTCCCTTTAAAGGAACCCTCAAGGAACTTTTTGAAGGAGCCCAAACCTCTAACCCAAGCAATCCTAAGGTCCTTCCCTTCAGCGGCCGCCGGTACACCCTCGTCTATTTCTCGAAGCTGCCTCGCCCAGATCCTTAGGGTTTAGGGGTTTAGGGGGTTTAGGGGTTTGGGGTTGAGGCCCAATGTAGGTGCTATTTGTATTCTTGGAGACCTTAGAGTATTTATCAACAGAAATCGTACGAAAACCCTTTCAACAAGAAGTGGCTCTTAGAAATACTTGTTGATCTTTGGTAATTACAATCCCTAAGAAACAGCTACAATTATATTTTGGGCTAAGGGCCTAAGTTCAGTATAGCTCCTACAGTAAAAGCCAGAAAGTTGGAATATGATTATCCTAAACCCTTCTATGGTAAATTATAGGGTATCCTACCCTGAAACCATATTCCAACTTTCTGGAGTTCCCTGTAAACCCTAAACCCTAAACCCCTAAACCCTAAACCCCTAAACCCTAAACCCCTAAACCCTAAACCCTAAACCCTCCAAACCCTAAACCCTAAACCCTAAACCCTCCCTCCTAGGTTGCGTGGCTGGAGCGTTGGCCGCAACCCGCAGTCCCCGCACGCAAAGCTCCTGGTCGATCTGGGCTTCCCGTTGCCAACAGCGCCTCCTCGCATCAAGGCTCCCTTTGGGGTTATTACCGCGCAGAGTTTATGTTTTTGGGGTTTAGGGCGTGGGTTTAAGGCAAGAATCATTAAACCCTATACCCTAGGCATCCAAGGACTCATATATTAAGGCTTTTGGGCCCAAAGACCATACTATATAAGGCTTTTGGGCTATTTTGATGCCCAGGGATAGACCTTTAGGGTTGAGGGCTTGGGTTGCAGGTTTGGGGTTTAGTGGGCATAAACACGTTGGCTGGCAGGCCTTGATCTCCGAGCCCAAATCCTGGGTAGTATTAGGCAGATCCCTTAAAGGGACCTTTCGGAAGCTTATACTTCTGGGTCTCTATAAAAGGGGCCTTACTTGAGAAGGTCTATAGCCCCAAAGTATCCCTTCCATTTTGACGCCTGCGAATTCTTCAGACTCCGAACCCTCAGTTCCTCAACCCTGCAGCTTTGCTGGATACGCAGTGGGGGCCTGCAGCCCACCTTCTCTTCATGTTCATGCGTGTTACTGTTGTTGTGGTTATGGTTGTGGTTGTGGTTGTTGTTGGTGGAAGTGCACCGGGAAAGGCAGTCAACAAAAACAATACTAGGATGGGGACCCGGTATGTGATTGCACCTCGTTGCTGGCTCTTGTCTTTCTGCCAGGAGCTCCTCCGAAGCGAGCAGAGGCTAAATCGTGCCCGGCGTCGCTACGAGGCATTTTGCGCGCACACCTTACGACGGGGTGGCGCAGGGAGGCGGCTAAGGACGCCAAGCTGCAGCCTATCAAGTAAAATGGCGGGCCAGGGTTTTCTGTAGAATGAACTACACGTCCTTACCATGTCTTCCCCGTGTCCATAGGTGCGAGACCCTAAATTAAAACCCTATACATTTAAACTCCTAAACCCTATAAACCCTGTAACCCTATAACCCTAAACCCCAGAACCCAAGGATGGATGTGGTGCTTCCTGGTCTCTCCCGTGCACTTCGTTGCGAAGCCTCCACGGCGGTTCCGGTGGGAGCCGTCGCTTCGCGACTTTCCAAGGAAGACCTCGGATCCCAGACGGAGGCCAAGTCTGGATTCCTGTAGGGGCCTATTTGGGGGGCTTCCTTTTTCGAATTCTAGTTTAATGGGACCCAAAACCCGCATGCCGCATTCTAACTTTTTAAGGCCCCTATATTGTACCGATAGCGCAATATCAGGAAAACTAGCCGTCATCATCATCGTCATAACCAGTTTAATTAGAAACCGAAATTGTAGTTGTAATAGTAGTAGTAGTAGTCGTCGTCGTCGTCGTCGTCGTAGTCGTAGTCGTAGTCGTAGTCGTAGTCGTAGTCGTAGTCGTAGTCGTAGTCGTAGTCGTAGTCGTAGTAGTAGTAGTAGTAGTAGTAGTAGTAGTAGTAGTAGTAGTAGTAGTAGTAGTAGTAGTAGTAGTAGTAGTAGTAGTAGTAGTAGTAGGTAGTAGTGGTAGTAGTAGTAGTAGTAGTAGTGGTAGGTAGGTAGTAGTGGTAGTAGTGGTAGTAGTGGTAGTAGTAGTAGTAGTAGTAGTAGTAGTAGTGGTAGTAGTGGTAGTAGTGGTAGTAGTGGTAGTAGTGGTAGTAGTGGTAGTAGTAGTAGTAGTAGTAGTAGTAGTAGCCGGTCAAAGATGAGTATGTAGTATCCTTTCATACAACTGTTTTTACCTTTAGATATCCCTCACAGAGCCACCCTGACCCTAAATCCGATATCCTTACATGGGGCCTTAATAAATTGGGGCCTTAATAATTCCCTATACTATTTTGGGAGTTCCTTAGTACAGTTCTAGTGGGCCCCAAAACCCTATTCCAAGTATTAAGGCCCCTATATTAACCCTCAGGGCTGCAACGTTTAGCCACAGGACAGCTGCGAGCTTTACTTGGGCTCCCTGCCATTGCTCCCAAGTGATCGGCCAGCACGCTTGGCATTGCCGCGGAAGGCTCTTAGCTTTCGGGGTTTAGCGCTTAGGATAAGTATGTTAAGAGTTTAGGCTTAGGTGTAGTATTCATAGTATTTAGGGCTGCAGTCGTCTATTGCTGCAAAGAGTACGGCCTGGCATTGCAAGGAGTCCTAGCTTAACGATTCTTCGTCAGGAGTCAGGAGCGGTCCATGCTGTTTGGATTGAAGTTGTGGCTATATGGGCGCATGGACCCTTAGGGAGACCTAAACCCGGAAGCCCCGAACCCCTTGACCCCTCTTCGCACCTCTGCTACCAGCAGGTTCTTTGCAACCTCCGCACGGCCCGCAAATCAACATTGCCGGTACCGGTGACGCCCAAGAGGCCCCATGATCGAGGGGTATCAGGGGTTTCGGGCTTTACGGATTTATGCAGGGCTTTAGAGGTTAAGGGTTTAAGGGTGTAGTGTTTGTAGGGTTCAGGGGTTTAGGGTGTAGTGGCAGTGGCTGGCTTGCAGAGCCTTTGGTGTTCGAGTTCTTCTTGCGGATACGGTTGTAAGTGTGGGCGGAATTCGAGCACAGCTGAGAATCCGGTGTATGGTTTATGGTTTTGGGCCTTGGGTGTAGGGGAATAGGACATGAACACAAGGCGTCCTGCTATCTGGTACCCCTATTCGATCGTATTGGGATGAGACGGTATGGACGCGGACATCCAATACCCCAATTGGTGTGTCCCTGCTAAAGTAAACCCTTACGAAAGAGCTTCCCTGAGGGCAACGAGTATAGGGGCCGAAACCCTAAATCGACAGCCTTCCCTTGACTGCAAACCCCTACAGTGACAAATTAGGTGCCTCAGAGTGACGGAGCAGGGAGTTGCATTGAGTGAAAAGCTCTTTTTCTTGCGCGAACTGAAAACCAGATTCCTGAATGGAACCCTTTACATACTACCTATATAAGACCGTAGGTTTCTGCTAAACGCCGCGGAAGTCTCGAATTGTTCAGGCCCCTCTGACTCTAACCCCTTCTAAAATCGGCGAGAACTCCTATACAAACTCCAAAAGCTTTACAAAGCCTTGTAAACCTTAGAAAGCCTTGTTAAACCTCATGAAATTTGACAAAGGACTCAGGAAGCAATTTCACCCGAAGACCCTCTATCTAGAGCTGGGTGCGACCCAAACCCTAAACCTCTAATACACTAAAGTCGCCTAAACCCGAAAACCCTAAACCCATAATGCTCTAAAGTCTAAACCCTAAAACCCTAAACCTTCAATGCACTAAACTCTAACCCCTATTCGGGTTTCAGCTCTAGGGAAAGGCCATGGCCTGAACCCTAGATCCAACGTAAGCCCTGAAGGTTTGGGGTTTAAGGGTTGAGGGTCGTCTTCAAGGGTAATGGGCCTTAGGAAGTAGGGTTATGCAAGTGTTTGATCGTGGCAGTAAGAAGATAGACCAGAACGGGTATACTTGCCATACCTGGCAGCCTACCTGCTACCTCTCATGGTCTTTGAAGGAAACCGTCTGGTCCCCAATCCCAAACCATATAGCAGCCTGCAGGTTTAAGCTGTCAGGAGTAAGGTTCAGGGGTTTGAGGTCAGGCTGCCCTTACGACCCCTGTGAGCATTCCTACAGTACACCCGTACAAGAACAGAGCTGAAGGCGCAGATTGAGTTCGTCGAGGGGGAATGAGAGGACTCCTTCACCTCCGCCCAGACCTGCAGCTCGGCTTAGGGCTTGACGAACTCAGAGTTCAGGTTTCAGGAGGTAGCTGCTTTTTTCTGAGGGGTTGGGATGTTGTTTACGGGTTTTGGGTTTACGATGGCTTAGGCGTTTAGCTGAGCTTGTGGAGGCTCTATAGGAGGGCTTTGCAAGCGCCCTTCGCAGGGTTTTAAATCCGCTACCATTCTGGCAGCCATTCACGTGGGCTTTCTACTCTAGACCTTAAACTTTTAACGGGCCTGCGCCAGCAAAACGCAACAACAACCCAAAACCCAACGTCCCAGGTTCCTAAAACCAGAAAAATCCAAAACTCTAAGAACTCCTGATCCCTCAACTTACGTTTGGTTAGTAGGGAATGGAGGAATGGGGCACAATTGTAGCTACCATTATACTACCATTCTTCCATTCCCTACTAACCAAAGGTAAGTCAAACGAAGCCGCAACCTCCCCCCTCACCAATAAACAGCGCCTTGGAGGGCTGAGGGTTAGGGTTTGAAGTTCGGGCTTTTTTGGGGGGTTTAGGGTCTTCGGGGTCAAAGGCTGTCGGGGTGTGCCTATATAGGGCTTAGCACCAAATAGAATTTTTTCTCCGCGAAATACTTAAGACGTCTAGGTTAATTTGATCAAGCACATTAGATGCATCAAAGGCTTTGAGATCAGGGATGGAACACGCCGGGTTTTGGGTCGTTGGTGCCAGCATGTGCGCCGAATTACAAGGATTAGTTCCATAAGGATGAGATGTTGAAGCATCCTAGTTGGACGCGGAATCCCCTTAATCTCATGCGCGAAGCCCAGAACACAAAGCAAGCAGTGCGATGGCCGAGGTAGTGCCCACCAGAACAGCGAAATCGGATGAGAAGCTTGATGAGGCTTTCGACAGCGATGATGAGCGGCCGATAGGTATGCTTTTCAGGGCTCTTCCCCGACATGCCAGATGAGGAGATGCTTTGTTTGGCGGATCCTCCCCCACAGACAGGAGTTTCCGAGACTCTTGTGGTAGAATCCTAATGCAAATGCTGCGGGTTAGATGTGCCTTGTTCAACGACTCCTCCTCCCCCTCCTCCTCCTCCTCCTCCTCCTCCTCCTCCTCCTTACTTTTCGGAAACCCTCGTCTCAACCGGCCACAAGCAACAGGACTTCCTTGCAGACATTTGCAGGTCGCCTGGGCCCAATTGATGCAGAATGCGTTCTGTGTTGCCGGGAATTGGGCAGCTGAAATTTCGAACATCTGCAGAAAAGCAGGCAAGTTGACACTGTGTGTCTTGAGCATCGAGCTGTGTGAAAATTGCGGTGGTCAGAGGTTACAATCGGGGTGTTGTAGTTGACACATCCTGAACTCCGGCATGTGCTTATTGTGTGCGGTCCGAACCTGTACACCCCAAATTCCCTTTACCCCCAATACTTTGAACACGGCTGCGCAATTCTACAGAGCCCTTCAAGTTATCCAAAATATAAACCCTTCCTGTAAGTGGTGCCTTGAAATATACCCCATGACCGTTTGAAACTATCCAGGCCCTTGCAGTACACTGTGTTTTGGGCTCATCGATTTAGGGTTTCAGCTGTTCAGGCTTCAGGATATGCTGTTTGTGCAGGGCTTCAGGGGTTCAAGTTTTGGGATGTTACGGCTGCATGCCTATCCGTGTGCAGCTGCCAAAAGACTGAACCCCGCATGTGCAGAGTGAAACAAATTTAGGATCCAAGTAGACCAAGGTCGGTCTGATTTGTTATGTTTATGCTGGGAGTCTTAGGGTATAAGCAAAACTTTCTGTTTATGCAAACAAAAACAATGAATACAGCAGACTAACACACCATTGTATCAGCAGGTTTGTGCATGTGTAGACAAATTAAAAAATGCATAGGTAGCGACATGTATATATGCACGCACTGCACACCGAGCACCAGTTGGAACTGTCAGGACATGGAGGAAAAACGCATCCAAGGGGCCCGCGAGAGGCTGCAACCGAAAGCCGTCGCTTGGCTGCTGTGTATTAGTATAGGAACCTGATTACAAAATCCCTGGGTCTTTGATAGGTTTTTGGAATCGTCACATTTTGGAGCTAAAGGACCAAAAACCCTAAACCGTAAACCCTAAAGGTTTCTTAATCGGGTCCCTACAGTAGGGATTCAGGATGCTTCAGGTGAGGGCTCGAAGGAGCAAACTCTGGCTTTGCCCAGACCCCAAAAGGTTCCTTAATATGTCTTTCTTGTATAAGTCCTCAAACGTAGACTGTTGTGGATGAAGGTAGGCCGTAAGGATTCAGGGTACATGGTGTAGAGCTGTATATAGCTTCGGGTTTAGAGTTTGGTCTGTAGGGTTTGAGGCTCGGTGTCGAAGGATTTGTCTTCAAAGCCGCTACACACTGAATGCAGCCCTCGTTGATCCCCTAACTTGCAGACCAAGCCGTGTGTTTGACGATGCCTGTGCATGTTTTTAAATGTTAATTTAGACACCAAAATGAAGGGCGTTGAAGGGCCATAACCTACTATCTTGTAGGATGTATGCTACGGCCTTGACATGTGCAGGAGAGTCCTTGGCTGAAATTCTTTGGTTTCGTTGTTATGGCGTTGACGCTGCCAGAATACATGCTCAAGCCGTATCTGATTCTACATTAAGAATCCACGTGCCTGTATGGCCTACACTTTAGCCCTGAAGCATTCAAACAGCAGCGACTTCAAGACCAAAGCAAATACTTTATCATTCCACTGATCCTTTCTTTCAACCCCATATCGTCAAGCCCGGTCAACCCTAAAGAAAGGCTCCATCTACCAAAACCTGTAAACCCCCAAAAACACAACCCCTCCTTAAAAGGGACCGTCCCCCGAAAGGAATCCCGAGAAACCCCTTCAAGGAAACCGAAGAAACCCTCTAAAATTAACCTAAAAAGCATCCCTGACCCTGAACCTTCAAGCCTTAAGCCCCAAAGCCCGAGACCCTAAACCCTCAACCCTACAGCCCCTAAACCCTAAAGCCCTTAAGCCCTTAAGCCTAAACCCTAAAGCCCTCAAACCCTAAACTCTGAAGCCTTAGACCCTACACTCTAAAGAGGGCTCCTCCTGTGATCAGGACTCTTCTGGCTCGTAGTGCAGGGAGCCTGGGATCGGAGGCTCCATTGACCGCTGGGTTCGGCTCGGGGGTTTAAGGCTTGGAAGTTTTGAGGTTTAGGGGTTTAGAGGCGTAGGGTTTAGAAGGGTTTAAGGTTTAGAGGTTTAGGGTTTAGAGGTCTGGGGGTTTAGAGTTTAAGGTTCAGAGGTTTCGGCTTTGAGGTTTAGGCGTTGGGGGTGCAAGGGCCGAAGGACTGGTTTAGGGTCGAGGGTGCAGGGGTCGGTTTTGTAAGTGGGGGTTCCAACAGCCGACTGTTTTCCGGGTTTTCTATGCCCTATAGGAAAGGTGTCGTAACCTACCGTTTTGGAGGGTTTGTGGTTGCAGGTAGGGTTTAGGGTGGAGGGTCTATAGAGTTGAGAGTTTTAGGGTTTCAATAAAGCTTGTTGGTTTAGGGCTTCGGGGAAGGGTTTAAGGCTCCGTGCTCGGGGGCTAAGCTAGGAAGCGAGGGGAGGGTTATGGGTTTAGGTTCCAGGTGTTTACGCTTTAGGGCCATTACGGTTGATGATAGAAATCCCGCATTACCCATGTTAAGGGATATACCGTAATTCCCATAGTTTAGGGCCCTTAAGGTAATGCAGGATTTGCATCATCAACCGTAGTAGTCGGTACCTGGCTATGACAGAGGACTGTCGGGGGATCAAGGAAACCTTTAGACCTTGTGATCACGGTTAGAGTTTCGGGTTGAACCCACAAAAAATTTCAATAAAAACACCACTGAAGCATAAGACCTAAATGCAGCTAGTTGCAGAGAAGACCATTGCGGCCCTAAACCGGGACTTCAGCTGGAGTCGAGTCCCAAACCCTAAACCCCAGACCCTAAGCGTATAAACCCTGAACCCAAATCCCTAGAGCTCTGTTAACAGGTGCTTGGTGTGGCCCCTGGTTCACGCCAGGGCCGAAGCTGTGACAGAGAAAGTTTTCGGGTTTCGATTGCAGCTTTGATGGTTTCAGGTGTGAGACTGACAGAAGGCTTTGGATTGAGGGTATACCTCGGGATCCCCAAAACTACCGTTTTAAGGGTTCTACCCTCTAATTAAGGGCGTACTTCGTACTATTTTTGTAGGGTTGGGGGTCACGGGTAGGTTTTGCTTTTTTCGGAGTTGGATTTATGCTTTAGGGTTGGTCTGGCGCCTGAGGTATTCGCAAAATGACGACATGTGCAAGTGGGTGACTTCCTCAATAAGAGTGTCCTCGTTTTTTGAAAGGCGGTAGTCCTTCAACCTGCGGCCCCAATAGGTTCAAGACCTCATGAACCGGCCAGCTTGCTGTAGCAGTGTTTAGGGTTGATGCCATGCCGGATGCCAGCGCGGAGGGTGTGGAGCTGGTGCTGCTGGGAGCCGAGCCGAGTCAGCCAGAAGTTGCGCCTCGAATGTTCTTGAAGAGCTTTGGATGTAGTTTCGTATGCATACCCAGGGGCTCCATAGTAGTTCCTTTTTGGGATTACCTTATAGGATTCTATATATGAACCCCAAAAAGGAACTACTTTGGAGCCTTAGGGTATATGAAACAATAGATATGCTTATGAGAAAGTTTGAAGAAGCGTCTCCGGTAATTACGCTCCCATATTGCTGGCCCATGTTGTCTGAAGAGGCACGAAAGGGCCTTGCATACTGCATTAACTTTGAGGATATAAAAAGGTGGACCGTCATCTGAGATGTTCCCTAGTTGATGGGCACAGTTGGGGTCAAGAGCTTGATACAGTTTCGTGTTCCACCCATGACTTGGGGTGGCTTGAGGACGTTCTTGCGAGGACTGAGGATTTCTACAAGTCACGCATGTTGCATGCACCGAGAAGAAATTGCTAAACTATTTTGGTCCCAAGGTACCTGCCGCACCTGTAGCCCAAAATGCCACGGAGCGGAATCCTGAAGAAAATTAAAAGAAACCAATCCCTTGTATGTCGAGTCCCCCCCCCTGCCCTCACATTGAAGATTCACAGGAATGTTACTTCTCTATACCAACAGGCAAGGCGTCTAACCAACAAGAGACAGGGACATGTGCTGGTCTTCGCAGTTTCAGTGGGGGATGACTAGATAAGCTTGAGGAATCGCACTGTACATGATGTAACGAGAACCATAATGAGAGTGCTTCATAAGCCTATAGAAACAATTGTTAAAGGCAGAATGCCCCAACAGGTGCAATGAAACGCGCAAGCAACAGAGACGTGAGAGTTTTTCAAGGCAGTGCTCCAAATAATGGGCCCTGGGAGGGGCATCCCATGAAAAGACCCCCGAAGCCACCGAACATAAAGCATCACTTACCTCCCAATCTCCGGAACATAGAGGCTTCTCAGTAAGCAGCGCCATATATTATCTTCCGGAAGCTTTAACCCTATAATCCCTACCCGAAGCCCCTAAGCCCTCAATCTCCAAACCCTTCCGTACACTCCCAGGCAAGCCTCGACGCTGATCGTTTGATTCCAGCAAGCTGGACTCTGCCACCTCCCAGCGCGTGGCCACCCCGCGCGCCCACGCGAAGGAGGTCGCATGAGTTGTATAGTTCTATCGGGTTGCATAAACGGGTTTGTATAATAAGTTAGGGTTTACATAGGGGTTCAGGTCTTTTTCAGGGTCCTTGGCTTGGTGGTCCCTGCACATGGGGAGAAAAACCGTCATTACTGTGTATGGAACCTCCTGCATAGAGGCTAACCAATCTCGAATAGAGTAGACCCGTAGACTCTTAAACAGGGTGCCCGTGTCAGGCTTCAGGTTGAGGGCTTTGTTTCGGTCAGCCATATTGGGCCCGATAAACCGGCACGACCCTCGAAGAGGTTTTGGGTCTCCGTCCTGCGGGATCTCCCTAGGGATCTAAGGACTCTAATATATTACTAAGGCTTTTGGGCCCAAGGACCATACCATATAAGGTAGAAGCCAGAAAGTTGGAATATGATTATCCTGACCCTTCTATGGTAAATTATAGGGTATCCTACCATGAAACCATATTCCAACTTTCTGGAGTTCCCTTTAAACCCTAAACCTAAACCCTAAACCCCTAAACCCTAAAGATCCCTTTAAGGAACCCTATAGATCCCTTTCAGGAACCCTATAGATCCCTTTAAGGAACCCTAAACCCTAAAAGGAACCCCAATCAGAGCCCTGCAAGGCTTTTGGCCCTAGGGTCTCCTGACGCAAATCCCCTGAGGTCGATGCTCACGGAGGTGGCGAGCAGAGAGTCTCAGAGAGGAGCGGGGAGGGGGCCCTCAGAAATTGAAGAATGGAGAACTAAGTTAGTTCCTTTAAAAGGTTTAACCTTTTTGGTTAACTATATAGGGAATATGTAAGGACTATACTACCCAAAAAAGGTTAAAGGTTACCTACTCTACTATTACAGTGGAAGCCCAACAGTCGGCGGGTTTAGGGTTTAGGGTATAGGGTTTTGGGTTTTGGGTTTTGGGTTTAGGGTTTAGGGTATACAGTAGAAGCCCAACAGTCGGAAGCCCAATAGCCTCAATCCTTAGGAGTCATGTATAGCAACTCCCAGCACTGGTTGTCCTTCGTCCGGTTTCCAACTTTATGGGGTTTACTATAAACCAGGCTTTCATTGTGAGTGCATTAAGGATCTCCCATATGGTCACGACTATTTAGGAGCCGGTTAACGTGTGGCCGGTAGCACATCGTTCTCTCACAGCCAGCGCCCTCCCTCAGAGATTTGCTTTTCAACCAGGCTCCATGCCCAAGTGTTGGAAAGCGAAACTGACGGTGGTCCTGTACACCTTCGCACGCATTGTTGCCAATTTGGTGGTATTTGCAAGGGTGTATACACACTATCAACATTGGTTGAATGGGAGTTGTGGAAAATTAGATGAATGGGCATGTCGCCAACGTGCCAGCAGTTATTCAACACTCACCTGGGGCCTCCTCTGCGACAGCATCTTGAGGCCCTTAGTTACAGGACTGGGACTCTATGTGCTGCTTCATCGCAGTGATCGCTTGTCTGCCAAGTCACCGCTGCACCTTTTGACCAGAGCGGTGCTCTTCTGCCTTGCTTCTTTTCACTGTGACTTCAGCGTGACCCAAATTTCTGGCAGCTCGAACTGGAACGACGGTGGTGGTCTTTGGCTGCTGTTGCCGTGGGAAGTGCTCTGCAACTCTATGCAGCTGCACATGACAAATTTAAAACTGCATGCACTGGGGTGGCAGCTCACTGCACAAGTCTGCAAGGCGTTGATGCTTGGAATGCTGCTGGCTTGGTCAGCTTGGGGGTTTCTGTGGGGGTACTTCCGCTATGGCCCACCAGGAGCAGAGGTCTCGTTTTACCTGTGCCCCATGCTGCTCATCTTGGAGTTTGTCGGGTTGTTTTACTCAGCAAGCAGAGCTCTTTTCTTGGGTTGGCAAGATGATGCCATCAGAGCCACTGCGTGGTGCCTGTACATCAACTCCTTGCTGCTATGGGTGGGGCCAGTCCTCAGTTTTTGTGGGTTTTTAGGTTTTCACTATGGGCAAAATAATGCAACAAATGTGGATCCAAACTTTTGGTATGGACTCTTTCAGACAACAAAAGATTCCTGCCTGACTTTGGACATTGGTTTCCAAGTGGTGAATGTGCTGCTGCTCAGTGGAATTGTCGGCCCCCGGCAGTGGCAAGAGCCCATGGCGGCTTTTCAAAGGTCGGGGGTTCCGCAAAGGAGGATACACACAATAAGCTTACATGCTCATCTTCGCAGGCATGTGTCATGCAGTGGATTGTTTTCTTACATCGATGGAAGAAACATTACACTGTAGAGCATTCCAGTGTGACCCTGGTTTTTGCCATGGCAGGCTGGCAGACCTGCAGGGTTTCGGCCTCGCTTCCAAACGCATTGCCTTCCCCGGGCGGCTGAACCCACAGTCCGAGGACTGCAGGTTATGATTATGATTGTCTTGACAGCTATGTCCGCTATGCTTTTCGAAATCATCACTGTTGACAGCACATTCAGCATAATTACAAGTAAAGAAATCTGACACATGTCGGCAATTATTTCCCCTGTCAGGATTGCGTCGTATCGTTCCCTGGCAAGTACAGCCAACAATGGGACAAGGCAGTGTCTACTGCCAAGACACAGCAGGGCTTTTCGCTTGCATGTGTGTTCCTCACGGACCGTGCGTCTGGTTTGGGCGAGCACGTCGAGAATCCAGATGCGCCGGGTGAGTGCTGGTGCCACGCGAGTCTCTATTTGGAAAGCACCATCTTTATTGACCGGGGCCTGTCGATATAGACAGACGGCATTTACACTGTGTGAGTTCCCTCTAACTCGTTTTCTTTACAGGATTCTGGGCTTGAACTTGACCCTACCCGTCTTGTTGATGGTAGCCTGGGGCTTATGAACTCAGGATCTACGGGCAGTTGCCTGCCTCAACCTACCTGGCCGTAGTCGATGTACGACCAGAATCTGCAGGTTGCTGCCAAGTGCTGGGAGGGCTGGGACGGCAAGGCCTCTCGCAACAGGAGCCGACGCGGCAGCTCCTGCAAGAGTCTGGCGTACTGTACCCGCGAAACGTACTTGATGCGTGTTTATGGGCTGCGTCCGAAGCAACGCCTCTTGTATACACTCTTGCATCCTTTGTACAAGAAAAGACCCAACTCTTTACTACAAGCATCCTTACTTTAATCAGTGAGCCTGTGGATAATCGAAGGCATACGTTCGATACATGCACATTCGCATTGTACTGTACCGTATACATAATATATACATAAGTGTTCGAACATGCATACAGAGTGTCCCGGCCTCTCACAGCAGGACTTGGAGTTCAAACGAGCAGATGCCGAGGCCATGGGCCAGCGCCTAGCTTCTCGGCGGAAAGTATTTTGCTTCTTTCAGTTCAGCGCATCTAAAAGTCAAGTATTTGTTCTTTTGTTTTTGGGGAGTGTAGCTCCATCCACGATACACTACGTGTCTTGTGTGAATACTGCCCTACAGTCGAGTGCAACTATCACAGGCCTCCCGAGAATCGTCGATGTACCCGAGGCCCTAGGCATCTAAGGACTCCTATATTAAGGCTTTCGGGCCCAAAGAACATATTATTTAAGGCTCGTGGGCTATGTTGATGCCCAGGGGTAGACAGGCGAAAGAAAGTTGCCCCAGACTTGCAGCCTGTTTCGGACAGACTCTGAGGTCGTCCGACGGAATCAAGCAGACTGGGAATGGGAGCGAGAGCTCGCTGGCTGCCGTTTAGGAATCTTAATCTTAATTTTGCATGCTGCTTTTGTTGTTATTAGGGCGTTCAACCCTTCAGGAAGACTGCAACTTTGATGCTTAATTCCTTCCTTGTTCTCCCTCCGTTCTAAGACCATCTCCCCCCTTAAGGCCCCCGACCCTCCAAGTGAGACATATAATACATACATATATAGATATATACAGAGAGAGAGAGAGAGAGAGAGAGAGAGAGAGAGAGAGAGAGAGAGCGATAGAGAGAGAAAGAGCGGAGAGTAGCGCAGTGTTTGCGGGATTCGGTGACGTGACACGAAGAAGCGAGGCTCCGAGAAGCCGAAGAGGACGCCCGCAGGCGCTGCGCGGAGAACCAGGGCCTGGCTCCTTGGGGATGCAAATGGCTGCTTGGCGCTGGCTGCGGTGTAGGGTTTAGTGTTTAGGGTTTGGGGTTTGGGGTTTAGGGTTTATACAAGTTGTTAAGGGTTCAGGTCCGGAGTTTTGTGCGGTTTTGGGCGGGAGCTGTGTTTTGCTTTGCCTAAACATGGGGTTTAGGGTTTAGGGTTTGGGCTTTAGGGTTTGGGGTTTAGGGTTTAGGGTTGGCTGCTGGGCAGGGCGTGCTGCCCCAAATATACATAGCTGCGGTTTGGTGCCTATGTCTTTGTTTGAAGGTCATTTTGGTCCTGCTTGCATGGAGCGTGGCAGTACCTCGGTTTGTAGACCTATGGTGCAGGATTAAGTGATTAGTGTGTTTTGGCCTTGAAGCATTCTTAAGCTTTGTGGTTATGTGGAGGTGAAGGTGAAGTTGAAGGTGCCTACTTGCCGCCCATTTTGCGGCACTATAGAGCAAGGAGGGGATTGGGAGACATCCGAAGTCACCAGCTCACAAAACAAACAAGTTCTTCCCACAAGCAGAGGCCCTAAGTAGCCAGACCCATACAGCTTGGCCACAAGAACCGTTCAGCCTCGCCTGAACCCCAAGGCAGAAATTGCAGTTCTCTCCAAACCCTAAACCCCAAACCCTAAACCCGAAACCCTAAACCCCAAACACCAAACGCTAAACCCTAAACCCGAAACCCTAAACCCCAAACCCCAAACCCTAAACCCCAAACCCCAAACCCTAAACCCGAAACCTTAAACCCCAAACCCTAAAGCCTAAACCCCAAACCCTAAAGCCTAAACCCTCAACCCCAAACCCTAAACCCCAAACCCTAAACCCGAAACCCTAAACCCCAAACCCTAAAGCCTAAACCCTAAACCCCAAACCCTAAACCCCAAACTAAACCCCAAACCCTAAACCCCAAACCCTAAAGCCTAAACCCTAAACTCAAACCCCAAAGCATCATAAGCCTGCATCCAGGTTCGAGGACTGGCGCAGGATCCTGGGTCTGACAACAGCCTATTACATCTTGGGGCTCAAGGTGTTTCGGGTTGAGGGTTTAGGGTGTATAGGGTTTATAGGGTTTAGGTTTTAGTGTATAGGGTTTAGGGTTCAGGGTTAGGGTTTAGGGTTTGGGATTTAGGGTTTAGGCTATAGGGTTTAGGGTTCAGGGTTTGGGAGGGGGTTTGGGGTTTTCAGAATACAGTTAAAAGGTCGCTATGCTCCGATGAGCTTTGGCTTAAACTCCAAAACGACAGAGGAGGGGTCTGACAGGAGTATTACCCACCCAGGAACTGCCCTCCTGGGCAAGGCAAGTTCTGACCTCGAACTTGAACAACCGTAGTTGTGGTTGCACTCGCATAAGGTCTTGGGGATACTGAATTGGTTTCTCGGTTTGCGGGGCCTTCATGCTTAGTTGGGGGGCTTCCAGATTCGGGCGTACTATTTTGGGGAATTGGCTCATCGGCATCAAAGGCTTCCAGAAGAGGTGGCCAAGCTAAACAACCATAAGTTCGAGTTGATCTGTATCAGCCACAACCACAAGAGCCGTAAACCCTAACCCAAAAAAACCTATAAGCCATAGAGGCCCTCAAGCCCCAAACCCTATAAACCATAGAGACCCTCAGCCCTAAACCCTCTTGCTAAACCCCACTATTCCCCTAAACCCACATGCTAAACCCTTAAAACCCGAAGGAACGTCCAGAGAGCCGTGGAGCTGAAACAAAGTCTTCACGTCTTCTACTTCGAGGGCCGTACTGGTCAGGGCAAGCTGGATTGGGATCAGCTTCCCTGTCAGGAGGTCGGATGCCAGTTGGCTTGGGATCGGTTTAGGGAGCAGGGTTTAGGGTGTAGGGTTTGGGGGTTTAGGGATTAGAGTTTATGGTTTAGGGTACTGGTCAGGAGGTGGGATGACAGTTTCCCCTCATACTTCATATTCATCCTTGTTTAGGTGAATGCCGAGGGGGTTTCAGTAATATAGTGAACCCCAGAAAGTTGGAACATGGATTTAGGATTAGTGCTGGGATCCCTATACTTTACCTCTAAGGCCATGAGGATATTGATGTTCCAACTTTCTGGCTTGTACTGTATTCCACATAACCTTAACCCGTCTGTCGACCCTCAGATCTTTCCCCTTCAATGACACAGTCCGAGCCCCAGCCCCCCCATGGTTGACTGCTTGCCGTTGTGTTGCTATGGTACCCAAAAGGAAAAGTACTTAGCTTCAGAGAGGGTTTGTAGGCGAAAGTAGTGACAAAAGTAATAGTCAATACTAGTTGTAACACTGACTAACTGTAGTAGTACTACCTGTATTCCCAAACCCTACAAAATAGTAGGTTATGACCCTTAATTACAGGGTCGAACCCTTAAAACGGTAGGTTTCTGGATCCACAGGTATTGCTACTGCTTCTAAAACTGTAGTAGTACTATTGATAATGTTTCGAAAACAGTAGTAGTACTATTGACAATGTTTCTAATTCAGAATAGTCAGAACTATTGCCCAAAGGCTCCATGTTAAGGCCTAAGTATCTACTATATGGGTTACATGGAGCCTTAGGGTTGATAATGTTTCTAAATTAGAACCCTTAGGCTCTAAGGACTCATATTTTGAGGCTTTTGGGCCCAAAGACCATACTATATAAGGCTTTTGGGCTATTTTGAGCCTTAGGGGAACAGTCTCAGCCCTGCCGGAGGCGAAGGAGCGCGTGCGGCTTGAGAGCGGCTTGGGTGCCTCCCAGACCCTCGGCCGTGTGAGGCTGCTGCGTTTGTTTTTTTTAGGGTTTAGGGTCTAGGGATTAGGGTTTAGGGGCTTAGGGGTTTAGGATCTTGGGCTTTAGGATCTAGGGTTTAGGTTTTTGGCTTAAGGTTTAGGGTAAACGGCGTTGCGGCTACCATGTACATATCACATGTAAGCCTGCTTTGCTTGCTCTGTTAGATGTTTAAGAACTGCGTTGGTGACCGGTTGGTGTTGCATCATTCTTCGTTTCATGAACGGCTTGGTCTCAAATTGGTCAGCTGAAGCGTCAGCGTAAGTGAAGTCATCGTCATCAGTTCTTGCAGAGTCTCCAAGATAAGTAATGGGATTGTCACGAGATTCGTAAGCTTCAGCCAAAGATGGCAGTGATTCAGGGTCTCAAGAGCAGCTCAGGACAGCTGAGGTGGCCTACTTGGACAAGATGGGTTCCTCGGCCTGCCTTGCCATGCAGCCTGTGGAACGAACCGCTGCAAACGGTACCTTTTTTGGTGAAATCAAGCTCAGGCTATGCCTATGTGGAACATGACATCCGCAACTTCCATCAGTTGGTCTCACCTGCAAGCACGGCAAGTGCAGAGCCGGACCAAGCATCGCAAGCTCCTGCGCCGTGAAACATGAGCTCTGCAACTTTGTGGATTGTTGATTAGGGTAATTAGGACAGAGTTTGGTGGTTTTTTTATACTAGAATCATAACAAGGAACCCCCAAAGCCCTGCTGCCACATAAAGCACCACGGAAAATCCAACCTCCTAACCCCGAATCATATCCTGAACCCAAACCCTACACACTATGCCGGCTACACTATGAAGCCATGTCCCAGAGCTTCGGACTTTGGAACCCAAATGACAACTTCCCGGCCGCCTTGACTTCCTTCTGATTTGGGCTAAGCACCTACTGTTCTAGGCCTGCAGGCATGCCTGACGTGAATGTCTGGAGTCCCTAAACCTGAAACCCTCCAACTCTGAGCCCAACATCTCCAAGACTTACAACCCAGAGACCCCAATGTCCATTATTACGGAATGTATTTTAAATCATAGTAGGATCCCTCGTATGATTTAAGGAACATGCCTGAATTACGGGATATTGGAGTTTCTGAGAAGCTGATCATGTGCACCCGAGGTCGAAGTCGCTCGGCAGAGATGCGTCATCACAAAGCAGAGAAAAGAAAGATGTCTTTGTGAACTACGGGTGAGAACGAAGGACTATACCTGAACCCCCAAGGGGAGGCAAAATAATTGCCCTAAAGCTATAAAAAGCTGTTATTCTACATACTTTTGGGGGTCCAGGGAGGCCCCAAAACAGTAAACTCTCTACCCTGACAAAAAACCCTTTAAGGGATCCCTTTAAAGGTACTACGGATAGGTTGCAAGCAGTAGTTGGAGGCCCCAAGTTGCAGGAGCCTTGGGAGGCACTCCGCGTACGGCTTTTGTCACGGAAAACATCAACTTTGCGAGCACGATTTTACGGTTTATAGGGTTTGGGGATGAGGTTTTAGGGTTCAGGGTTTAGAGTTTGGGGTTTGGGGTTGCGAAACTGCGAAACCACCAAGAAGCCATCCGGAGACCACCACGAAGACCGGCCAGACATCCGGATACTACCAGGATGCCAGGAGAGCACCAAGGGACCACCTGCTCAAAGGTTCATGGGACTTAACCTAAACCTAAACCCTAAACCACCCTAGATCCCTTATAGAACCTGAACGAACCCTTTAACGTACTAAGTCCCATGAACCTCAAGAGAAGCAGCAAGGGCAGTAAAGCGAAACGAAGACACTAATATAGGTGCCTTAAAATTATCTATCCTATTTTGGTGTTTCCTTATTATAAATAGCAAATTTGGCCCCAAAACCCTATTCTAATTAGTAAGGCCCCTCTATTATGTGCAAACGATTCAATTGATTCAATTGATGACATGTTCAGGCATCGGACCATGTTTCACATGCTAACATCAGCCATGCATGTGTTGCTTGAGCCGCAGCTGTTCGCTTGGATCCTGTGTCAGCTAGTTAGTGACAATCCGGTGCGTTGCCTAAACCTCCTGGGTCCTGGAGCTTCTACGCCTTAACTTCACAACACTGAATACTACCATAATACTATACTACTGTAACTGTCATACTATAATACTATAATGGTAATACTATATATTACTAAACAGCCCTGGGATCCATCACTGTCGCCCCAACCCTAAATTCAAAGTGTCGCCCCGCAGCCGCCCACGGAAACAGAGCATTACAATCATGATAAGCGGCTCATGACACCGGAAGGCGCATGAGTCATGAGTCTGCAACTCTGCAGCTTTCGAACACAGCACCTCCAAATCCGCCTTAGCATCCTCCAGCCTACCGAACCTAACATCCGTAATCCCTACAGCAACATCATAAAACCTGTAGCTATGGGTTGGAAGGCGTGCCAAGCCTTCGACCGACAGAGGCAGAAACTCTCGGTAACTAAGCTTCAGCGGCTTAGTGCTTAAAACGGTAAACCTTGAACCTTAAATCCTCATCACTCCTGATTTCAGCCGTGTACCCCAAACTTAGGGCTTTGGCTTTCCATGGAGGGGCTTTTTTGCCCAGCATAGGCCAGGAGGATTGCAAGACCTTGGGATTCAGGGTTTAGAGTGAACCCAAAACCCTGTAGTGCCCTTAAATTAAAGCAACCCATGTGGTACCTTAATTTATCCGTTTCTGAAAGGCCCGAGATCGGAACATCAGACAAGTAGCTTACCAGATGAAGTTCCCTTTCTGGATCCTTTGCAAACGGGTGACGTACTCTAGCTTTTGGGATTTACCAGCACCCCCCCTGCCTCCATTACACCTTATATACCTATTATTGAGGACCATAGGGGCTTCGGTAAAGGGTGCTCGGGGGGTGCTCGTAGGGAACTCAATGATGATCCTGATTTAGAGAATACCTCAGGCCTTCAGGTGCAGAGCGGGATCTCAGACATCATTTGAGGAGTAGTGTTTCAGGTTTGTGGTAATTGTAAGGGGCTTTGAGTGGTTCGATTGTTTAGCAGTTGAAAGCCACAGCTTAAACCCCGAACCCCTTATGTAAAACATAAAACTTGAACGCTGAGGGTGAAATCTTACCAAACCCTCGTAGTATGCCTTATACTAGCATTTATAGAAGCCTTTCCAGAGCTGTCAAGAGGAGCCCTATTCAAATAATTAAGGCCCCCCCAATGTCAGAGCTTCGAGTTGTTTGTTCGCGCTTTTGATGGAAATCTCAGATCGACAGTTCGGCCCTCAACTCTTCAGTGCTTTAGTACTCGGGCCATGGTTTAGGGTTGAGGGTTTAGGGCTTAAGGGTTTAGGGGTTTAGGCTCTAAGAGTTTAGGGTTTAAGGGTTGAGGGTTTGTAAGCGTTTATTTAGGGTTTAGGGACAGTACGGTCTGGGGCTTAGAAATCAATTGATCAGCATACGTTTGTCATGTGGAAATGTGATGGTCGAAAGCCTTTCTACGGGCCGATGTAACCGCTACTTAGGAATCTCTTTAGACTTAACTATATACTATATAGTACAGTCCATGGGCCCTCTAAATCCCGACAGCACAGCCTGCAAAACCCCTGCTCACCCTTAGACAAGCCATTGAAGGAATCCGTCGAGAGACCCTGAAGCAGCAACCCGTAAAGGGAACCTTGAAGAAATGCTAAAAAGCGAACCCTTCAACCCTAATCCCTGATACCTCTATAGAGCTCTTACTACTACACCCCGACGGAACCCTGGCAGGAACCCTGTCGGTGTAAGGCCTATTTTTTCTTAAGGATGAGGCCCTCATGGTCAGAGTAGGGTTATGTGACAAGGTTTTATGTGGGAATGCCCTAGCATGGCTATGTATTGCCTATAAAGGGATATAGCTATTGCATCTTACATCCTAAACTTCACCCATTACAGGACCCGCCATGGAGGAACCCTTGCAGGAGTCCAACCTAGGGCTCAAAAAAACACATAAGCAAAAACTAGGATAGGGATATCCCATATAAATCCCCTTATAGTGAAGCCCAATAAGGTAGGGATATCCCCATAAAATGCTTATGCTTATGTGCTTTTGGGGGGTTCCCTACAACCTAAAGCCCAAGATCCTCAACTAGGATGCCCAGTAGTAGTACCCTTATTCCCTTTTTGTAGTCCTAGGTTCCTTATAAAGTTACCCAATACCAAAAAGAGAGGCCTTTTTATTCTTGGTTACTGGGTATCCTAGTCAAAAAGCCTCAGCCGACGCATCAGGGGCCTGCATGGACTTCGTGCCTGGGTCCTGTTTAGAACAAAGAAGCCAAGACTGGGTTTAGGGTTCCTTTAAGGCTTTAAGGGTCCCTTTAACGGGAGCAATAGGGGTTCCTGAAAGGGATCTGTAGGGTTTAAGGGTTTAGGGTTTACTTCAAGGATCATGGGACTTAGTAACTGGGGTTATAAAATCAGGTAGCCATACTTATAATTTCTTTTAACCCCAATTAAGGTACTTATAACCTTACTTACGAAGTCCCATGATCCTCCAAGCAGGGTTTAGGGAGTCCAAACCCAAAACCTGAGGATTGAGGGTCCACGGCTTCAGGGGTTTACTAAGTTTAGGGTTTGGGATTTTGGGTTTTGTGCCTAGGATTGCCGTTTTAACACACAGATATATATACATGCATGCACATGGTATATGATGTGTAATCTCATACCGGATTGTATGTACCGTCTGTTATATCGATCCTTAAACCTTCAACCTCAAACTCTAAAGCCTTGTGATCATTGTAGGGCTTCTCAGCCCAGGCTACATGAGGCTCACGCTGCTATTCTTTTACCGCTTTGGACCTACAGCCACGAGTTTAGGGCTTGGGGTTCCGGTTACCTGCTATGTTAAGGGCTTCCGTCAAGGCGTCATAACCCACTGCTTCATGTTGAGGGGAGGGGTGGCAAGACTTCGGCTGTGTGTGAATTTCAGGTAATATTGCTTTCGAAGGCCTTGGCTTCTTGCGGTTTTGCAACGAAAGCACATGGTGGGGTTTAAAGTCTTTACATAGCTAGGTCGCACTTCGGGAAATGTGTTAGTTTCCCCCAAGCTCCGACAAAAGATTTTACAAAAACACGTCTAAGGGCGTCAAGCTGTCGAGCCACGGAAGCCAAAACCGAGACACGATTTAGACGTTTAAACTCTAAACCTGCTAACCCCTCATAAACCGTAAAAGCAACCCAGACCCTAGAAACAACTAAATCCTAAGCGTCTTCGGGGTCGTCGCGTCGAAACACGATGTCCCTAATTACTACTATGCCCTTATGACATGGTCTTTAAGCTACCCAAAGGCTCCATGTACCTTTCCAGTAGATACTTAAGCCTTAAAGGGATCCCTACATAGGTACTTTGGAGCCTAAGTATCTACTTTTTGGGTACATGGAGTCTTAGGGCTATCATAGGGATCCTTAGGGGTGTAGGGGGAGGGGGGGTAGGGGGCCTTAAGGCCCATAATAAGGACTAATAAGGCCTATTTAAGGAAATATAGTCCCCTACACCCCTCCCCCCTACACCCCTAAGGATCCCTATGAGGCTACTGACGTTGACACTTTTTAAACAAGTGGAGGGCGGCCAGACCGCCAAGGCCAGGGAAGTAGTACCAGAGCTATGTTTAAAACTATCCGGCATGTTTCAAACCCTAAACCCTAAATCCCTAAACCCTAAAACGCTAAAACCCTAAAACCCTAAACCCTAAAACCCTAAAAGCCTAAACCCTAAAACCCTAAATCCTGAACCCTAAACCGCACCGTTGTAAATTGACTTGGTGATCCGGCCCCAAAGGCCACGGTTTAGGATTTAGGGTTAGAGAAATCAAAAAAACTGTTTAGATTTTTAAGTGTCAGAAATCGTCGCCGTAGTAGAATAGGTAAACTTTAACGTTTGAGGGTACTGTGAACCCCATGTGATCCGAAAGATTAACTGATTAACCTTTAGTTTCCCGGAGAGACTGGACAAGTAAGTAGTCTATTTAGGAGCCCAGTTCGATTTATTGGCTTCATGCAGGAGAGGGTTCTGTCGCATTCTAACCTTGTAACTTGTTTTGATGTGCTCGTTGGATTTCCTAGTTTCTGTCTCGGGAGCTTAGGAGTTAAGGACTTGGACCGGCAGCAAGCGTGATGGTCTGCAGCCACCTGAAGCTCGAATTGCTGCAGAGCTTTTCACTTGCATAAACTAAGTTTTAAGTAGGATTTCGAACAATCTACTGAAACCCTTAGCCACATAGTAGTGTTCAGGGTATATGTCCACGCGGGTCTCACCCCGTGCCTGGATCGAGTTTCGCTGACACGCATGTCGGTCACTGTAGAAGTCTCACTGCTCAGTGGCAAGACAAGCGCTGTGACAGCAGACTTGGGCGAGAAAGTAGAAGCATTGGAGCTTCGGGCACAGACAGCACTGGGAGTTGACAGAGGGCGACTGGTCGACTCATCTGGAAGTTTCCTGGATGCGAGCAAGCGCATAGAGGATTCTGGGGTGCAGACTGGTGACTCACTGAGGCTGCACGTGAGCCCAACTCCTAAGGTGTGTAGCACTGGCGGAGCTTTTGCTGCAATCCTTCCAGATGGTTCGGTCGTGACATGGGGCGAGCCTACAGAGGGCGGTGACAGTAGTGCTGTGCAGGATAGGCTGAAGAATGTGCAACAGATCCAAGCCACTGAGTCTGCCTTTGCTGCCCTTCTTGATGACGGTTCGGTCGTGACCTGGGGGGGTGCTACTGATGAGGGTGGCGACAGCAGCGCAGTACACGATAGGCTGAAGAATGTCCAGCAGATCCAAGCCTCGTCCAGTGCCTTTGCGGCCATTTGTGGCGATGGATCGGTGGTGACCTGGGGTAGCCGTTACCATGGTGGGTTGATTACAACTCTGCAGGATCAGCTGAAGAATGTGCGGCAGCTCCAAGCCACTAAAAGAGCTTTTGCTGCCATCCTTTGGGATGGATCCGTCGTGACATGGGGTGACGGCCGCTATGGTGGTTCCAGCAATGCAGTAAAGGACCAGTTGAAGGATGTGCAGCAGATCCAAGCCTCTGATCGTGCTTTTGCTGCCATTCTTGGCGATGGAGCGGTCGTGACCTGGGAAAATGACGACAACGGTGGTGACAGTAGTGCAGTTCAGGAAGAACTGAGGAACGTGCAGCAGATGCAAGCCTCGAGCGGTGCTTTCGCTGCCATTCTTGGTGATGGCTCTGTCGTTACCTGGGGTAGCACTTACTCCGGTGGTGGCAGTAGTCCTGTGCAGGACCAGCTCAAGCGTGTGCAGCAGATCCAATCTTCTGCACACGCCTTTGCTGCCATTCGTGCAGATGGATCCGTCGTTACCTGGGGTGTTGCCAAACTGGCTGGCGACAGCAGCGCTGTGCAGCATCAGCTGAAGAATGTCCAGCAGATCCAAGCATCGGCTGGTGCATTTGCTGCTATTCTTGACGACCGATCGGTCGTGACCTGGGGTTGTGCTGACCACGGCGGTGACAGTACTGCTGTGCAGGATCAGCTCCAGAAGGTGGTGAGCATTGAAGCGTCTTCTCGAGCTTTTGCTGCTATTCTTGGTGATGGGTCCATCTTGACTTGGGGTGATGCTGACTTTGGCGGTGACTCTAGAGCTGTGCAGCATCAGATCAAGCATGTCCGGTAGGTCGGAGACAGCTGCCCTTCTCGGAGATGGATCTGTCGCTGGCCGCGGGGGTGACAGTAACTTCTCTCAGGACCATACGTAGGAGTCTTGTCCTGTAAGGGTCAGGCTATTTGGAGTTTGGCCCGCGCCCCTTCTTGTTAAATATAATGAAGCTGAGATGTTGCATTGGATTTGGGTGCTTTTTGGGCACCTAGTTGGTATCGCCGATGGATGAACATCGCACAGTCCGCCAGCTGCAAAAGGACTTGTATCAGAATCTAAAGACAGAAAATGAATGTAAGACCCGTGCACAAGCCCTAAACCCCAAGCCCGGAAAATGGACAAACTAGACAGTCTACACCCCTTAACTCTGAACCCCCAATCATTGAGTCCGAAGACCCAAACTTGCCACGGTCTCGTTCTAGGCTTTGGACAGCGCAAATCCTGCAACCAAGGTTTTAGCAACGAGCACAGAAGCAAAAGTGCTAGAAACTTAAAGGCTTTGGTCTTAGGGGTGTACGGGTTTAGGGATTAAGGTTTAGGGCTTCGATGGGTTTCGGATTCCCTATCTTGTTTGAAAAGTGTTACAAGCAACATGAACCACACAGTTAACTCCGAAAACCCAACGACCAGCTTGATGCCGCTATGCCCCTTCCTGCTGCCTACAGCCGCACGTGGAGCGATAAAGCTGGGAAAGGAGTTGGTTAGCTGGAAAAGTCGGAGCCGTGGCAGTAGCATGAATGAACATTGGAAGTGTCACTTCTGCTGTCCCTGCAACCCTTGCAGTAATCGTTCGCAACCCCGAGACTAGCCCTTATAGAAACCAGCATAGAAGCCCTTGCAGTCTCCGCTAGTATCTCTCTTATAGCATCCCTCGTCGTATCCGTAGACGGTGCGTTTGGGATCGAGGGCGGTAAGTATTGTTGTGGTTGCTGAGTCCCCGGATCCTTGAAGTAGTCCTTTGAATGTCCCTATAGGGCTCCAAGTCTGGGTGATAAAGAGTTCCTATACAGGCATGTCTATAAGGTCCCAGTATACACGAACTACATAAGTACCTGGAGCCTTAGGGTGTATGTTCTTGCGGCGAACTGAGGAGCTACCCCAAGAGGTGGCAGAGCGCTATGACTTGGCTGTCGAAGAGCCTGGCCAGATACCATTACTGGGGGAAGGCCACCGGGGACGTGTTGTTTTCAGGGTTTGGGGTTTTGGAGTTGCAGCTTTTCGGTTTATAGAGGGGTTTCCAAAAATAGGGGACCCCAATATAGACCCCAAATAGTAGGATCCTTATTACGTATAAGAAACCCAAAATAATGTACCCTCATTTTTGGAAACTCCCATGTAGGGCTTAGGGTGGTCATTCAAGCTTAAAGGCGTCAGGCGCCGTCCATCGTAACTTCGCAGACCTTCAATCCGAAGCTTGTTTTGCGCCCTGAAGCAGGGTTTAGGGTTTAGGGGAATCTAGTACTTGTTTTGGGACACCTGCTTCTACGGTTTTGAGCCCGTGAAACTATGTTTTAGGGTCTAGCTAGACCCTAAACCATATACCTTACAGAGCATAAATCAAGCCTTGCCCCTGTGAAGCCTCTCCGCAGCTGTAGTTCTCAAGCCATGCAAAGGCCGCAGATGAGTTTGCCTGTCCTTTCCAGGGGTCACGTCGGGCCCTCTAAAGATTACAAGGTACCCATTTGGGCTAATGTCTAAGTACTTTCCTTGTTGGCTTGATATAGAGCCCTAACTATGTTTTTGCGGCTGTTGAAAGCGACACCTAAATTAGACCATTGTTTGGGGTGCAGTAAAATCTCAAGAAGGAAACATGACTACTATTTGCTCAGACGCGTGTATGTACCCAAAAATGCACACAAACGCAAGGATCGTGGTAAGGAGGCTTGCAGGGCTTAACTAGCAACCGTACCACTTTGTTATAAGATTCCTATCTTGGGGGTTCGAGACGGCTGCCGGTGGGTGATTCTTCTACATCTTATTTGTTGTTGGGTGTTCCCTAGCTGCGTTCAGCAATTATGAACATGGAAGGTATTCGGTTCAAGGAGTGAGATCTGGGCGCAAGATTGGGGATTTGGCCCGGAGGGTTGTTCGCCCGGCACACCCTCCACCCTGAACCCTCGTTTCTAGCCTGATGCTCTCGGTTCGGCTGGCTTCGGGGCAGCTCCTGGAAGTGCCCTGGGAGTTGTTGAGGGATGCCCGGTCACTGAAGCAGCAGCTGCAGCATTCATCGGGGCTGTCGCGGTTTCGGCAGCGTTTACTTTACCAAGACTCTGTTTTGGAAGATCAGGCCATCCTGGTGGATTCGATGACGGAGCTCCAGCTCGTCGTGCTTCCGTTTTGTAGTGCTTCGGCGCAGCAGAAGGACGCACTTGTCGACGCAGCGGAGCTTGGTTCCATCTCGGACGTGGAAGAGATTCTCCAGCGTCCCCAACATCCGGATTCCGAACAGGGCATGACAGCTCTTGGGATGGCCAGCTTCAAGGGAAAGGCAGAAATTGTGAGCTTGCTTTTAGAGGCAAATGCTGACAAGGACAAGGCCTGTGGCTTCAGAGGAGCGACACCTCTGGTGCTTGCTTCCACAATGGGCCATGAACAAGTGGTGCAATTGCTTTTAGCCGCGGGTGCCGATAAGGACAATGCGTGCAACGCCGAGAGTATCAGTCAGGTTACTACCCCTTTGGGTATGGCTTCCAAGATCGGCTATGTGAAGGTTGCATGCCTTCTGCTGCGGGCTAGGGCCAACACGGATAAAGTTTGCGCAACAGACACAGACCATCTCACGACACCCCTGGGTGTAGCTTGCTTTGAAGGCCATGCAGAGCTGGTGCGAGTATTATTGGATGCTGGTGCCAGTACCAACCAAGAGTTTGGGCCGAACAACACGACTCCACTTGGTGTGGCATCTGGCGATCCCAGCCGCAGTGCCGCACACCAGAACATGGAATTGGCGCGACAGTTGATGAGAGCTGGCCATCATGTGGATTTGAGCGAGTTTACCGATTGCCATGTGGAGATCGTTCGCATGCTGTTGGAGGCTGGTGCCAAGAAGAACATGCCTTACGGACCTCATGGACTAACTCCCCTCGGGGAGGCCGTTAGCCACCGACGAGTGGAAATCGTCAAGCTGCTCCTCGCAGCCAGTACGGACGTCAATCAAGTCTTTGGTCCTGGCAGCAAGTCACCTCTCGGCGTGGCCTGCAACAGCAGCCATGTCGAGGCTGTCGAGATAGTCCGCTGTCTTCTTGAATCACGAGCTAACGCAGAGCTTTCAGGGTTTCCTGGGGCGACGCCACTTGAGTTGGCATCGAGCAGAGGTCAATTGAGTGTTGTGCGACTGCTCTTAGCTGCCGGAGCTGGCCAGGGCGGCTCAGGGGGATCTTCTGGATGCTTCTCAACTGCCATGAAGCATCTCGCGATTGCTCTATGCTCGAAGATTGGATGCTGATTCAGTACCGAAAGAGATCAACTAGTCCGTATAGTGACTGCTGCAGGAGCCAGGAGAGTCGGTCGAATAGTTGTATCTCGTTGGCATATTATGGCTTAAGTGTAAGCCATCCGTGTACCCGGGGAACGTTTGGTTTTGTGTGTTTCTGTAGCAGCATAGCGTTGGCAGTACTCCCAACCCATGGAGCCCACCTTCCTTTTCTTGGAGGAGTTGCCATATGAATATGGTGCAAGGAGAAATTGCGGGCATTGCCAGTACTGCGGTGTCACCAAAAGGAGCATGCGCATCATCGTCATTGCAGGGTTATTTCGTTGTTGAGGTATACTGGTTAGTCTAGGTAGGGTTAAGGTTGGAGTAGCCTCATTCTGATAGCATGGAGAACTTAAGCGATCACCAAACGGATTTTTCATCGGCTGGATCCTATAACCGAAGCTCATGTCCGACATCCCTAGCCCTATGCAACTCCTAGGTATGCCCTAAGCTAGGTTGAATTTTACGGGGCTGCACATAAATCCTCTACTCTGCGGCCCCCGCCTGTCTTCTAGGCTATATTGAAACTGGCGTCGCATCTTACAGCGATCTGCGATAAAAGGCTGCAGTCAGAACTCCCTAAGGGCCCACGTATTCCTAGAGTATATATTTCGGCCTACAGGCCCTATTCAGGGTTTAGGGCTGAGGGTTTAGGGTTTAGGGGTGCTTAAGGGCCAGAGTATATACTGTATGAGCACATGGACCCTGAATGGAGGGGTGGAGGACTGTGGCTGAAGAGCAAAGCCCGTGCGACCAAATAAAACAGAACTAAAACCTAAGCCCCGGACCTAGAAACCCTAAACCACCCTACACCCCAAACCCTGAATCCTGAAAAAGCGAAGCGCAGCGCAGGAATGCCCGTGATTGTACTTGGAGGGGCAGGGGACTTAGTAAGTCGTTCATAAGTAGGGTTATAATTGGGGTAACTCAAGTTAGGGTACTTATACCTCTACTTATAACCTACTTACTAAGTCCCCTGCCCCTCCAAGTTGAAAGGAGACTTTAAAGGACCACTGACAAGCAAAAGCAAGGCAAGGCAGACACCCTAAGCCCTAAACTCTAAAACCTAGATCCCAAACCCCTACACCCTAAGCCTTAAGCCTTAAACCCCAAACCCCAAACCCTAATAAACCATAAGCCCTAAACCTTGAACCTAAAGCCCAACCCCCTTAAACCCTAAGCCCGTAACCCTAAAACCTAGACCCCAAACCCCAGACCCTAGCCCCTAAACCCTAAACCCCAACCCCCTAAACCCCAGACCCTAGCCCTAGACCCTAAAGCTTAGACCCCAAACCCCTGGGCCCTAAGCCCTAAGCAAAAGCAAAGCAAGGTAGCTATGGGCTGGTCTTCCTCGGCCGGCCCCGACACTGGGCTTTGGAGTACCATACTTTAATATCTTTTCTTAAAGGAACCATCATGAAATGGCTTAGGGTTTAAGGTTTAGGGTTTAGTAGTTTCTTGGGTCCTTAAAGGGGTCCCTATCGTTTAATGTAAGGCCTAAGTACAAACTATTTGAAACAAAGGTCTATATTTTCTCCCTAGTTACTTAAAAGCCCAGGACATGATGCATCGGGGACGGTGGCACTGACGCTGGGCTTTTGAAAGTGAGGCCTTGATGGTACCTGTGAACCCAAACCCTACAGAATGGTTATGACCCCTAAATTATAGGGTCTAACCCCTAACACAGTAGGTTTTTGGATCCCCAGGTAAACCCTAAACCCTTAACATGTGCCCGGGTTTGTGAAGGGTTTATGATGTTTTATGCCGGTGTCAGTACGGCTTAAGCCTGTAGAAGAATCATGTCTCAATCATCAAGGCCCCTGTGTTTCCTGTGTCAAGCAATCTGGTCCAAAGATTGACTGTGATGTTTTTTCTCTCTAGCCAGGTTTTCCTTTATTGGAGGACCCGCTAAACCCAAAGCCCTAAACCATAAAACTAATTGTGTCAAGGATTGTAATTCGATTCTGGGTTTTCGCCTGGGTAGGTTATGGAGGCATGGTGGGTCGCCTAGCATAGTTCCTGATACACTTGCATTATAATCTACCCAACCGCGCCTTCCGGTTATCGAGGGTTGTATGATATATAGCGGTTTCATTATTGGCGTTTAATCGGGATCTTAACATTACGACCGTTTGGGGATGCGGGTACATTGAGCGGGATAGGGGGTGGTACATTGGGTTTGCCAGGGGTCAACAGGCAAGGTTTTGTTGGTTTTTGTTTGTGGCTTTCTGGTACTGTGTTGAGTTTTTCGGTGCAGACGTTGTGTCAGGCTTCCTGTGAGATTTCTCCGGGACAGTTTGCGCTTATTCTTATTGTTCAGATAGTTTGGATTCGGTTGTACTGTAGGTCTGAAATAGTAGAACCATGGGTTTACACAGTGGTATACAACACCCCGGAGCCGCACCAGTGTAACTACGAACCCCCATTTAGGTTTCGTGTTGTTGTGCCGATGTTGTTTTCTCCCAGTGTGTTAACATTGTGGGGTCCAACGGACCCAGTAATTAGCACTCAGTTTTCAGATGGTAGTTATGTAGGTTAGTATTTTGGAGAGTATATGATTCTGAGATACTTCAACCCTTGGGGTTACATTCGGGGCAACTGGTCGATATGTGCCTCAGATGCATAGAAACTCATCGGTTGGGAACACCAAGAGTTCCCACGCTGCAGAGAGCCGTTGTTGAGCACACGCCCCACACCCTGAACTCGGTAAGCCCTTAAACCCGATAAGCCCTAAACCCAAGAAGCCCTAAACCCGATGCCCTAAACCCTATAGGTACTTTAATTGGGGTTATAAGTCTTTATGAGTATGGTCATTTTTTAAGCCCTAAACCCTAAAACGCCCAGGAAACGTTGTTTTGATTCCTTGCTGCTCGACGACGCTGCGACGCTGAAACGCACGTACAGGGAGTTGGCTGTGCTGAGGCACTTCGGGCTGAACACGATTTAGGGTTTAGGGTGTTTAGGGTTTAGGGTTCAGAGGTTTAGGGTTTAGGGTTCAGAGGTTTAGGGTTTAGGGTTTCGGGATGTTTAGGGTTTAGGGTTCAGAGGTTTAGGGCTCAGAGGTTTAGGGTTTAGGGTTTAGTGTGGTGGAAGTGTGTGTCGCACTCCAGATATGGGAGTTTCCGAAAATTAGGGCTGCCTTATTGGGGTCCGTATAATAGGGATCCGACTATTTACGGTACTGTATTTGGGTCTCCTATTTTTCGGAAACCTCTATATTTAGGGTTTCGGGTTTAAAGAATCATATTCAATGTGGTTTTCGATGTGCATGCAGTTGCCGGAGTAATCAAGTTGTGTGCTTCTGCGTAAAGGGCTGTACAAACGATACCTTGCAATAGGCACTCAGCTTATGTGGTAAGGTTGTTGCTTCAAGGACATCCGAAAGCTCGAACCCTTTAAGCTTTATGGTTTAGGGTTGCGGATGTTGCGGCTTTAGGATTTTATGGTTTTGGTTCCAGGGAGCAGTTGTGTAGTTGTTGAGGAGGAGTGGTTGAGACGTGAAGCATGACAGTTGCCACGTTGCCGGCATCTGTCTGCGGCGCTGCGCTGTTTTGTGGTATCTCAGGACCCGAGCAGTTGAACCTTCACCCTTCAACCCCTAAATGAAGCGCAACCGTTGAAGCCAGAGCAACGTGCGATCCGAAGCACCGGTGCTTCACCGATAGAGCCTGAACTGTGGTAGTCTTTTGGATAGCTTGTTTTATGCACAGGGTCGTTGATAAGACCAATACTGCAACCCTAAACCCTCAACCCCAAAACCGTGGCTCTGGTCTAGGTAGTTTGCCGTACCGGGCAGCAGGAGCCTAAGCCACAACAATGTCGTCGTGCTCCTCGATGCTGTTCTGCCCAAGCGGCCGGGCTTGTCCACTCCCAAAGGCTCCATGTACCCCTTAAGCGTTCCTTTAAGGGTTCTATAAGGGCTCCTTTAAGGGTTCTATAAGGGTTCTATAGGGTTTAGGGTATAAGGTTCCATGGTACCCTTATAGTAGATACTTAAGGCTTAAAGGGGTCCCTATGTAGGTAGCCTAAGTATATACTATGTGGGTACATGGAGCCTTACGGACTATAAACCTTGTAGGACATAACCCACTCAATGAACACGCGGAATCCTAGAGTGCATGTAAACACTGAGGCTCGCACTCTCGGCAAGTTAGGCCAGAGGTAGAGTGGGCATTTTTCCAAATCCCAAATCAGGGTCCATCTTGCCTGTATACTGCGTATTACTATCTTCTTCCATCCCAGAGGAGCTGTTTGGGAAGTCCCCTCAGTACCTGCGAAGATCTACTACATAAGTCCTTAGACTCCACAAAATCCGACAGTATGTTCTATTAATCTACTAGCCGACTTCCTTCTACGGCTTCGAAGCCAGTTTAATGGCTTTCGTGTGGCCTTTCAGGGGGCAACGGATGTGGGAGCTCAGGGTAGGGTTTTGGGTCTAGAGTTGAGAGTTTACAGGGTGGGTGTGCAACATAGAGTTCCTCATGCTTTTCTGAAACCCAGATGTAATCTTCCGATTTGTAGGCGTGTAGGCGTTCGGGAATGCATGGGCGTTCAGGCCTGATTCCGAACCGCTCAAAAGCCGATTGGTGTTAACCTAACCGGGTCATAACCAAGTATGTTGCCCGAAACCCGAAACTTGGGTTTTGGGGCTTTGTTTACCAGTGAGTGTGACGGGTTGGTGGGACTCCCACTCCGGAGCTTGATTTTCCGATTTGCCCAGACCCCTGGCGCAAAACACCAAACCTTCAGCTCTCTAAGCCCTGAAGCTTGTACTCCTCACACTCCATACTCCCCCCACATCTTTTGACCCCTCTCTTGAGCAGAAAACACAAGACTTCCTTCAAGGAGCGGAGCGGACCTGTACTTGGTCTTCCCAGCAGCTGCACATGATCTAGACAAGGCCCTTTGTGAGTTGAAGGGTTCAGGTTTGAGGCACATATCTGTCCCCAAGATCTGTGGACCTATCGATCTCTTTATCGATCTATCGGTCGATCGATATGCCGTGACTGTTAAGAGGCATTGGGCTTTGGGTAGTTATGAGGGTGATGTTCTGGATTCTCGGGTGACAGTATACGAATGAAAGCTTTACCCACCGCGTTCTTTTCCTGTGACTGTGTGGAAGCCATGATCGCCAAAGCCTAAACCCAAGCTCCTTAGTCGAGTCTAGCGATACCTACCTCGACCCCCAAAAGTATGCAGAATAATGGCCTTTTATAGGTTTTGGGCCATTATTTTGCTTCAGCACCTGAACCCCAAACCCTTCGAAACGCGCCATGGGCCAACACCTGAAATTCTGCATGTTCACACAACCTTAATCCAGCCTAAACCCTCAAACTCTATACCCTAAACCCCGTACCCGAAGCGCTAAGCCCCGAACCCTAAACCCTAAACCTTAAACCCTAAACCCCTAAACTCTGAACCCCTTAGCCCTATACCCTCAACCCTATACGCCCCATAAGACCTAAGCCCTAAACCCTATACCCTATAATTACCAGAAGCCCTAAACCCTAAACGCTACACCCTCTAAGCCCGCCCAGAGACTCCAATGTCGTTGAGTTCAGGAATATGTGCCTTAAATTCATATGACAGATCCGACTATAATTTAAGTTAGGGATATTTGAGTTCCCTAAACCTTATAGATTCCTTATTATGGATCCCTTAAAGGAACCCTAAAACCCTATCCGGATATAAGGGATATTCGATTCTCTGCCCTAGGCCCTATAGATCCCTCATAGATCCCCTTAAAGGAACCGATATAGATCCCTTCAAAAGGAACCCTATATTCCTTAATAAAGGGATATTGGGTTCTCTGCCCTAGGCCATCCGCTACAGCCTTTTGGACCTAAACCCTACACCCTATACCCTATATATATATATATATATATACACATACACACATACATATATACATATATACACATACACATATACATATATACATATATACATATATACATATATACATATATACATATATACATATATACATATATACATATATACATATATACATATATACATATATACATATATACATATATACATATATACATATACATATATACATATATGCAAGTACTCAGCCGTGTTGGACGAGCCAATCGAGCTACTTCCAAAGCCTCTTAAGGAAGCCTGGCTGATGCTTTTGGAAGGCGGCACTGTCGCCGTTAGAGCGCCGAAGGCGTTCTGGAGCCACCCTCTGGCTGGGCCTTTCCGCCCATTGAGGGCACAAGTGCAACCAAATTAGGCAGCGTACTACCTCTGATTGCAAGGAAATGGAAAATATGTACATATATACATATGTACATATATACATATATACATATATACATATGTACATATATACATATATATACATATATACATATATATATATATATACATATATATATATATATATACTAAAGCCTAAACCCTCATGACCCTAAGCCTTAAACCCCTAAATCCTAAACCCCTATGCCCTAAACCCTATAGATCCCTTTAAGGAACCCTATAGATCCCTTTAAGGAACCCTATAGATCCCTTTAAGGAACCCTATGGATCCCTTTAAGGAACCCTGTAGATCCCTTTAAGGAGCCTTTTACGGACACCCCCCCTTTCGAGTAGGCCATTCGCTACAACCTTTTGGACGGAGACGCCCAGCGCCTCGCGGCCCGGGACATGGCGCGAGCTTTGCGGCATCCGGGCCTGGGAGTTGCTTTTAAGGGTTCCTTTTGAGGGACTAGGGTACGTAGGATATTAGGGTTCCTTTAAGGGATTAGGTATTAGGGTTCATGTAAGACATTTTAGAGATTAGGTATTCTGGGCTGCCTTTAAGGGACTAGGGTATGATAGGGTTCCTTTAAGAGGTCAGGAACTCGGTTCCGTTTAAGGGATAATGTGGGACATTAGGGCTCCTTTAAGGGCTGCCATTAAGGGATTAGGGTATTATAGGGTTCCCTTTTAGAGATCAGGGTATAAGGGTTCCTTTTAAGGGATTACGTGGTGAATTAGGGTTCCTTTGAGGGCTCGCTTTAAGGGATTATGTAGGGTATTAAACGTTCCTTTAATGGTCCCCTTTAGGGGACTATGTAGGATATTAGGGTTCTTGTAAGGGCTGCCTTTGGGAGATTAGGGTATTAGGGTTCCTTTAAGAGAACAGGTGTCAGGGTTCCTTTGAGATTTTTTAGGGAGGCCCTGCGCGCGAACTGCGTGCGCGCTTTGGCGCCATCTCAAAAGACGATTTCCGCAACTCTTTTGTTATGACTACGTACTCATGATGTGGATTGCGTGCGGTGTGGTCCGGCTTCCATACTTCAGGGTGTGTTCTTTTAATTGTTACTTCTAACCAATATGGGAACTGCATTCCTCTTCGCCTACCCTGATTGATAATTCTGTCCTTATAAGCTGACGTAAAGACTACAGAGTGCATTGGCTGACAGGGCTCGGCCTGGAATACTTCCACCATAGTTTTGTATTGCTGACGTTGAAGTATGGTTGAGGGTTTTTCAGGTTTACCTGCTACCCGGTATACTTCTTCATTTGGAACACGGGAGTAGCAAGATGCTTTAATGCCTACAGCCCGACGCAGAAATCTAAAACAACAACCATCAATTCTGTGTAGGTCTTTGTCCGTGAGGGTAAGGGCTTCGAGTCCGTATATGAGGATGGAAACGAAAGTAGTGCGAAAGATGCGTAACTTGGATTTCTGGGGCATGCGGGGGTTCCACACCAAACGTAGCTTCTTATACGCTTCTTCTGCGAGACTAGCACGATGCATTAGGGCCGTATAAAAGGGTTGATGCCAGGTTACCATGGATCCTAAGTACTTAATTTGCGGTGTGGTCTGGACCTTGTCCCCGTTACTAAACTTTAAGCTGGGCTTGTCATCAGGATCTTTTACCAGCAATTCCTTCTTGCTGTTGTTGAGTATACGCTGCTTTATCTCTCGCGGGGATCCATCCAAGAGTGCATTCGCACTTCTGCTGGTGGATTCCTCCCTGACGGTGCCTTTATCCCATGGACAAGGGTCAACCTTTGAGGGGAACGCGCTTCCACAGAGTTTTGTCGTCTGTGGGGCGAATTTTCCCAAAACGCAGATCTGGATCACCGTGACTGCTTTGGGAAGTTACGTTCCGTGGAATAATGCCAACCAGGAACGTGATCTCCTTGCCAATCTTAACTCGACAATGAAATCGGGTAAGACGACAAAGGAGATTGCCAATGCGAATTACGCGAATTGGCATCAAGGGAAGGGCAGAAGTTGGGGCTCCAACCAAAGTCCTTCCTTAACCAAGGGCGGTCTTCAGAATTTAGATTCTGGAGACGCCGTTGGTGGGCCTCCTGCCTTTAAGGGTAAAGGAAAAGAGAGGCCTCGACGTCCTGCGCCCCCTTCTCATGCGAGTGGGGATGTAGGATTTCGGCACCATTCTGACCCGGATGAAAGTGTTCACGGGGAGGTGTGGTGACGGTACCCGAAGAAAGGGTATCGGAAGGAGGTCTGGACCAGACCCCTTGACTCAGGGTTGGGGATCTTTTGGATTCTTTCTAACCCTGAGAAGCGGAAGGCTGAGAGGTTTCGAAGAAATACTCCAGCCAGCCGCGATGCCTTGGTAGGGAGGTTTTTATCCCCTGTAAAGGCTATGCCCGACCCAAAATTGGTGGTCACCCAACTATAAGGTCCTTGGACGAAGTATCGTTACTTTCGTTTTTTGCACACACTGTGCAGTGGCAAGCCTTCAAGATTTGTGTACCTTACACCCTCAACCCCAAACCGTGGCACTGTTATGGCTGTAGGGGTTGGTGCTGTTGGCTTGTGAGATCCTTCACCCTATCCGTCCCAAAGATCTCGCCTGCGAGCGAGCGCCTCAACTCAGACATCCTAGCCTCGGAAGACTCCCAACCCCTGAACCAGAAGAATCACCTCAACCCTAATCTCAACTCTATACCCTAAAAGGCTAAAGCACAAGCCCTAGAAACACCGAGCTTCTCGGCCCCGGAGCACCCAAAAGCACTGAGGTATCTGCATGAGTCCGGGCTCATCCACCGAGACGTAAAGCCAGGCGGCATCGGGCCCTAAACCCTAAACTGGGTTGTTCTTTAGACTTTGGGATCTGGTTTAATTTCCCGTACTATTTTGTAGAGAACCATAATAGCAAATAGTTTTCAAAGGGCTTAACGGACAATTCGGGTTAAAATCATTGCTACATGGTTGTTCTCTGGACTCTGGATGTTCATTAGTTTGGTAGAGTGGTTTATAGGACAGTTTAAGGGCATTGTTGAAGCCTCTCTGCGGTATTATGGAGCTTAGGGTATAGGGCCCCAATTGCTAGTTCGGATGTTTTTGTTGGCAGGGGGCGGGGGTAAGTATGTCATTGTGCAGCAAAAAGAGGACAAGAACGGAATGTAACTACGACTTGTTCAGACTCATACACCAATATCCACAACCTAGACCGTAAACCTCTGAAGCCAAAACCCCGAAATCCTAAATCCGGCGACCGGTTTAGGGAACACAGAAAGGTACTTATTTTGACTGTCATACACTAGTTTGTTGTTTTGATGGTGCAGTGGTTACTTGGTAGACTCTAGGTATAGTATGCGGTAGACTCTAAAACAGGATGCTGGTTCCTGGCTGGAAGCGGCAAGCACCATCCATCCACCTTCAAAACAACAAGACATCCCTACAATCAGAGTATTCCACTTTTGAGCTTGAAGACAGTTCGAAGTTGGAACGCCAGGTGCTGGGCTCGTAGGATGTAAGGCTTCTCGCTGGGGGCACCTCACAAGTTCATATGCCTGTTTCGTTTCGGGTTTAGGGTTCAGGATGTCCATAGCCATATACGGCTCCTACACCGATAAGCCGCATGTTTCCGAAAAGCATGAAAAGGCGATTCCGGGGTGCGAAAGCCTAAGCCTAAACCGTGTACAGAATGATCTTGGGTTGTTTTGAGTTTGGGGTTTGAGGTTTATGGTTGCTGGTAGCGGGTTTAGGGTATATCGTTCAACCGTTGTGGTATTATGGGGTTTCAGCATCTCAACAAGAGCCCACATGACATATCCCAAAACTAGATGCGTTTTTGCAACACATTGCCGTACAGAGCCCATGAAAAGCACAGCCTTTTCGTTTATATTTCACGTAGCAGAAAACTCCATGAAGCCACAATCACGACCAACAAAAATCGTAGACCTCAATATACCAGACACTGTGTGTATGTATATATATATATATATATATATATATAGACACCAAACCAAAGCCCCAGAATCCTGGACCCATAAGGGTTCAAGGAACCCTTCCTCCTTACAAAATCCCAAAGGCTCCATGTATCCATATAGTATATACTTAGGCCTTCAAGGGGTCCCTATATAGGTACTTTAAGGCCTAAGTATATACTATATGGGTACATGGAGCCTTTGGGAATAAAATGCAGGAAACGTCCTCCTGGAGCCTGGAGGGGCGCGGCTTTGCGACTTCGGCCTCGTCAGATGCCTTGGGAGCTCAAGGAGAGCGATGTCCTTTAGGGTACTCGAGGGTTTAAGGCTCCGGGTTCGGGGACTTGGGGTTTGTGGCTTTTGCTTGGGTTTTGTTGGGGGGGGGGGGTCTGGTTGCAAGACTTCGGGCCATTTTTTTCTGAATCACCGTGGTTTGGATCGTCAGTTTGGAGTTTTCAGTCAATAGAAGTTAGGGCAGGGCAGTGTCATGTATAAACCTGTGTGATCATACATAGCGTGCGGCAGGGTTTGAAGTGTTTGAGATCCTGCAAGGGTGATGTCGGAGTGCAAAAGGCTTTGCAAGGAGTCTTAGTAGTGTAATTAGTAGTTGTTGCTTTGTGTTCGTTTCCTGTAAGAGGTCTAGGCATGAGGAAGGGGACCACGGTTCATGGCATTGGAGCTTTACAGCACTATGGCCAAAGGGGTTTTGCCTGGGTGCCGCTAACCACCAGCTATGACTTGGCAAGAAGTGCTGAGCTTGTGGCAAACATGTTGAACAGGTGTCTTTGATGACGACACTTGTTATTCGCAGTGGCAGCGAGGGAAGTAGGGTTGATGACAATCGCGTGGCCGTACTTGTTTACACTCGTTTGTTGGCGCTGGCCGGCTTGATGCAGATCGTCGTCGTCATCGTGCGGGTCGTCCTCGTGGTGCTTGTTGCCACAGCTGGTACTGCTGCTTCTCCTTCTGGCCACTGGGGGCTGCTTTCAGCTTCGACTGTTGGTTGCTGCCTGCTGCCGGTCGCTGCATCCGGTTGTGGCGGCCACGCGTTTTGTTATCGTTGTCAATGATAATGTTGCTCTTGCTGCAGCTTTCGCTGCTGCTGTTGTTTCTGGTGCCTCCGTTGCAGTCGTCTTCTCCAGCTACTATTGCGTTGGCCAGTGTTGCTGCTTTGGCGCTGCCTTTGTTGTGCTGCAGCGGCTTTGGTTGTTGATGTGCGGGTTGTGTGCTGTTTCTTTGTCGTTGTTTTAGCATGTCTCCTTTTGTTTGTCTTCTTGTGGCATGATTCCGGCTATTGCTTCGGATGACGGAAGAAAACGCGTTCGCAGTAACCATTATCAGTTAGTCTGTCAACTCATGAAGCAAGCAGATCCTGTATTGCCAAGGACCCCCCCAGAATAGAACGCCAGGGACCCCCCTTCCCCAGCATAAATCCACCAATTTTAATTGGTCATTAAACCCTGAAGGTCCTAATTAGCGTTTGCACCCATATCGCTGCAAGGAGAATCGCCCTTGCAGTTGTAATTGTGCTTTTTGACACCAGCAAAAGTCTTGTGTCTCCCTAAACCCTACACCCTGCCTCCCCAACCGATTTCACGTTGGGTTCGGAGCCCAAATTGGGGGTGAATGCCGTTAAGCTCTGAAGGACCCGAGAGAATCGAACATACAGAACACATAGGAAGGAAGACTCAAGTTATGTGGTTTGAGCAGTAGGATACTGCTATATGAACTGTGTGTGTGTGTATATATATATATATATATATATATATTTATTTATTTATATTTCTATAAAGTATATTCGTAGGTCGTAGGTCTACTGGATGAAGCCCCTGAAACGCTCAAAACTGTGCCGCAAGTCTTCCAGCCCTCAGTTTTGAACCGGGAAACCGTCATCCCCAACCCCTAAACCCTAAATCGGGAAAGCGACCTCTCGAACAGGAGCCTCACAGAATACGTCGGAATGCGCCTGGGAAGCTGTTGAGGCTTCGAGTTTGACAATGATGCAAAGTTTCCTTCGGCCTTAAGTTAGGGTTTGTTTGAGGTTTGGGTTTAGGGTTCAGGGTTTTGGTTTAGGGTTTCGGTTTGGGGTTGAGGGTTCAGGGTGTTGGGCTTTTCAGTTTTAGGATTCAATGCTCATGTCATGATACTAGAGGTTACTTGTTTTTGTGGGGTACCCTCCGGGGCTGGTTGCCTCCAAGACAAGGAGTCCAGGTTTGATGTACGTTCTTTCCTTACGGGCCTTTGGCGTCTCTGGCTAAACTCTGCCAAGACCACTATGAAACCGGCTAAGACCCTATGCAACAGCCTAATGAACCGCATGAAAGCCCATACAGTATGTTGGGGGTCAGCCTAAACCCTTTAACCCTGAGAGCCATCGCAGACCCCGAAACCATCGTCCGCAGTGACTGCCTGCACCAACCCCGTAAATCCCGAACTCAGAATCAGGGGCTGGCTACCCTCGGCCCTTAACTATCCCAAAACCCCGAAACCCTTAAACCCCTGAAGCCTAAACCCAAGGCCTAAACCCTAAACACCTTAAACCCTAAACCCTAAAACCCTCGAACCCTAAAACCCTGAACGCAAAAACCCTAAAGCCCTAAAACCCTAAAACCCTAAAGCCCTAAAACCCTGAGGCCTTGGTACTGAGCGGCCCAAAGGGTTCTACTTTGCATCTTGATTTTGAGGGATTCATGCTTCAGGGCCTTACGGTTGATGATACAAGTCCGTGATTAGCTTAAGAACCCTAAACTACTTAGGGGGTCATGGGACTTAGTAACTAGGGTTATAATTAAGGCAACTACACTGATATGTACTTATAATCCCAATTACGGTACTTATAACTGTACAGGCAAGTCCCATGAACCTCCAAGTATGGGAATTGTGGTATATTCCTTGTTTGGGTATGCAGGATTTGTGCACGTCAACCTTAGGGCTCTTTTGGGGTTCAGGGCCTAGAGCTGTAGTTTTGGGTCTAGGGTTGGGGATTAGGGTTAGAAAAAGCTCTTCTTATACCTTAAACCCTACAAGCAATCACTATTTTAGATAATTACCTGTACTATTTTGGTGGTTCTTTATTATAACTACAAATAGTATAATGGGTCCCAAAACCTTATTTTACATATTAATGGAGTCATAGTACCCAACTCAGGCGCTGGTACCGTGCGCCAGAGCTCCTTCTGGGAAAGATGAACTACTCAGAGGCTGTCGACGTGCGGGGCCCAGAGGAGTCCCAAAGGGTCCAAATATCATTTTGGTGTATACTTATAGGGTATTTTGGGGGTCTAAGTATATACCATAATGATACTTGGACCCTTTGGGAGTGCGGCTTTGAGCTCCATGGGGTTTTGTGTTAACTGTAGGGTGGCTGTCAAAATGTGGGTCCCTTTTCGGGTCCTCAATATGATACGGCACCTATTATATAGGGTATCTAAAAAGGGACCATAATGTTGACAACTACCCTGTTTGTAGAGGCTTAGTAGTAGGGGCTTGGGTTTGGAGTTTGGAGAACATCCTGCACACTTCGTTTTAGGTCAGGACTGTTTGAGTGTTAGCAGCGGGGCAGGTTTTCATTGAGGCGGAGCGATTAGGTCTCAGCAATGAATGATCCATTTTGAGTCGTGAGGCTTTCACTCAAGTTTTCCCAGGTCACTGCATCCAGGGTGAATTGATTGACTTCCCCTCGGTAGTTTGATTGTATAATTGTTGTGTCACCTCTTATATTGAACTAGTTTGGTGTTTTGGGTTTCGCCTTCCTGTAAGATTTCCAGAACCCCTGGTTAACCCGCCCACTTCACAGAAGAAAGATATCGGGAAGAGCGAGTCACCGGGTCACCGGACTCATTTCATTGAGTACAGTAGCGGTTTCTGTCCATTTTCAGAAAGGGTCCGAGCTTGCTTATCGACGCAAGCAAACAATCGCATGTGAAGCCATGCCCAACAGTGCATGTATCAATACGGCTTATATGTTGGCCTCAAAAGGGGTTCCTATACGTATAGGTATACTAAACCCGAATAAAAGCCCTATCTTCCCGAGGGCCAAAGTATTTACTATGGGGATAGCTGCCCAGCCACCTTGCAGCTCGCCCGGCTTCCTAGCCAAAGCCGTCTGGCAGCCTGGCAGTGTAGTAACTTATGTTCGTCACGGGTTTAGGGAAAGTGTGCTTGCCTGAGCAGAACAAGCGCGCGAGGGGCGCATGGCTCCTGTCGAGCCAGAAATGGACACGCCCGACTTCCGCGACCCCACCGAGGAGCAGCTGAGAACGGCTGGCCGATTCTTCATAGGCATTACGACGGGCCAGGAAGTGGCCGTAGGCTGAGGGCTGACCTTCGCCCGTTTTCAAGAAGTCTCGCGGGTCCACTACGACCGCACATCACCGTGAACCTGCTGCAATGCACCGAACAGGCCGCGAAGCGCTACAAAGCGTCTTATGCAAGCCTCGAAAATACCGGGTTTCCCACATAAACGAAGCGAAGCTGTCTGCCCTGGCTCTACGCATAGGCTCCATAGTAGTCCCTGTTGAGGATTACCCCCAAACAGGACCTCCTATGGAGCCTATAGTGCTCACACCCTAAGCCTTGAACCCTGTAAACCCTACACGCTGCAGCTCCCTGAACTGGCCCTAGACCTTACACCTTACACCTTAAACATCACTTAACCTTCCAAATCCGAGACCCGAAGAACCTTCCAAATCCGAGACCCGAAGCCTTAACCTACTGCTCAGATTTGGGCCTATGCATGTGTGGTGGGCGAGATGGCTGCAGCCCGAGCTTCTGAAAGCTCTGCGCCGACATCTTCCAATTGACTGTTTTTTGGACGGGTTAGGGATTCAGGGACATGGCTTTAGAAGTGTTTTAGGGTCCCAAGCGCCCAGCCCCTAAAACCCAAAAACCCTGAAACTCTATGCCCAAAACAAATGCCCTAAAACACCGGCCTTTGACCCTGAAACACCCATACAACCCTAGATAAAAGCCCGTAGCACACTATCACACACTCTAAAAAGTATGTGCTACTTTATTATGGCCTTTAGAACCTCAATTTTGATACACGGGGCAGATTGTGGGCCAAGCCGGATTCATTGATCGCTTAAAATCGCTACGGACGACAGAGACAGTCCCGAGACCCCCCTCAGCAGGGCAAGCCGTGCCTTGTTTTATGGTCTCTGTGTGTGTGTGTGTGTACATGTGTATATTTGTAGTAGTAGTAGTAGTAGTAGTAGTAGTAGTAGTAGTAGTAGTAGTAGTAGTAGTAGTAGCAGCAGTAGTAGTAGTAGTAGTAGTAGTAGTATTATTATTAGTAGTAGTAGTAGTAATAGTAGTATTAGTAGTAGTAGTAGTAGTAGCAGTAGTAGTAGTAGTAGTAGTAGTAGTAGTAGTAGTAGTAGTAGTAGTAGTAGTAGTAGTAGTAGTAGTTTAGTAGTAGTAGTAGTAGTAGTAGTAGTAGTAGTAGTAGTAGTAGTAGTAGTAGTAGTAGTAGTAGTAGTAGTAGTAGTAGTAGTAGTAGTAGTAGTAGTACGTAGTAGTACGTAGTAGTAGTACGTAGTAGTAGTAGTACGTAGTAGTAGTAGTAGTAGTAGTAGTAGTAGTAGTAGTAGTAGTAGTAGTAGTAGTAGTAGTAGTAGTAGTAGTAGTAGTAGTAGTAGTAGTAGTAGTAGTAGTAGTAGTAGTAGTAGTAGTAGTAGTAGTAGTAGTAATAGTAGTAGTAGTAAGTTAGTAGTAGTAGTAGTAGTAGTAGTAGTAGTAGTAGTAGTAGTAGTAGTAGTAGTAGTAGTAGTAGTAGTAGTAGTAGTAGTAGTAGTAGCAGCAGCAGCAGAGGCGTTAAAAATGCTTACAGATATATGCCTATATGTTCACATGTTGTTATGGCGTCTCAAGAGAGTTGCAAAGGTTGTCGAAAGGTGTAGGGCTTTAGGCTTGATGGTAGTAGTCCTCGACCCTGTGGGTCCCGACAAGGTATATTTTCTTTTACTCTTGGTTCAGGCGGTTGAGCACAATCTTTCAGATGTGTCGAGGCTGGTTTGCCGGCTCGCTGAGGGCATTCCGCGGGGTTGAAGAGATGTTGTAGAATGAATATCGCTTGGCATCGTGAACAATGAGACTTGTTTCGGGTAATGGTAAGTCGGCTTGGTAAAGTATTTGGCCTCTAAAGAACATACATACCTGTTTAGGGCTCCTTAGTATGATTTCCGTCTATAAGTCTTTAGCATGGTAGGTTATTTGGAGGTGGATTCATATAAGGATCCCTAATAAATGCCCAAGGTTTCTCAATCAGGTTCCTACATTATAGAACCCCTTATAGTACCCTAATAGATCCCCTATAGTAATCCTTATAGGAACCCTTTACATAAGGAACCCTCAAGGCTCCCTTAAAGGAGGAGGGGTAGGTATTGGCTTCCTTGACTCAAGGCTCTGGGGCGGCCCTTGCTCCAGGGCATTGATGCCGAGGATGTTCGAGGGGCTTCGGGTTTAGAGCCGTTTAAGAGGTGGTTGATCTGTGGGGTCGGCAAAGCTGATCGGTTTTTGTCAGGTTTGAGAGTGCTGGGTCTTGCGTTCACGGTTGCTGGTTGCAGGCATTGCGGTGGAACCTGGGTTTGGGATTTGCTGCCTCTGCGATGATTTGCTGCAGAGGATGCCTTCTCCCTCCCCCCCTCCGCTTTAGCCGCAGATTCTTCTTAGATTAGCGGCCTGTAGCCTTCAAAGCGACAGGGCGAACCCATCCACACACCGCAAACCATGACGATGATGATAATGACGGTTGTGGTGATGGTGATGGTGTTGACGGTGGGCATGGTTGTGTTGCTGGCCAGGGTGGTGGTGGTGACCATCATGACGGTGAAGAGAGCAAGGGTCATATGCATCTGATGTTGAGGTTGCTTGCGATGTTGATGCTGTCGAGCCTCAAGAGGATCGGGAGTTGGTGTTTTCATAGTACGGCTAGCACTGGCGATGGTGCTGCTGGTGGCAGTGCTTTTGCCTTCTGGAAAGTTTCACTTCCCAAAACTATGGCGTAGTGTCCTCTCATAGATAAAACCTAGGTTGGCGTAGGTTAGACTGTTCCGAGCACTCCAACCCTGACGCCCTCGAATCCATGCATGCAACTCTTACTCAATGTGAGCCAAAACTTCAAGAAGCATAACACCCCTGTTTTCAAAAACGCTAAACCCTAAACCCTTAACCCCTAAACCGCACCCGTTTGAATTCTCGAAAGAATGAGCTCGAACCTACAAAAGGCATCAGCCCGTCCATCTCAGAGGGCTCAGAGGATTTTTGGGCTTACAGTAGGATCTTTGGGCTTCAGAGCTTAAGGTCTGCCTGTTAAGGTTTAGGGGTTTAAGGGTTTAGGGTTCAGGGGTTTTGGGTTTAGGGTTTAGGCTTTAGGGGTGTAGGCTTCGAAATTAATTGGGAAGTCCTCATGCAGCTGTAGCTTTTGAGCTTCTGCTGTCGTAGGAATCCCAAACCCTAAGGGTCCATGTACTTAAATAACATATGCTTTGGCCCTATTAAAGTAGTCCCTATATGATTACTTCGGGGCCAACATGTAGACTATTTGGGTACCTGGACCCTTAGAGAAAGCTGGTCGGCTGTAGGCTTCAGGCTGAGAGCTCAGGGTGTGCCATGCACGTTGCAGGGCTTTGTTTTTTAGGTGTATATTGAAACTACTATTTGCTTAAGAACCCACCAAAAAATAAAAAAACATATAATCCCTATATTATCCCTATAAGGAATACATTTTTTTATTTTTTGGTGGTTCTTAAGCAAATAGTAGGAAATGAGTATGGCAGCTTCCGAGAAGCCCTACGCCAAAACAAGACTTGCAGGAGCAGCTCGGGCTGACGGTCGGCCTCCTTTCGGCACGAAAGCTCACCAAGGAGGAGGCCAAGGGCTCAAGGGTTAGGGTTACTGTAAGGGTTACTACAAAGGGCTCAGGGTTACTATGAGGCTTACTACAGGGGTTTAGGGTTCGTATATGGTGCTTATACGGATTTGAAATCGAATTTTGCGTAGAGTTAAGAAGAGGAGCCATGTAGTCCTTGTGATGTCTGTGCAAGCTACGAGAACAAAAAACGAACACATTTACCAACACATACAAGAAACTGTGAGGGTGGCATTGTTTTCGTGCATCAATTTGCCTTCGCTTTCATTGGACATAAGCAGGTTTAAATACGATGCAAATAGGCATCGACACACACGAACTAAGAACAAGCCACTAAACCAACAACGTTGGAAAACCACGACGTACTCTCCTCCCCTCCCCCTCCCTTCATTCAAGGCACACAAACAGAGTAGCCGAATCAATCGGAGAACAGCATTCCATGAACAGAAGTAAGTACACATGGGAATTGCTCTACAGGTCCTTCAGGCAGAATTTATTTGCAAGGCCAACTCCATAGCCAGACATGCATTCGCGAAGGTTCCACGATGGTCTACGAAACTAAAGTTAAAGTTTGTTTCGGCGAAAGTTATCTGTTTTGCCGACTTGCCATACAGCCGCTACTACTCCCATTATTCGTATCACGAAGTAGTAGTAGTAGTAGTAGTAGTAGTAGTAGTAGTAGTAGTAGTAGTAGTAGTAGTAGTAGTAGTAGTAGTAGTAGTAGTAGTAGTAGGAGTAGTAGAGTAGTAGAGTAGTAGTAGTAGTAGTAGTAGTAGTAGTAGTAGTAGTAGTAGTAGTAGTAGTACTACTACTACTACTACTACTACTACTACTACTACTACTACTAGTCCTGTTCCTACTCCTAAACCTACCCCTACTCCTACTCCTACTCCTACTGCTACTACTGCTATGATTACTACGACTACTGCTAGTACAAATAGTACCACCACTGCTACTGCTGCTACGGCTACTACTACCACCACAAATTCTGCTGCTATGCTACTGCTACTGCTACTGCTACTGCTGCTGCTACTGCTACTGCTACTGCTACTGCTACTGCTACTGCTACTGCGACTGCTACTGCTACTGCTACTGCTACTGCTACTGCTACTGCTACTGCTACTGCTACTGCTACTGCTACTGCTGCTGCCACAGCCAGGGGCCAAAATTAGTTTCCTGCACAGGTATTAGTTCCAGCGTGTCAGCTCTGCGTAAGTTTCACATAAGTGTCGTTAATGTCGACGTAGCCAGATATAGCCAGGGCTCTTTGCACAAAGCTCAAGAATCAATCCGAATCAATCCCTTGAGATGCCACCAACCGCAAAGTTTTGCTTCATTTGGGCTGATATGTATATATATATATATATATATATATGTATATATATATATAGGGCTTGTGACCTGCACAAGTATGTAAACATGTCCGTTATGCAGAAGCATAGAAGAGCAATCAAACACTGACAGGCCACTTGCCACTAGGTAAACACATAGTAAACACCACCTGCATATACATCTACATGTTTATCCCTGTATGTTTGTCCTTGTTTACAGCTTCAGACTATTTTTGCAATGTACTTATGGTGAGCCCGAGAAAAATGGAACAAGGATTTGGGATGGTCGGTCCTGGGTTTTCCTCTTCTTTTTCTTTTCCATAAGGGCATTGAGATGATGATGTTTCAACTTTTTTGAATAAATATCTGCTGTATACCATAAAACCCTAAACCTGAACCCCCCAAAAGAAGGCCTAAACCCCATAAGCCCTATACCCTAAACCCCAAACAACACGCATCCGGAGCCTCAGCCGCGAGGCCGACTTGCCAGGGATTTCGCGGACAGCTGCGGCATGCAGCGTGCTGAGTTGTTGGAATCTGGTGTAATGTAGGGGCCTAGGTAATTACCTATACTGTTTCGAGTGTTCCGTATGATAACTATCATAGTATTTTGGGCACCAAAATCCTATTCTAATTATTATGCTATATTATTCGGTTCAGTGTTGCCGGGGCTTGTAGAAAAGGGTTTGTGTCAGGAGCCCGCTTAAAGTTGTCACGGTTCATGGCATGACTGCCTACCAAGTGGGAGACAAGAAGCCCTGAGATAATGTGGAAACCCCAAACCCCTCACACCAAGCCATCGAGGCCTCGCGCGGACAAAACCTCTGGGGCAATCCCTGGAGCGAAAGCTGCGGCACGTCCGGGGCTGTGCAGAAGTGCTCCGATAGTCGATCCCAAACCCTAACCTAGTATATAGTAGAGTAGGGATCCTTCAACCTTTTTTGGGTAGCATAGTCTCAGTGTAATCCCTATTTAACCAAAAAGGTTATATAAGCTTTAGTCCCCCATGATACCCGACAAGCAGGCTAAATCTTTAAAGGAGCCCTTCAAAGGGGTACCTTACTTTGGGGTCCTTATACTAAGGATCCTAATTTGAAACGCTGCGCGTCGTCCGCCTCGGCCCGGCTGTACGCGCATGCGGCGAGTGGCTACTATCTGCAGCAAGCTCTTGTAGGAAAAAGTAACAGTTGGAATCGCACTTATAGTAAAAGTAATGTTCATAGCAACACGAAGCAGGATGATTGTGAGTAGTATTAGTAGTGGTAGTATCAGTACGAATTTTGGTGTCGTCATTCCGAAACACTGGGTACCAAGATTCTCGCAAGCGGCGGGATGCCTTAAGTATGGGCCGTTGAGGCTGTGGATTTCGTGGGCGTCTTGGATTAGGGAAGCATCACAGCCTTTTAAACTCCAGAAAGCTCGCACCTGTCAGCGAGCGGAGGAGGGGCGGGAGGGAAGGGGGAGTGGGGGGGGAGGGGAGGGAGGGGGGAGGGGGGGGGGGGGGGGGGGGGGGGGGGGGGGCAGAAGCGGGACGGGGGGGGACCGCCACACCTTTCTTGTGTTTCAGGTTCCTCTGGATTTCCTGGGCAGGCTGTTCTTCAGATTGAGACGGTTCCTCTGGTTGGGGTTCCTGGGCAGGCTGTTCTTCAGGTTGAGAAGGTTCCTCTGGTTGGAGTTCCTGGACAGGCTCATCGACACGTTTCCATTTTTAGGGGGGGGGGGGCGGTGGCCAGGATTTTGGGGGTGGGGTCACTGGGGAGGGGATTAAGAGGTGGGGAATAGGAGAATCCGAATAGGAACCTCTGACCGCTTCGGCCGGGGCCGAGGCGAATATTTCGGGTGCTATAAAAGGGTTCCCTATTTTCAAAAACCACCAAATCTTCAAAGGAGCCTTTCAAGGAACCTTAAACCTGCTCATTTCTGCTAGGGTCTAGGATGCTGGACAAGTGTAAGCTAGAAAAGGTCGTGGAGCCGACGGGCATGGACTTCCTTCGTTTGGGCCTCGGAGCGGCCTTGTCCTTTTTCATGGTTCCCCCAAAAGAATAAATTGACCGGCTAGTAGACCTTCTTAAATAATTCCTATTAAGGGATATAGGTATAGGGCTCTGTCGATTATTTCTAAAAGGACAAGGGTGCCTTGGAGCAGAGGAAACGGCGGATCATGCATTAAGGCTTCAGCCTAGTAGAGTTTGTGATTTTGAGTTTAGGGTTTAGGGTTTAGGGTTAGGGTACCTGCGGATGCAACCCACTGTTCTAGGGGTCATATGCTGTACTTAATAAGGGGTCATGAGCTATGGTGAGGTTCTTCAAAACAGTGAAAAGCGGCCAGGCCGCCAAGGGCACGGGGGTAGTAAAAGTTCTGTTCGAAATTCTCCGCTTGTTGAAAACCCACAGGGTCAAGTCACTTACCTTTGGTTAGTAGGGAACGGAGGAATGGGGCACAAGCATAATTACTATTACTACCATTCTTCCATTTCCTACTAACCAAAGGTAAGAAACCCACAGGGTCAAGTCATGGTGTGTTTGAGACCGAGAGTCTAGCGAGGCGGGCACTGAAGGTGAGGAATAGTAGGTAGGGTTTCGGAAACGAGAGGGACAGGTGGTGATGCCCACGTCGAAGCCAGTCATTTTTGACGGCATCCTTCTTCTAAACCATACGCCACAAGGGGTGTACGAGGTGGGACTATATGCTCGGAGCCCTGGCTAAGTCAATTTAGTTCTGAAGGCCCCTACCTACTAGCCTGTGATATGTCGACATCCGCAATACCTAACCGGACCTAACCTTTAAACTTTTCGGTTTCTTGTTGTTTAGTTAGTAGGAACCGGAAAGTTTAGCTTTTTATTTCTGTGGCGTATTGGGGCAGTAAGGACATGTCGACAACCCTTCGGGACCGCCTTACCTGGCTCCCTGGATAAAGCTTGGACTTACCTGGGGATCCAAAAACCTACCGTTTTAAGGGTTAGACCCTAGAATTAAGGGGTCATTACCTGCTATTTCGTGAGGTTTGGGGCTACAGGTAGGTTTTGTTTGTCGCATAACCGCGGTCAAGTCCTTCAGCCAAAGGGGGGTAAGGCTCAATGATGGGCTTAGGGTCCCCAAAACCCAAACCCTGAACCCCAAACCCTCTGGGTTTGGGGGATGGAGGAAGCAGGTCGCGCTCTTTGAGAACTGAGTCACTGAGTCCCGGAGATTTCCGGTTTTAGGGATTTTCGCAAGACTAAGGGGCCCGTAAAGGAAGTCTTAACGCTATTAAGCCCCAAGTAGAACATACCTATGAAACACTATAAACCTTTGAAGCAGGTATTCAATATTCACGGTATGAACGAATCCCAGACCTGCAGAGAACGGAATGCAGAAGAGCTTGATATAACTGAGAGCCATATACCCTAAGCCTAACCTCGAGAACTAAACACTAAACCAAAAAACAAAGCCTTACTTGGAGGTTTGTGGTTCTTACTCGGTACAATAACGAGTACCGCAACTGGGGTCATAATCAAGCACAAGTGTAGTTACCATATGTATAGTCCTGGTTGTTATTTAAGTCCCATGATCCTTTACGCAGACGCTAAACTTCAAACCCTCAAAGGGAGCAATAGTATAGAACCCTGTTGTATCCGTAAAACGGAACCCTAGTTACTAAGTCTAATGATCCCTTGAGCAGACCGTAAACCCTGAAGCACCATAGATCCCCTTTACAGTAAGCCCCATAAAGTTGGAAACCTGATTAAGGCCAAATAATGCTCGGATTCCCGTTGCATGACAAGGATTGAGGCTATTGGGTTTAGTAGCTGAGTGGATACACTTTACACTTTTTGGGATAATACTACCCATTATAAAATAGAAAGTGTACACTTTTCGAGGCTTATGGCTCAGCAACTAAGCTGTAGAACCTTTAAGGAACCCCTTGAGGAACCTTCAAGTCAAGTTGCCAAGTTCCATGAACCTCCAAGTATACCCTAAACCCCAAACCCCTCACCCTAAACCCCAAACCCCAAAGCCTTAGGCTCCATTAGCTCCCTTCTAAAGGAGCCCCCATGATCCTATAATCAGGGACTAACCCTACACCCTCAGGGGGAACCCTAGTACAGTAGAACCCTAAACCCTAAACCCTATAGTATCCTTAAAGCAAAGAAACCCTAAACCCAAAACCCTATAGTACCCTTAAAACAAAGGAACCCTAAACTCTAAACCCTATAGCACCCTTACAGAAGGAGCCCTAAACTCTAAACCCTACAGTACAATTTAAAAAAAAGGAACACACCTAGCTACTGAGTCCCATGATCCTTTAAGCAGGCCAGTGCTTGCTTCTGCGAGATGACGAGCGGCCTTCAGCTGCAACCTCGGTGGAGGGAAGAGGGGGTTTTGTTTTTTTTGTTTAACGGTTTTCGGGTTTAGGGTTTAGGATCTTGGGTTCCTTTAAAGAGGTCTATGAGGGATCTTTAGGGTGCAGGGTTTAGGATTTAGGGTTTAGGGGTTTGGGGGTTTTGCGTTTTAGGGTTTTAGTTTTTTCGCACTATTTGCTTTTAGGGTTTTTTGGTTTAGGCTTTGAGCCCTCGGGTGAAGGGACTACCTATAGTCTCCATTGTAGTTCCTTTTTAGGGTTACCTTATAGGATCCTTAGTATATATTTGGTTAAACCACAAAAAGGACCTACAATGGAGACTATAGGTAGGGTTTGAGGTCCGGGGCTCAGGGCTCTGAACTGGCGGTTTGGGTTGTGGGGCCATGAGTTGAAGCAACGTAATCCCGCCGACAGAGCGACCACGGGCCCCGACGAGCCCCATGACATGGTGACTGTAGAAGGGAGGAGCGTCATCAGTATCGCAGTCATCGTGTTGCGGAAGTCATGTTCCGCAAAACCGGATATCGGCATCGTTACCATCCTCATGCCCGCATACATCATCACCACCACCACCACCATCACCGCCACCAGCACCGGCACCACCACCACCAGCACCACAACCACCACCTCCGCCGCCACCGCCACCTCCGCCACCACCGCCGCCACCACCTCCGCCGCCACCACCACCACCACCACCATCACCACCACCATCACCACAGCCACCACCACCACCACCAGCAACAACCGCAGCAACAACAACAACAGCAACAGCCACAACAACAGCAACAACCACAACAGCAACAAAAGCAACAGTCACAACAACAACAACAACAACAACAACAGCAACAACAACAACAACAACAACAACCACAACAGTAACAACAGCAACAACAGCAACAAGAGCAACATCAACAATCACAACCACAACGACGATAGCAAAATAACAGCAACAACCACAACCACTGCAGCAAGCAGAACCACAACGACAGCGACAACAACAGCAACAACAGCAGCAGCAACTTCTACGACTACAGACACAGCGACAACAACAACTACTACTACCACGATTGCTACTACCACCGCCACCACCACTAGTAGTAGTAGTAGTACTACTACTACTACTACTACTACTACTGCGGCTACTACCACTACTACTGCTACTACTATTACTACTACTGCTACTACTACTGCTACTACTACTACTACTACTACCACCCCCTCCTTCTACTCCTACCTCTACCCGTACTGCTATTGCTAACTGCCACTGCACTACTACAAAAACAACAACAACGACAACATCAAAGCCACAACAACAACAACAACAGCAACAACAACAACAACAACTACTACGACGACGACTACTACTACGGCTACTACTACTACTACTACTACTACCACCACTACTACTACCCCTACAACCACTCCTTCTACTCCTACTCCTACCCGTGCTGCTAGTGCTAACTGTTACTGTACTACTGCAACAACCACATCTACTACTACTGCTACTACTACTACTACTACTACTACTACTACTACTACTACTACTACTACTACTACTACTACTACTACTACTACTACTTCAACAGCAGCAACAACAAACCACAACAACAACAGCCATAACAACAACATCAGCAGCAGCAGCAGCAGCACCATCAACAGCAACAGCACCAGCAACAGCAACAACAACAACAGCACCAGCAGCAACAACAGCAACAACAGTAGCAGCAACAGCAACAGCAGCAACAGCAACAGAAACGGCAGCAGCAGCAACAACAACAGCAACAACTGCCTGCTACTATACTACTATTTACTACTACTACTACTACTACTACTACTACTACTACTACTACTACCACTACCACTACCACTACCACTACCACTACCACTACCACTACCACTACCACTACCACTACCACTACCACTACCACTACCACTATCACTACTACTACTACTACCACCACTACCACTACCACTACCACTACCACTACCCCTACCACTACCACTACCACTACCACTACCACTACCACTACCACTACCACTACCACTACCACTACCACTACCACTACTACCACTACTACTACTACTACTACTACTACTACTACTACTACTACTACTACTACTGCACTGCTACTGCTACTGCTACTGCTACTGCTACTGCTACTGCTACTGCTACTGCTACTGCCACTGCCACTGCCACTGCCACTGCCACTGCCACTGCCACTGCTACTGCTACTGCTACTGCTACTCCTCCTACTTCTACTACTACTACTACTCCTACTACTACTACTACTACTCCTACTCCTTATCCTACTCCTACTCCTACTCCTACTCCTGCTCCTACTCCTACTCCTACTCCTACTCCTACTCCTACTCCTCCTCCTCCTCCTCCTCCTACTCCTACTCCTACTCCTACTCCTCCTACTCCTGCTCCTACTCCCACTATTGCTACTAATACTACTACTACTACTACTACTACTACTACTACTACTACTACTACTACTACTACTACTACTACTACTACTACTACTACTAGTATCACTATTAGTACTACTAACACTTGTACTAGTACCGGTACCACAGCAACTACAACACGCACAACTGCTGTAGCAACGGCGAGGCCAGTTGTGCACCGAGGGGAACCCTAAACCTTTACCGCAAGCTCTAACTTTAGTCTTTGCCGAGGCTTTGGGCCTTCTCCGCCATGCACATCTCGTGGACCTGTGGGAGGAGTCTAAGTGGACAAACGTGACACTAATACAGAGAAACATCCACATCAAGCAGCGACTTCGGCTTGGGCTTCGAGGGCTGGTGTGCGGTTGGAACACATGTAGCGCGCAAGCCTCTATGGTACAGCAGGATGCCCCAAGCCGGGATGCGACATGTTTTGTAAGGCTACAGATCCTGTGTTGATGTTTATACAGAGCCTGCCAAAAGTTAGGTTTTTGTTGTGGGGTAGACCTCGCACCTTGAGGACAGCTGCTATAACCCTGAAACTGAACCTTTTACCCTAAAGTTTAAACCCTGAACTCTAAACCATTGCCGTTTTGGCTCAAGACTTTGCTTCGGCTCAAAGGGGATTCCCAGCGAACATCAGCCCTTCAATACTTTTCGCTTAGGAAGGATGGGGCTTTATGGCGCGGGTGGCGAGACCATCGAGGAACGCCTCAGGAAGCAGCTCTGGCAGGCCCAGGCTGGTGTACTGCTGGGCAAGACACCAAGCGTGGACGTGGAGGACATTGAAGCCCAGCTGCGCAAAATTCGGGAGAATGAGAAGCCAGTCCCGGTCTCCAAACCCTGTGCAGCTCATGGATGCTGTAGTTCCCGTCGGTGCAGATGTCTTTTTCCCTCTGGTTGTGACCTCTGTCTGCTTAAACTGAAAATGCCTGCGTGCTGAGCTTGCGAAGAATCTCGCAAAGGTGTTGTGTCATAGTTAGGTCCCCAACCAAAACAACCAGACGACGACAACAACGACGGCGACTGCAACAACAGCAATAACAACAACCGCCCCACGACGGCGACAGCCGCAGCAACAACAACAACAACACCAACACGAACCACTGTAACGGTTACCAGGCTGACAACCAACACAACCGACACAGGCCCTCAAGCGTTTCGGCATCTCTGCCAACGCAGAGTCTCCTGTCGCATCGCTGTACTCCAAACCAATGTTTATCGTCCAGGGATTCGATATGACCACAACGCAGGGTACGGGTGCCGCGGGGATTAGGCAGGGTTTTCCATTGCACTTAGTCCTTACCTCTTCATCATAGTCCTTTCATTAAACACGACATGGACGATTCCTTGCATTCCGAAGGCACACCGCGCAACACATGGTCCCAAGGCAGACCCATTTATGATGTCGAGTATGCAGACGATACATTACCATTGGCTTTAACCACAACACAAATGCAGAAATTCCTAAGCACGCTAGAAGGCGGAGCAGCAGAGTATGGTATGTCGCTCAACTCGTCCAAAACAGAACTTCTAGTTCGAGATCCGGAATCAAAAAGCCTTTTGTGTTTCAGGGATGGTTCCGCGGTTCCTACCACAACGCATATCAAATATCTGGGCAATATGATTGCCTGGGAACAACCATTCGATATTGCATTCCGGCATAGAGAGCCACACTTGCTGAAGAAGCATACAAAATCTCAGAATGATCTGGAATAGCGGACGCCCTCGTAAACATAAGTTATATATCTTCCGTACCACCTTCGTCCCCACTTTATGCTATGGTCTCGACGCATTGACCTTTACTGACCAAAGTCTTCATAAGATAGATGCTTTGTATCATGAGTTCCTTCGTAGAATCCTCGGCATAAAGGCCACATACTACTCCAGAGTCAGTAACTGGGATGTTTGGAACCAGGCCAACAGACCACAACTCCAATCCACAAGTCTCCCAACCCTCCAAATTAAATCGCTAGCCAGCATTGTTTGCTCCTTTCCAGCAGATCCGTTTCATAGCATAGTCTTTTGCCACCCACTTATGGATAGAATACAAGCGACAAAAAAAAGAGCCTTGTTAGGGTTCATGTAAATACCCTAAACCCGAAACCCTGTAGGATGTTCTGTGTCATGATTCAAGCCCCGGAATTCGATCTCCCTCCGGAGTCCTTCTTTGCAATTCCTGGCAAGGGCTCGAATTTGAAAACCCAAAGACATATCAACACCATATCAACGTGACTCCTAGATTCCTGACCTACCCTGACGGTCGAAAGACCTAATCGCCCCTTACCTGTATGTAAGCTTACATGAAAATTCTGGCAAAACCCAAGTACCAAATTCTTAGAGCCTGTGGACTCTTGGGAGCTTGCCAGAAGTTCTCGGACTCCTATCGCCCTGAATCCCAAAGCCCTGAACCTTAAAACAACCCTTACCCTAACAGCCTAAGCCCTAACCCTAAACCCCAAACCGTATACCCGAAACCCTAATTCCTATACCCTAAACCCTAAACCCTAATTCCTATACCCTAAACCCTACTTCCTAACCCTAAACCCTGATTCCTTTACCCTAAACCCTGATTCTTTTACCTTACACCCCAATTCCTAAACCCGAAACCCTGATCGATCCCCAAAAACCCCAAACGATGAGTCCCCGAGACCCACCTTCAGGGACTTCTGAAAGCCCCTTCTTGTTAAAGTACCTGTGTATCCGAAACCCTGTCGTTTTAGGGGTTAGACCCTCTAATTAGCGGGTTATAACCTACTATGTTGTAGGCTTTGGGGATACAGGTAGTCCCTATATAGGTACTTTCGGGACAAAGTCTTTATTATGCTAGCACGTGGACCCCCAGGGCGAAGAATGTCAGGACTTCGACGATGTGCCCCGCGTCGCGCACATAAATCTGGCCATCGATGACAGAGAGGCCGGGCTACAATCTTCATGGGGCTTGGGGTTTACCTGTAGCCTCATACCCTACCCCTTTTTTAGGGTACCTACTTTTCTAAACACCAGATCAAACCATCAAACTAGGTATTCAAAAACAGGGGTTGAGTGTGAGCATACAATTAGGGTTTAAGGTTGTTATGGTTTCTTCATGGGCAGCTATGAGTGTAGGGGCCTAGTTAATCATAGTAGTTACCGATACTGTTTTGGGGGTTCTTAATTGTAACTATAGTTTAACCTAACAGCCTGATTCTACCTACAAGGGTTCCTTTACCTGGACCCCTTTTATAGGTTTTGGGCCATTATTTTGCATACCTTTGAGGGTATAGGTAAAGTGATCTATAAGGGTTTAGGGTTTAGGGACTTCTTTAGGGTTCTTTTGGGTGTAGGGTTTTAGTTATTAGGGCCCGTAGGGTTGGCTCTGATTAGGGTTTAAGGTTTGAAAGCGCAGTATACAGGGCCTAAATTGTTACTAATACTATTTTGGCGGGGTTCCTCATTATACTTATAGTACCAATGGGCCCCAAAACCCTATTCCAATTGTTGAGGCCCCTATAGTAGCTGTGTTTACATGTGCCGGCTTCAAGGCTAAGGGCTCAGGGTTTCGTGATAAGCAGGAGCATCATATCGGTACCTGAACTATGGTTCTAGACACAAATACCGAGCCGTTAGCCTTGTGAAACCCTAAACCAATGGCGTGTTCTCCTGCCCTAAGCCCAAAAGCCGCACTGGCCCAACAGGGGGTTCTGAATAGTTCGTGCTTACTCTCCGCATAGCACTATACCTGTGCGATAGCCCATTCCGCTCATTATAAAGACCTCCATCTCATGTTGAACTTTGTCGAAAACCCTCAGCCCGAAACCGATGGAGTCAGGACGTCGGTCCGGAGCACATCTTGCAAGCAATTGTTGAGGAGGTGCAGGGGTGTTGTGGGTAGTATTATTAGAGAGACCCCTTAAAGGGTACCCCTTCTGAACCCTACTTCTGGCTCTCTTAAAAGGGGCCTTATTGAGAGGGTCTATATCCCGAAGGGTCCCCCTAATCCTAACTCCCATGTTGGTTCTTGGGGCGGGGTTCTCAGGTCGAACAGTCGCTGCTGCAAAGCCTTGGTTTTGCTGACACGGGCTCCTGAACATCGCTCAAGTGTTTAGCGCCCTCTAAACCCAAACACTAAATCGTAACAACAAAATGATCTACTTATGTAGGCCGCTCTATCAGGGCCTTTCTGAACAAGTAGGGACCCCCCTAGACCCTAAACCCTTCCATTTTGGGACAGTCCTTTTATTAAAGTTCAAGCATCCTAAAAGCGTCATACGTCCCAGAGCCGACAGCCTCCGCAAAATGCTACGTACCTCGCGCACCCAGGGAACCCAATACCCCTTAATTAGGGAATATACCGTAAATTATAGTGGGATTCCTAACATTATGATCTTACGATATAATGAGGTATATTCCTTAATTAATAAGGGATATTGGAGTCTGTGGGTGCCCCCACTCTGTAACAGTTAGACGAAATTTGTTGTAAAGTTCTTATATGTTTTAGCCTTTAACCCAATATGAGCTCTGATATAAACTGTAAAGGTGTGGGGGGTAGTACCCGTACCCAGTGCATACCCCAGAAAGCCCTCAACTTTAGTAAGTACTTTCCAGCTGTCCCTGCAGCGTGGGTTTTGTTGGTCAAGCAAGGTGCTGCATCGCCGCAACTCGTGCGCCTTCATGCATCAGAAAGTCTGGGACTCGGCCAGCGCAATTGTGATCGATGAGGATCAGCATGAAGGCCACCATGCCAGAGACCGTAGCCACGATCCAGGCTGCATCGGAGCACTTGGTCATTCGAAGACCCCAGACAGCCGACAGGGGGAGGACACCAGGGTTCAGAACGCCACAATCGACGGATGTTGAAGAAGCCGGTTTGGATAGGAGGTGCGGCCAGAAATTGCGGCTCGCCAATAGCTCCGCTTGGCCTGTCAGGAGCTGCCTACACAGCGGACGGGCGGCCTGGGCCACTGCGCCACGGGACCCTAAACCTAAACCCTGGCCCCGAATCCAAACCTAGGCCCTAAACCTCTGCCAAACAAAACCTACCTTTTTCCTTTTTTGGGTCCCAAGTATAGTACGGCACCTAATATTTAGGGTTCCCAAAAAGAGACTCTAATTTTGAGAACTACCCATATTAAGCCCTTATAGTATCCCTGAAAGAAACCCTTATGTAGAGCCCGTTTAAAGGAGCCCCTAATTTTGAGAACTACCCCATATGATTCTTGCAAGTGGTTTAAGATCCACCCTATCCCACTGCCTCAGCTTTTGCTCGCCGCTCCGGGGTTGAGGTTGGTTTAGGGTTCAGGGTGGATCAGGGGTTTAGGGTTTGGGGTTTAGGGTTTGGGGGTTTAGGGTTTAGGGTTATTTGGGGTGTAGTGTTTGAGGGTTTCGGAGTTTAGGGGTCAGCGTTCAGAGGCTTTGGGTTTAGGTTTTTTCGTTGGGCTCGCAGGTTTTGGATGCTGGAAGCGTTACCTAGTTTTAGGAGGGTTGGGGGTTAGGGCAAAGGAAAGATTTAGGATACTTGCTTCCCGATCTCCCTTAATTCAGGAATATTCCTTGAATTTAGGGATCCTACCATGGTTTAAGATATATTCCTTACTGGGGATATTGGAGTCTCCTAAGCCCTAAACCCTGTAGCTCCCTTTTAGATCCCCTTAAAGGCACCCTTATAGATCCCTCTAAAGGAACCCTATATTCCTTCATTAAAAGATATTGGAGTCTCTGGCTTTTTTTGCGAGGTTTTGAGTTAAGGGCCGAGGACCGAGGATTCAGGATTCGGATTTAGGGCTAAGGACTCGGTTTAGGGTTTAGGGTTCAGGATTCGGATTTAGGGCTAAGGACTCGGTTTAGGGTTTAGGGTTCAGGATTCGGATTTAGGGTTAGGGACTCGTGTTGTGAGGCGTGAAGAGGTGTATTGTACGGATTACATGGGAGGAGCGTTCCTAGCGGTTTGTGGTCACTAAAGAGACAGTAGGGTTTGTATACAGTTTAGGGTTTGGTTTGTGGTTAGCCCAGGCGTCTTCGAGCTAATGATATCTGGGATCGCCCTTGAAAGCAGAATAAACGTGAGTGAACCTTCAGATGCTGGCTCCTTGGGGCGATGAGTAAATGACAGTGTTTCAGATTTTGCAGAGCCATCAACAGATGGGTGGTTATCAATATTAGGGTCCTTTTTGTGGTCCTTATTATAATACGGCACCTAATATTTAGGGTACCCAAAAAGGGACCATAATTTTGACAACCACCCAGATGTCGGTTCGTCATAAGGGAGTGCAGCTGCTGTTGATGCAGGTGCGCCTCGTTTCTCACGGTCGTGAATGCGAATCGCAGTCTGGTTAAGCCTGGTAATTCAGGGCTTGGGGTTTGTTGCTTGGGGTTTACTGTTTGATGCAGGGCTACGGCTAAAGGTTTGTGTTTAGAGTTTGATCGGAACATGGGGACCCAAAGCACAAACCCGAAGCCTGGGAGCGTGTGCCGTCGCCTGCAGCATGAGCGAGTTGAAAATCCATGCGCGTGCCAAAAATTCAGGGCCCGAAACCTTACAACCCTAAACCCTAAACTCCCGCACCCCGAAGCCTTACACCCTAAACCCCATAAACCAAAACCCTAGCAACCCTCAACGCTAATCCGGAACACTCCTAGACTCCGAAAATCCTAGACTCCTGAGTCCGCAGGTCCCGACCTTACCCTACTTGGAGGTTCTTGGGACTTGATAAGTAGGCTTATAACTACGTTAATTGAGGCTAGATGTGATCATACGTATGGTTGCTTTGTCTGTAACCCTAGTTAGGCCCATGATCCCTGTTCCATATTTCTGGCTTCTACTATACACCCCGAGCCCGAAGGCTCTACATCCCAAACCAAAATGCCTGTAAGCCTTAATTACCTGGACCCAACGCAACCTCCCCTGTGTAAGGACTCAAACAAGAATCATAAGCCGGAGCCCTAAAACGGTTCCGTGAAGACTGAACCTAAACCCTATGAGCCTTGAGCCCCGCACCCTAAACCCTGAAAGCTAATTAATCCCAAAACTCTACACCCTGAACCCTAACGCCCCAAAGTTACTAAACCTCATGATCAATGCAGTAAGGCCATTAAGGCCGAAGTGTTCCTAGTCGGGAGAGCCCACATATAGCGTTTTTCCTAAACCCTAAACCCTAAACCTTTTTGCAGAGTTGGCGTAAGGCTTCCTTCAAGGTTTCTATCGAGGTTCCTTGAAGGCTTCTATAAGGGTTCCCTTACCCAGACCCCCGGGAGTATCTAGAAAGTTGATCACCTAGTTGGGGCCCTGTACTACTAAGGGTACTTTATAGGAACCCCCATTCAGGGATCTACTTTTTGGATCCTGCCGGGGGTCTGGATAGGGGGTGCCTGTCAGGTTTCTCTTGAGGCTTCCTTTCGGTTCCCTCAAAGTGTTCTATTTCCACAGGTACCTAAACCCTTCTCAAGAGCCAAGGCACCCAGAACTCTAGAGGTCCCTAATCCTGTAATTTCGGATATTTTTGTCTATTTTACGTCCTGGGTCTCCCCGGACTGTCGGGATCGGAAAAGTAATGAGTCAGCTCCCAAAAACTAATCAGAGCCGTGTACTTCAAACACAACCCAATGCTTCAAACAGAAGGATCATCTGGACTCCAACCCTATGGACTGCAAACGCAGAGTTTCATAACGGCACTACCCACCATCACACACACACGGAGCCTTCACACTACCTCACAATATTACTCCTAAAACCATCAGCCGTTTTGAGCTGGATCATCTCTGAAACTGGGGTTGGCTTGTAAACAGTTTGCTATTCTGATGGAGACCCGGTCATGTCAATGTGACTGACAGCCACTTCGGCTCTCTGCATGATTCCATGAGCTTTCATACCTCGGAAACATCGACTTTTCCCGATTTGGCCTCAGAGGGGTTCAGCATTCAACCACAAAGGAAGAGCCACTGACTTGTTCGTCGGGTGGGTCTAGCCAGAACTCACGGTTTCAGAACCGACGACACATTGTGCAGCCTCCCCAAAAAGCCGCCGGAATACGGACTTTTAAGCTTGCAGCAGTGGGTTGCCCTGTCATCCTCCAGCAGGAGGCCGCAGCCGAGCCTGGTTCATGGTTCGCTTAGATCCCCAATAAGGGGTTCTTAGGTTCTATAGGGGTTTAACGGGTTCCTTTCAAGGGATCTATAAGGGTTCCTGTAAGAGATCTACGTTAGATCCCCAATACCCAACCTTTAAACTTTTGAGTTCTTCTAGTTTAGTAGGAATCGGAAAGTTTAACCTTTTGTTACAGTGGGTTATTGGGGTAGTAAGTTAGAGGGTGAGTAGGTATCCTCAGGGGGCAGATAGTAAAGCGTAGGCTGTTTTAAGGGGTGGAAGGTTGACGGTGTTGTTACAACAACTCCTGAACCTCCTATACTTGGAGGATCATGGGACTTGTTAACGTCAGGTAACTTCATCGAAGGTAGCTATGACCTGACTTACCAAGTCGCACGAGCCTCCTAAACCCTAAACCCTAAACCGTTAGGTCTTCAGCCGTGAGAACGAATTGACAGACATACCCTAAGCACAGCAGGGCTGCGGATTATTGTTGTTTCTTTAAAGCTTACCCCTACCCTAAACCTTAAACTGCCTTAAACTCTCCCCTAAACCCCAAAGCCTCAACTCTACCGAAACACTAAAGCTTAAACCTACAGTTACGGCTTGTTTTGGAAGCTGTCACACCCACTTGCAGGTTCATGCGACTTAGTAAGTGCAGTTGTCACCACCTGACCTTATTTCTGACCCTAGTTACGGGGGAACCCGATGATAGATCCCTGTAGTACCCTTTACCGGAGGCCTTGTATAACCCTAGTTTCTAAGTCCCATGAAACTCTAAGTAGACCCTAAACCCTAAACCCTTAAAGGGAACCCTATTCTAGAACCCTATAGTACCTTTTAAAGGAGCCCTTATAACCCTAGGTTTCTAAGTCCCATGAACCCCCAAGCAGGCTTCGGACCACCAGGTGGGGCGCTAGACGACCTGGGCCTCAATAGTTGGAATACGGTTGGTGAGAGTACCTTAAACATGACTCCGACAAGGTTACTATAAGTTTCCCTTTGAGGGTTCTATATTGATACTATAAGTATACTACTGTTGACGTTTTAAATCCTGCACTACCTTAGGGAATTAAACTATGGGAATCATGGTGTACTCCTTGTTGTTGGTAATGCAGGATGTATATCATCAACCGCAGGGCTTCCCTGTTGGGGGTTGCAATAAAGGGTCCGATATAAGATTTAATTACTACAAGGGGTATTATAATCAGCGAGCTTCAGTTTCATTAGAGTAGGGTCTTGTGGCATCGCGGACCGAAGTTTGTTCAACGAAAGGTTTTTGGGGCATATCCCCCTGTAACAACGAAAAGGAACCCCAAGGAATACTGTCTAATTATTCAGACTCCTATGTTTCTATGTAGTCAACACCTATTTAGGTTCTCCCTGCACCCAGAAGTGCCGAAGCACTGGCTTTAGCCAAGCACCCCAAGGCCGAGATATCGAATTCCTGTTGGGTTTAGGGTGCAGGGCTGAGAGTTTAGGTTCCCCGTGCAACCCTTCCAGGTCGGTAACCGAACCCTGGCGCTGCTACGGCGCGCAGATTCCTTCAGCCAAAGAGTCCAGAAGCCAGCATTGAATGAATGCAACCCTAACCCTGGACCCCTAAACCCTAAACCCCAAACCCTACACCCTAAGCCCTAAACCCTCATAGAGCCCCTTTAAAGGAGCCCTTATAGTACCCTTATAGTCCCCCTTAAATGCAAAACCTCTCCCCGTCCTTCTCTTCACGAAAAGTGCAGGTGTGATGACAGCAGGGTGGCGGCCTCGGAACTATGAAAGCATCGGGAAATGCGCTGGGAAGCATCCGTTTGGCTTTTGGGTGTTTGTAAAAATTAGGGTCCCTTTTTGGGTACCCTAAATATTACAAGGGACCATAATTTTGACAACCACCCTTTTGATCATTAGGGCATTAGGGTTTACGGCTTGGGGGTTAAGGGTTTAGAGTCTTTTTGGCTTCTGATCATTGAAGCATTTGGGGTTTACAGGGTTGAGTGATCTTTGAATGACATAAAGTGGCGTCTCTCCAAAAGCTCTGACGAACGTGCTAAATAGGCATGAACCGCGACATGAAACACTTACCCATCTTATTCCATGGGGGTGTAGCTGGGCTGTCATATGCCTCAAGAACCCTTATCCCAACATTCTTAGCCAAGCAGTCTGCACAATTGGTGATATACCATGACCATCTCAGGCGTCACACTTCTTTTCGACCGCACGGTCGGGATGTAGTTTATTTCAGGATCATGGGACTTAGTAACTACACGTAACTGCAGATACAGTTGCTTATAACCTCAAAACAAGGTAGTTACGACATGACTTGCTACGTCCCGTTTTCCTCCCAAGTAAGGGTTTCATTCAGGCTTAGCAGCTTCTGCTTACTTGGAGCATCATGGGATTTAGTAAGTCAGGTTATTCATGCCTTATGTTGGTTTATAAGGAAGCGCTAGTATGGTGACCTTATTTATAACCCTAGTTACGAAGCCCCATGATCCTTTAAACTAGTCCCTATAACCCAACCCCCATGATCCTTTAAAATAAACCCTAAATCCTTGAAGGGAACCCCATTATAGTACCCTCGAAAGGAGCCGAAATCCTAGTTGCGAAACCCCATGGAGCTTTAAAGCTGACCCTAAACCCTTAACCCTTGACAGGACCCCGCATTAGAGTACTCTCGAACGGAAGCGATATCCTAGTTACGAAGCCCCATGATCCTTTGAGCAGTTGCGGCATCTGGCACCGGATCCAGAGTTCACGGTTTAGGGTTTGGGGGTTTAGGGTTTAGGGGTTTAGGGTTTTAGGGGTTTAGGGTTTTAGTTTTAGGGGCTTAGGGTTTAGGGGTTTAGGGTTAAGGTTCTAGTTTAGGGTTTAGGGCTTTAGGGTTTAGGAGCATAAACGGGTTTAGGGTTTAGGCTGGTCCGAATAATTACTTAGCAAGACTATTTCTTAGAGCTTCCTGGCTTAGCTATAGCAAATGTTACCCTATGTGAATCCGAAAACTCCTGCTAAGCCAACGCTGCCCTACGACACCTCTGCTTCCTATGCCCAAGGATCGTGAGAGTGTCGAAGTGTTGCATTTGGGGCGCTGAGGTGTAGTAGGATTGTCGTTGCCGTTGTTACATAGCATTGTGACTAGCAGAAAAGCTGACGTTAAGGCAGTCGACCGTGTCCCTAGAGGTAACAATGAATACCGCATGGTTAGTTCTTTAACTTGGGGTTCCTTGCAGGCTCCCTTTTTCAATCAGGGTGCCGTACT